CGCAGGCGGCGCGGGGCTGCTCCGTGGGGCGGCGGCGGCGGCGAGCCCGGCAAGGGCGGCGAGGGTGCGCAGAGCGTGGACCATGGCGACCGTTTTTTGTTGTACAGCCGAGATTTATAAAGACTTAGGCAAAAAGAGAAAAAAAACGGAAGAATAGAGCGATGAGAAGGGGAAAGGATCGGAATCAAGGGGGTGGTGAGCGCTCCCTTTATGCATTTTGTCTCATTTTGCCGCCTTGTTCGTCTGTGCCCGCCCCCAGCGCGCCAACGCACGGAATCTCATTGGCAAAAGAATCCCTGCGTCGTGTCCGGACCAGAGCCCCAGATCCGTCTGACCGAAACTGCTGAGCCTTGTTTTCCCCTTGGTTATGCATTGAGAGCGGGGGGGGATTGTTGTGTAGAGAAGCGCCGAGGCAGGAAATCCTTCTGCAGCGTTGGGCACATGGTCTTGTGCATAAGACGTGAGTGGTTCCCGTCGCAGACAAGAAAGACAAAGCCAAAAGTGCAACACAAAACGGCCCCCCGTGTCGTTGTTAGGAAGGTCGATGAACTTGGGGTCGTACTCATCCCCCCCCCCCTCCTTCTATTTATATGTAGTATAGAGTAAAGACGCGGAGAATTATATGCAGGGTCTATTTGCCGGCATGGCGGCGGTGTCCGGTTTGGGATGGGCGTTTTCTAAAGGCCGTCCTGATTACTAGATTGGGACAGTAGAAAGCGGCGTCAAGATCGAAGCCGCCCCGCCATATTTCCGCCACGTGTTGGAGGACTTGTAGGACTTTCAGATGTGAATTTTGTATTTGCGGTTGAACTTTCAACTGGTGAATGGCATTGTGAGGGAATGGCGGTGAGATGGATAGGGTTTTCATGGGAAATGAAAATGGTGGCATTTTTTGTGAGGAATGAGGGTCGCTGATGGGCGGCCTGCTAAGTAGGTACCTACCTACAGTATGGAGTTACCTGGGCTACGTAGGTACCTACCTAGGTCGGGGTCCAAGGTTGCTTCGGCCCGGAGCTTATTAACTTAGTAAAAGGTAACTCAAAGCGCTGCCGGCGGCAATATCAGCTCTCCGTAATACCAAGTTGAACCTCGTCTGAATCTCGGTCCGTGTTACCTGTCCAGACGTGACATTGGTCGGCTATTCACCTGCTTGCCAACTATGGGTCGAAGTCATGGGAACCGATCTTGGCACAGCACGTACTCGGACGCATTGATTCCTGCGCACTTGTTTCATGAGGAAATCTGTCCCCGTGTTATCATCGCATAATTTGCAGGCTCCCATTTCTACGATGTGAAGCCACTACAATTGCGCGTCAGTGTGCCTGATGCAGTTGATTGCCATCTCAGTACCGAATCGCTGTCCTGTGTATTTACTTCCATGCTAGGTACACTGCTTGTGGAGCCTGGTTTACCAATGTAAGCCTTTTGTTTCCCGTAGGTCAGGTTCTTGGAGTGCAGCTCTTTTCTTGCCGTCGAACATCTCTGCTGAAATCCATTTTCAATGGGCCTCGTCGCATCTCGTACCCTATCTGTTGTTGGTGGCGGGTGCAAACAAACTAATTGATCTTGTTCTGATCTTGTTCTAATTGTGCTATTTTCCATATCTGACAATACTTAATAGCACCACACAGAAAATGCCAAGAGCCCCTTTTATTAGCTGAGACACAGCCAATCGTTTTCAGTGTGTGCTTTCCGCCACCGTCACGGGGCGCAAAGCCACGCACAGAGCTTCCATCGCCAAACCGATATACCGTGGCATCGCCAGAGGACCCTGTACAGCGATTGAATCAAGAAATCTACTCGGCAGAACGTCCGAACATGTCAATAGACTCAGCGTCAGTGATTTCGATGACTAGTGCAACAGGGGTAGGGCTGATGCTCTGTACAAATTACCCGTCGTCCCATGACATTCAGCTCTTGGACAACTTCATCCAGCCTCAGCCTCAGTGGACTCGCCGGCGCATTTCAGCCAATCTCTGTCCATGCCGATGGCTACCCCCAGCCTGACGGAGAAACCCAATCTCGCAGCTGAACGTCTTTTGCCGTAAAAAATACTAAAAACGAGGCAGACTGCGCGTGTGCCTGCATGCGAGGCGTCGTGCCTAACACGAACAAGGAAAATAGACGTGGGCTGGCTCACAAGGATGTGCATCTTCTTAAGAAGGGGGGCCTGCCGCCTCTTTGAAGTCTTTGAATCGACATTTGGCAGCTACCTTGCGTGTAAGTGACTGTGTTGTTGTAGACAACCTCACGACTTGACCCTCTGCCTTCACCCTCGCCTTCACCCCCCCGAACTTCCCACCGCAAAAATGGCTTCTTCCCTGCGCGCACCCGGCCACGAGCACATCCCCCGCTACCCCAGCGGCTGGATCACCATGCGCATCCTGCAGCTCGTCGTCGCCGTCGCCACGCTCGGTCTGTGCAGCTACCTAGTCACCACGAGCATCATCGGCGCCGGTTTCTACGTGCAAATCTTTACCGTGCGCGCTCCTCTCCCCCCCCCCCCCTCAGACATAACTAACACTAAAAAAAAAGGCCGTCTGCACAATCATCATCAGCAGCTGGCTCATCTCCGCCCACGCCTGCAGCCCCCGCGCCTTCAACTACTGGGCCGTGCTCGTCCTCGACATTTACCAGTTCCTGCTGTGGCTCGGCGGCTTCGCGGCCTGCGCCATCCTCGCCGTCGGCCTGTTTGCCGGGCATAGCCTCGACCGCGGCGGTGGCGGCTACTACGACTTCAACTACCTGCGTCGCCGGTACTGGTACCGCGACAGCTACACCATGACCGATGCCGCCATTGGTGCCGCCGCCGCCGGTCTTGGCGCCGTCGAGTGGTACGTTTGGTCCTTTTTTTTTTCTTTTCCTCTCTTTGTAAACGCGCCCGACCAAAAATCACTAACACAGCCCCCCCCCCCGTACAATAGCCTCTTCTTCTTCATCTGCCTCGTCGTCGACTCCGTCGTCATACACAGACATCGCCGCGATGGCCTGCATAGCCGGCCCGTCCGCCACATCACAGCCAGCGTCGTCATGATGCCCCCGCCGCAGCCCGGCACCACGTACCAAGCCGGGCCCCAGAACGGCGTGCAGTTTAGCCAGCAGGAGACGGCCTACAACCCGCAGACCATGTACGGCGCGCCACAGCAGCAGCAGCAGCAGCAGGGCTTCTATGGCCAGGGCTACGCGCAGCCGCAGCAGACGGGCTACTACGCCCCGACGCCGGTTGTGCCCCAGCACACGGGTACCTCGTACCACAAGACCGTCTCGCCCGTGTCGACGCAGCAGGGCATGGCGCATCCGCCTCCTCAGCAGCAGCAACAGCACAACGTGCAGTACTAGTAATAACCGGAACGGGTTGGAATGATTCGTGGCTTCTATCAAAGCATGGCGTATTGGCGTTCAGTTGCGGACCTCTTACAGTGTTGGTCGTGGAAAATGTAGATGAGCCTACGTGGCATGATAATCTGGTTGGATGATACTTGCTAATACTCTGACTGCGGTGCAAACAATTATCCTTATGAGATCCAAACCTGTTGTAAAATCCATCACATTATGTACTAAATGACGCTCGGTGATTACGCCTGCAGGCTCTTGGTCGCTCTGCGAATGCACTTGGTGATGATGCCAGACCACTTCAGAGCGTTGCTGTAGTCCTTGGCATCGATGCTCTCCATCAGTCCCGGATACACGGCTACATCATCATCGTTAGTACGAGGGTCACAAGCGTCGGGTACCATTCAATCTCACCTCCAGCGTAACCGGTCCACAGACCGGGCGCAAAAACAACGTGCTTGAACCAGCTGCGGCCGTCCAGGCCGCCTTCGAACAAAAAGTGGCGCTCCAGCTCCTTGTACTTGTGGTTGACGACGAGAATGGTGACGCCGAGGCGGATCTTGCCGACAATGTTCCACCATGGCAGGCCGTGGTCGAGCACCTCGCGCGCGTGCTCGGCCAGCTCGTCCAGCTCGCCGGCGACGATGCGGAAGCGCGCCAGCGACAGACGCATGTCCTTGAGGCTGGTCCAAAAGGCGTCGGCGTTGCCCCTCGCCACGTCATCGTCCTTGTGGAACGCATGGATGCTGCCAACGCGGCCGCGCTCGAGGAACAGCGCCTCGTCGTCGAGCTTCTCCAAGTAGGCGCGGTGGTCGTCGTCGTCGCTATGATCATAGCGGCGCAGCTTGTTCTCCACCTGGTCGAGGTAGCTGCCGAGCGCGTCGACGTACTCGGCGGCCTGGAACGGGATGACGAGGCTGTCGACCAGCTCGGCGACGAGGACGCCGAGCAGCTGGGCCATGCTGCGGTGGTAGCGGAAGCCCGGATCGCCGTAGTGGTCCATCCACCAGAAGCTGTCGTAGTTGGAGTGGTAGTGGTAGACGGCCGACTCGTCCCCGCCCTTGAAGCCCATGTCGATGCAGGGCACGCCGGCGTAGTCCTGGAAGGCGGTAAAGTCACTACCGCTGCCCATGGTGCTGATGTGCCCGTCCCAGACGTCGGCAATGGTCTGGCCCTCGATCGTCTGGTTGGCCGACGGGACCAGCGCGGTGGCGTCACGCAGCACCTGGTTGAGCAGCGGCGCGGCCGAGGCCTGAAAGACGGGGCCTGAGGCGCCGACGTCGACGTTGATGTAGGCCACGTTGGCGTCGTCGATCCAGGGCAGGTACTCCTCGACCCACTCGGTGCTGCCGATGAGGCCGTACTCCTCGCCGTCCCACGAGGCAAAGACAATGGTGCGGTGCGGCTGCCAGCCGGCCTCCAAGGCGACGCCGACGCTGCGGACGACTTCGTTGAGTACGGCGGAGCCGCTGTTGGGGTCGCCAGCGCCGCCGACGATCCACGCGTCGCGGTGGTTGCCGACAATGATGACTTCGTTTGGGACGGTGCCGTTGACGATGCCGATGACATCCCACTGCGGCGTGGTGACGTACTCTTGCTCGTTGTACAAGTTGAGAGCAAGGTGGGCCGGGGAGGGGCCGACGTGGTACTCGACACCCTTGTGGGTGAGCCCGAGATTGCGCGTCCACGGGTTGCCCAGGTCGCTGGCCTTGGGCCCGTGGCCGTTGAGCGCCTTGAGGATGGGCAGTGCGTCGGCGTACGAGATGGGCAGAGAGGGGATGGAGGGGATGGCGTCGGAGGGGGGTGCGCGCGGGGCGCCGGGCTTGGACGGGTAGCCGGGCGTCGTGGGGTCGCCGGGGCGGGTGCTGAGGAACTGGACGCTGCCACGCTGGACGCTGCTCGGCTGGCGCGCAGGGCCGTCGGGGTAAGCGTCGTAGCCGTTTTGCTCGGTACGCTCGCCGTCGTCGCCGGGGTCGCTGTAGATAAGCACGCCGACGACGCCGAGCTCCTGTGCGCGCTTAATCTTGAGCCCGCGGAAGATGCCACCGTACTTGGCAATGGCGATCTTTCCCTTCAAGTCGATGCCGGCACGGACGAGGTCCTCGTAGTCAGCATAGGTGCCGTAGTTGACGTAGACGAACTGGCCGGTCACGTTGCCGGTGGCCGAGTAGCCGTGAAAGGTCGGGATGCTGTCCGGGGAGCCGCTGGTGGGATCCTCGTCGAGCACATCCTCGGCGAGGGAGGCCTTGAAGGCAACGTCCCAGGCGTCTGCGTGGCCCTTGGTCTTCTTCAGCAGCGACAGGCTGTGGTCGACAGGGTAGTTGATGAAGACGTCGTAGGCGGCAATGCTAGAGGGAACGCCCCACGACTCCCACTTTTGTCGCGTCCAGTCGGCCTATATCAAAGCAAGACGGGGGGGGTTAGCACTGACATGCGCCTTGCGGCCAAAGTATTTTTATAAGCGGCGATGGGCCAACTCACCTGCGAAAAGTTCTTGCCGGCCAGGTGGGCGCCAGCAGTGTAGTACTCGCTCCATTCGCGGGCCTTTTCGGCGTCGGGGGTATCGAGCAGGATGTTCTTGAGCTGGGCGTAGGTAAGCGTCTCGCGGCCAAGGTCGGTGGCTGAGTGGCGGCCGTCGTGGGAGCGATGGTAGTGGTAGGGCCAGACGAAGAAGGCCTGGAAGAAGAAGGAGAAGATGCCCCAGAGAGCGATGCAGGAGACGGCGATGAGGAAGAAGCGGCGGCAGGTCTGGTTCTCGCGGCGGCGACGCTGGTCGACGGAGCGGGAGCCGCGGATGAGGGGCGTCGACTCGGCGTGGTGATGATGGTGGTGGTGATGGTAGGTGGTGTTGTGGGCGGCCATTTTCTCGGGCGGTGGTGGCGGTTGTGCCGCGGGCGCGGGCGCGGGCCAAAGGGGAAATGTAAACCTTGCGCAAGTTAATGGCAGATTTAAGGGGAAGACGCAGAAACAAAGGAGGAGAGGAAATGCGCCTCTAGAGGTTGTGCTTGCGCTCCCAATATGTGTGTTTGTTGGGAGCAAGATTCTCCCGGAAGTGGTGTGGCCTTTGGTGTTATAGTCAAGCCGCGTGGCTCAGCAGTGAACGGAAGCTGCACCCAACAGGAGAAAGAGGCCACCAGCCACCAAACGGTTACAAGCCGCTACAACGGCTAGCACCGGGTGGGTATTGAAAAAGAAATCAAGATATAAATAAAAGAACCAAGTATGTATTACTTACCCGTACGATTTCGTCATGGCCAAGTCAGTTGCATCAACCGAACGATGAAGAAGAAGTCGTTGGAGAAGACGTGGAAAGATGAGAAAAGATGGCAAGATATTTACGCTATAACTCACTCTCCAGTTGAAACTCGCTCAGCACGCCAGAACCAGGGAATCTTGTCAAGGTCGCATCCGCCAATGTCGTAATAATGCACGCCGCCGGGCACGTCAGGGTACGGCTCCCGCGCTGGAGCGGTTTTGGGCACAAAAGTACCTCACAAGGCTATTTTGTATGGAGGAGGTACAAGGCTGGCCGCCGGCTGCGCTAGGTCCTTGCCCCGCATCATTCCGGCTGCGGGCCCAGTGTGCTCCGAGACTCGGGGCCGGAGGGCTATTGTCGGTTGGGTTTGCCGCGGCCAAGCTTGTGTTGAGAAACTGTGCAGAATAGCGATTTTTTTTTTTCGAATTTGCGCAAATCGTGAAAAAAGTTCTCGTCCAACGGCCGACTACGACGTGCAGTGATGCGCGGGGTGGTTGGGCAAACACGCAGCGATACACAGGCCCGCTGGAGATGGTCACTCGCAGGCGAGACCTACAGACCCGATCGTTAGTTGTCTTTTGTACTGTTTGCTTCTTCCATCCTTGTTGCCGCATCAACCCGATCCATGCCTTTTACTCGACGACGCGATCGATAAATAAAGCCACCCTCTCGCATCGCCCTAGCCTCGACCCTCGACGGCATCCCGTCATCGGCGCCGGCAACAAGCCACAGTCTCAGCCGCTGCGCCGCAGGAAACAGCGGGCCGTTCTTCCGGGTAACAAGGTCAAATATCAGGGTTGATTTATAATAAATAGTTAATTGTACTCGGTAATTCGTACAATGTGGCGCGCCTTTGGCCCGCTCGAGGGCGTTGCTGTCCCCCACGTTTGTGTTCAACACATAAAGCCGTTATGTTATGCACGCCTTCCTTGTCCGATCTCGACAGCGCCAAATAAACCATCCTAGTTCGTTCGCCCCAACCCTGTCTTTTTTTTCTTTCCCTTTTTTTTCCCCCGTGTTGGCTCCCGTTTCTCGTGATATTTTGCATCCAACTACCATGGCCCATCCGCGTCGCTCTACACTGTTATACTAGAAGACCTGTTCGACCCACGGCGTCCATACCGCCTCCCCCACGGAGCCGTGTCCGTCCGATCCCATCGTCTGACGCAGCGACAATCTGCACGCCGGCTCAAATAACTCGCTCTTGATTACGTGCTCGCAGCCATGACCAAAGATGGCGATTCCGGGCCCAAGCTGCCCGTCCAGCAGCTGGCTATCCTCGGTACGCAAGAATTGTCCTTGTATTCGTTTTGCGCCCGGTCCTGTTGGTGCTGCAGCTCCGTCTTCGCCGGACCCCACGATGCCGTGTGTGAATGGAGAACAACGGCAGCCAAACTCACCACACCTAAGCCTTTCATTTCACGATAATCCGCCTGAATCATGTTTCCTCTCCATCTTCCATCATTCTCAACCGAGGAAACCGCTCCCGCTAACATCCCGCCCTCCAGCCGTCGCCCGCTTCGCCGAGCCCCTCGCCTACACCTCGGTGAACCCCTACCTCCCCGACATGATTCGCGGCTTCGGCATTCCCGAAAACGACATTGCCACCTGGGCCGGCCTCACCTCAGCCGCCTTCTCCCTCGCCCAGAGCGTCACCGCCGTGCCCTGGGGCCGCGCCGCCGACCGCTACGGCCGCAAGCCCGTCCTCATCGCCGGCCTGCTCAGCACCATGACGTGCTTTATCATTTGGGGCCTGTCGACGAGTCTCCCCATGGCCATTACCGTCCGCGCCATTCAAGGTGGCGGCAACGGAAACGGTACGTCTCTCTCCTTGCCTCTCCCCCCCCCTTGCCTGGTAGCAACCCAGTCTGACTGACCACTTCGCCAAGTCGGCATCATTCGCACCATGGTGGCGGAAATGGTGCCGGAGCGCCAGCTCCAACCCCGCGCCTTTTCCATCATGCCGCTCGTCTGGTCGCTCGGCTCCGTCGTCGGTCCCGCCTTTGGCGGCTTCTTCGCCAAGCCCGCCGAGCAGTACCCGGCGCTCTTTGGCGGCATCCCCTTCTTCACCACCTTTCCCTACGCCCTGCCGAATCTGCTCGCCACCGTCTTCTTCCTCATTTCCGCCTGCAGCGCCACGTTCTTCCTCAAGGTGTGTAACTCGTGTCCCCCACCAAAACACACAAACCCAGCTAACGACGGATGCGTCAGGAAACACTCGAGACCAAGCGCGATCGTACGGATTGGGGGCTTCTGGTCGGGCAGCGCCTCACGCGCGCCTTTTCGCGGAAGCAGAAAAAAGCGCGCACGTCGTCGTTTGTTGACGGCGAGGCCACGGCGCCGCTCGTCCCGTCCCGGCCGCTGACCCGCGGCCCCGGGAAGCCAGCGACGCTGGCGGACATCTTTTCGTATCAGACCGTCGTCACACTCCTGTCGTACTCATTTCTCGCGTTCCACTCGGTGGCGTACGACCAAAATATCACCGTCTTCCTCAGCACGCCCGTCATCCCGCGCACGCCCGACAACTACAGGCCGCCGCTGTACTTCAACGGCGGCTTCGGCCTCGACCCGGGCACCATTGGCACCATCTTCACCATCTACGGCGTGACCAGCGCCGCGGTGCAGTTCATCCTCTATCCGGCTCTGGTCGCGCGCTACGGCGTCTTGCGCACCTTTCATGTTTGCTGTACGTCTTCTCTATCTCTCTCTTCCTCCTATCTCACCGTGCATGGTGCCCATAACAAACACTGCTCACTCTTTCCTTTCAACCAGCCATCGCCTTGCCGGTTGTCTACTTCATCACCCCGTTCGCCTCGCTCCCTGCTACCGCGCGCGGCCGCTTCCTCGCCATCCTGGGCGTCATGGTCCTCAAGGCCTTTTGCATCATCATTGCCTTTCCCTCCACCACGATTCTCCTCACCAACTCGTGCTCATCGCTGCGCATCCTCAGCTCCCTCAACGGCTTCGCTACCATGTTCAGCGCCCTCTGCCGCGCCCTCGGGCCCGCCTCTACCGGCTGGGTCTTTTCCTGGGGCGCCGACCACGGCTACGTCGTCAGCGCCTACTTTTTCCTTGGTCTCGTCGCGCTGATTGGCGCCGTGCCGGGGTTCTTGATTATCGAGGGTGACGGCCCGACGGCCGGTGCGGCGGCGGCGGCGGCGGCGGCGGCGCGCCAGGAGGAGGAGGAGAGATGCAGCATGCGGGATAGCGCTATCATGCTGCCGAATGAGTCGGCCGTGGTGGGCAGCGACGACGACGACGGCGACGGCGATGAGAGGCGGCCGTTGATGGCCAGACAGAAAATTGGCGGCACCAAGTACCGCTCAATTGCTAGGCGGGAATAACGTTTGGTCAGTGATTCGTCTATTACAAAAGTAAACGGGCCGAGATTGGACAAGAGCTCTTGTAGGCATCTCGTCCCAAGACGGATGTTGGTTGGTTTGCTTTGTTTTGCATTACTTGTTCAGCATCATTAGGCGTTTGTTGCATTGGCGAGGGTGGGATGATAAACGACGGCGGCGGCAGTGGAAAGTACAAGACATGATACCTCGTAGCTATATTAGCTCTTTTTATCTGCATTTCAAAGCTACTCCCCCAATACAATTTGCACATATGAAGCCTTGGTCAATTGATCAACTGTCATGTACATCTTCTCAAGGTCGAAATTTCAAAAAAAAAATACAAAACGCCGTAGCAATGCTCGCTTCCACCCAATGCACAAAACGTGAATGCTGGAAAGTTCTAGTACTGCATCCCGAGAACCGGTCCGTCGCGCGTCTCGAAACCCTCCCTCTCGTACCACTGCCACGCGCCGTCATTCGGATGTCGAAACTGTGACGGTGGTGGCATCACCGGCTCGTTCAAATGCATGCCGTGTCCTGCCGCGTCGCCGCCTGCATGCTGCGGCCAAACATTTCTCTCATTGTCCAGCTGCCATGAGGGAATCGTCGCCGCCGCCCGTTGTGCAGGCTCCTGCCCGCCTCCGCCGCCATGATCGTGAATCATTTGTCTGTACCCCATGCACGGCGTCGCGGGTACCGGGGTGCCGTCCTCAAAGTACTGCAGATCCGCCTGCATGTCGCTGAGGCGCAGGTACTCCTTGCCCACCCATGCATCGATTACCTTGGCAATCTGCAGGAAGCCCTCCGTGTGGCCACCCTGCCGGCCCGCCTTGCGGCCGCACGTGACAAAGAGGAAGCTGTGAATCATTTCGTGCAAAAAGGTTGACAGCAGCAGGCGGCGGTTGTAGCGCGTGTCACGCAGCACAGGCGACGAGAGCACAATCAGCGTCTCCCAGCCGCCGAGGTGGGCGCAACGGCGCAGGGCCGTGGTGCCGACGACAGCGCTCTGGTACTGCGCGCTGCCGGGGTGGCTCCAGTCCCAGGCGACGCGGCGGGCGAGGCGGTTGGCGAAGAAAAGCTCGTTAGCGGCGGAGAAGACGCTGCGCAAGGCGTCGTTGTCGAGGGGGAACGTAGTTGAGGAGGCGGCTGTGCGCGGGCTGTCACCGTGGCGGCGTCTACTCCGACTCCGGGATGAGGGTCGCTGGCGTTCATTCTTGGGGTTGATGAGGGCGCGGAGGATGCGGCCGGATTGCGAGTCTGGGCAGCGCCTCTGAAAGCTGGCGACGTGGTCGCGCACGAGCTGGGCGGCGGCCAAGTCGTCAAGGAAGCACCCCTCATGGTCCATGTCCTCATCGTCGTCTTGATGGGCCACTGGATCCGAAATTGGGTGTCCTGACTCGGTGCGCTCCAAGGTCGCCGGACGCCGCGGCGGAGGCGCATGAGTGAAGCTGCTCTCGTTGCTGCTGTTGGGTGCTACCGACCGGATCTCGCATGTTTCCGTCGGCGGGCTGTCGGGATGCTGCTCGCGGATCACTAGGAAAGCGAGGTTTTTAATGTGGATGGAAGGAGCGGCCTGTTTTGTGGTGTGGCCATTGGCGTTGTGGTAGTGATGGGCGTCGTGGCTATATCTGCTAGCATTCTGGTGGTGATATATCTGATCCTGGTCAAACGGCGGCTGGAACGCCTTGGCCCTGTAACTGTCGTACGAAGGATTGTCTTGGTGATGTGGGTGCCATGTGTGGCTGTCGTCGGGCGGACCGCCAGCACCAAGAACCCAAAAGGCCATGGCGCAGGCTCCAGCGTCGAGCGCGGAGGAATGTGAGATAGGAAGAGGGGGGGGGATTGTCGTGAAATGGAGCAGCCGAGGAAGAAGAAAACGAGCGAGGTTGGCGGCGGCAAAGGCGCGGGACGGTGAAGGAGCGTAGATGCGCCCGCTGAATTGGGCGAGCGGTGTGGTGTGACGCTGGAACAAGTGCCAAGGTGATGTGAAGCGAGGACCAAAGTGACAAAGCGACAAAGTGACACGTCCAGAAGATGCTCCGTCTGTCACACCAGATCCAAAGATGCGGGGGTGAAAAGGGACCGGTCTATTCGTAGTGCCACAAGAAAGGAAACTGTCCGTACAGGGTGAATTCCATGTCGACCGGAAAAGAGAAAAAGAAGAGAACTGCCCCCCCGTCTATCTATATCCAAACTACAGCGTAGATCGTACCAACGTGTCTCCCAGGACCAGGTTGGGCGCCCATGGCTGCTGCAGGCGTCATGCCCCAGTTGCCTACCTAGGTAGGTAGGCCAGCTCGGAACCGGTCCGCACTCGCCGCTGCTTTGATGCCATTTGCTCTTTTGCTTTTTCGACGCGCCGAATCGGACCTCTGCCCGTGGAACACGCGACGGCCTCTTCCCTGCTCACGTCCCGCAGACCACTCCCTCTTGGCTTCCACCATCGTGACTCCTCCGTGCAGGATCATGTTCCGAAACGATGGGCTGCAATCGTGAGCCTGGCCAGCCGCGAGCCCAAGCTCGGCCTAATCGTACTTGGGCATCAGTGGCGCTGCCCCAAAACTACGAGCGAATGATCTTGGAGATATGGAAATCCATAGGCTCAATCGTTTTATTCGTATTCATGCGTCATCTTAATTATTTTCGTCACCATGTACGTGGCTTGCTGTGTCCACGCCGTATGTGCCTGGTCTTATCAGTTTGGGCTTCGTCGCCGTATTATGCTTGCCCATGGCCGAAGCGGCTCATGAGCCGAATCTCGTCAGTCTGTCTCTCAAGCGCCGAGCGCATCTTGTCTGCATACTGCTGTCGCTTGTCTTCCTCCGCTGCCGCCTCTTCATCCCGCGCTTCAAAATCGTCCGAGTGGTATAGCCGACTTGTCGTAAAGCTCAGCAGACCAAGCCTCTCCCCTGTCCAAAATAGTATATTGTCATTGTTCGGTCGATCGTCATCCCCACACGACTTGGTCGACACAATCTTGCGCGCAATCTCGCCCCGTCCGCTGCTGGAAAAGAGATTTTTCTCCCTTGCGTCGCACGACCCAATCTTGTGTCGCCGGCATTCCGTAAAGCCATCTCGTTCAAACCACTTGATCAGCCCACTTCCATCCGAAAATGCAATCTTGGTCCCATGCGTCGTCAGCGAGAGAATCGTCGACGACGCTGCCGTTTGCCGATTCTTCATTGCGGCATTCTGCAATGTCGCGCGGTTGTTTGAATGCACAGTCGAGCTCAACCCATACATCTCGAGTGAGCCTTTCAGCTTATACACACCGCCAGCAATCATGGTGACTCCGCTGCCACTCCTTTTGATTCGTGCTACTTGCTCCACCGGGAACTCGCCCTGCCGCCGGACCTCGTAGTCTACTGTCGAATACGGATATGGCACGGAAGCCAGACTCTTTATCAGCCCGCCGGAATAAATTGATCCCACAATGGCAGGGAATTTGCGCCGATCATAGTGTAGAATGTTGGTGAATCGACCAGATACATAAATGTCGTCCGATATCAGGTTGTGCGATCCGGGCTTCGGAAGATGGAGGATGCTGATCGGAGTTGGTTGAGAAAGCGACGCGTAGGGAGGAAGCGGCTTGGGATCGAATATAGATTTATAAACGTCAGACTCATTCCATTCAACTCGCTCAGATCTGTCGCTCGAGATTATAGAATGTGTCCGAAAATCGTGCAGATGAATGCCGAGAGACGTTCCAACCGTGAGAGGAAGACCATCGTTGATGGCCGACATGGTCGTAATTGACCATTCAAACGATTGGCGGCTCACAACTTCGAGGCGGTCCAGGTCAACCTCAATGAGATCTATTTCACATTCAGCAACATGAATCTGCGCTGCAGCATCGAATGCACTCACGACTCTGGACTGCAAAGAATGCTCTATTGTTTTGGTGGTTGATGCTAACACACTCAGTCACACCAGTGTCGATGCGCTTCGACCGCCGCTGATTCTGGCCACCGGGGCCGTCGATGAACAGGATATCCGGCTTACTACGCCCAATTATTCCACCCTGCTTGCCTCGAGTTCCCTTTACATCCCAGAGGCAGACGGATCCATCATCGAGTGGGGAGACGGCGAGCATTGTTTTCTCGCCACCGTCGCCGCTGCAGGGATTGTACAGGGCAACACCACGCGATTCGATTATAGCGTCCAATCCACGGTCTCGCATGCGCGGCGTTTGCAACCACGATATACAGGCTGGTCCATAGCGCTGAATATATTCATCGTACCACGATACTCGCTCGGTCGGGAATGAAGGGTCCCAGTTGCACATGTCTTGCATCTTTTGCCATCTGTGGCGTTTGCTGTCGTCTATCGGCGGCGAAGGCTGCGGTGTGACTCGATCTATGCTTTCGGATGCGGATACGACGTCCTGCGCTGCAATTTGCGTGTCGTGACCATCAGAGATGTGGCCGAAAAATGCGGGAGGAGCGAGGCGGCGGCTTTGGAGATGTAAATACCATGGCGAGCTGTCGAAGCAATTTTGCTTCCACAACTCGTCGTCCAGGCAGAGTTCCTGTAATTTGCGCGAAACAAGCTGCAGGCACGTAATATGATATGGTTCAAGGTCTATTTGCGCGTTCCTCGCATCAGTATCTTATTTTGCATGCTCGTGGCGATGGCATTGGCGAGGCTGAAGCGGGGGGACACATACAAGCGATGATCTGCAGTAAGATCTCGTCTGGCAGCTCATCCCAGCCGGATGGCCTGCGATTGCGGTCCATGGCGCATTTTGTTCGCGTTTAGCGAACAGTTTTCTTTCGAATTGAGCTCGGATGCAGCTGAGGTCTGGGAAAAGTTGAAAGGTGAGAGACAATGTGTCCGAGAAAGCGCGGCAGCTGCATTTGCGGAGGGTGCGCCATGTTCGAGACCCGCAGTAGGTTCTGGCCAAGTCACACTTTACCTGGAACGAGCTGACAGGACAGAAAGGCAAAGCCATGCCGCCCGTGCCGCCAGCTACCTAGGTAGTTCCTTAGCCTTTTTGCAAGTTCCTCGAGTCGTCAAAGGTTAAAGCTGCCTAGGTACCTTAACAATAAGATGGCCCGGGCCGAGACCGTCCCGCTACCTTACAGAAAAGCACGCCAGCGAGAGTAGCCTTGCTTTCCAGCCGAATGCTGTAGGAGTGGAAACAGATAAGCCGCGGCCAAGCATCCCCGAGTGCTTGCATATTGTATTGGCACAATATACGTACTCCGAACCTGAAGCCCAATCTGGCAAAGAGTAGTCGCCGTCGTCCGCCCAACTTGACGCCACTTGGCTATTCGTTGCCGCCTCACTCTGCGGCCTTGCCTGATGTCTGACATGGCTTGGGTATGCCGTTTCAAATTCTCGTATTGATATGCAACGGCCCCGATGATCAACGGGCTGAATGTTTCGGCCGATTCAAACGGGCTGTGATGATTTGCGACAGGAGAGGCAGGAAGCGAGTCGGCGTCGCACGACGGGGACGGGTTGGCTGACCCAATTGACAATTTTTGTTGTTTCTGCCGAAACGTCAGTTACACCTGTGTGAGCAACAGTTTCACGGCAATCTCTCTCGCTATTTAGTATGTACTCACCGGCTGCCCCAATAGCGCAGGTTGGCCTACACAGATTCACAGCACTGTGTCGGTTTGTATGGCTGTGTTGCGTCATGTTGCCAGCTGCCAGCTGCCAGCTGCCAGCCCCGTTGGCTTTCGCTTATGTCCACAACTTGGATCAGATTCACAGCAACGCAGATTTGCCGGGCGCCAGCTCATAAGGGATACACACGCCTTTCGTGTTTGTTTTCGGACGCGTCTCGCGTCTCACTCACCATCGTCGCAGACATCAACCACCGCTGCTGAAACTGTTACTTCTAGTACCGTACAACCTTGTTCAAGCTACACTCGACTATAAGTTTCGACGCAATTTTAAATTGCCCAATCACTTTCGAGACTCAGCTGGTCCTTTTAGACACCAAATCAAACATCAGGTGGGTGATTCGGTCCGATATTGACCCCCGCCTTGTCCAACCTCTCGCGAACGTGATGCGAAGGCATCCGCTTGATCCTCTAGAATGAATATAAAAGACTCCAGCTCCGACTGGGAAACCGAAGTTGACTACGATGGCACTTATCCTTTTTCAAAAAACGCAGCAACCATGTCTACCACCCCCCGAGCTCCTTTCAATAACCAGAGAACAATCACAGTTGTGTTGTCCCCGACGAGAAATTCGAGCCAAAATTGTTCTTCTCCTTCAATCGCACGGAGGCGGAACACAATGCCAAGCTCTGCCTCCTCAGGAGTTCTGCCGGGGCCGCGCTCGACGCAGCCCAAGCTGACGCGGGACGATTCTTTTGCGTCATCAATGAGTCTCTACAGCAACGCGAGCCACGGTAGCTTCCATACTTCCGAGCGTACTCACGAACACTTCTCGCCAGTCGATCAATATCAATGTCTCTCACGGCCCGCCACAACATTGCCCGACAGAAAATTGCATGGCCATTTGATGCCATCCGAGTCCAAGTCATCGACCTGGAATGCGCAAAGGTCCGATACCAGTACCTGTCGCTCGCTATTTCTCAGCCCGTCTGCTGAGAGAGATGTAAGCCGTGCTCTATATACACTGGAGGCCGGTTCTGCATCTAGACGTCGTGTCAGCTTCACTGGGCCTTCTACTGGGCACCTCAGAGATATTCAGGAGCATCATATTCGGTCATTTTACAATGCGGACGCGGTTTCTTCGGCTTAGAAAGTCGATAACCTCGTCAAAATACCTGTTCAATTGACCGCATCGTCTCCGATTTCATGCACTTCCACAGCTGGGCCCTCTCCTATAGAGCCTGTGTTGCGTCTTCGGGACTTCCCTCCCAACGCCCACGAGAGTGACTGGGAAACAGTGGCAAGTGAACATCTCTTCTCCAGACAAAAAATGCAACAATTCCAAACGAACATGGAGGCTGGTAGCAGCGTGGCAGATGTGTCCGACACAATTAGTTACGACTATTTCGGAACAAGCCACCATCCGCCCGTGTCATACACGACTGGACCTGGGTATGGCGCTGCCCGGAAACCAAACAGACGAATTACCACGAGATCTCGGTTACAAGCGGCAATGCGCCGCGTTTCCAGCTCTCTTGACGGCATCACTGCCTCTCGGGAACGTAATGGCCAAGTCTTTGAGATGAGAGACTTCAACCTCAGCTTTGACAGCTTGGATTCGACGGCGTCTTCTGAGTTCTTTGGTAGCGGTAATCACTGGCAGGGCTTCGAGGCTTCCAAGGACCCTCAGAGGGTTTTGTTTGCAGAAGTCCCCCCAACAGACGGACATGGCAGCGTCGGTATCCCACGACTCCCTTTCCCGCTAATTAGCCTACCCGAGGCGGCAAAACTGCAAAAGATTCGGATTCAGCGCGGTGAAGAAGACCATACCGACCCAGGCAGCTCCTTTGTAACGAGGGCACATTCTGAGACGCGAAGCACCATTTCGTCCACCAACAGCCCCCGAACGCCGCGCTCGGTTCTCTTTTCCAACCACCAGGTCGACGACAGCCGTGATCAACTGGAAAAGCTCAGTCCCGCCTACTACCGTTGGGACTCTCCACGCAGTCATGGTGCGCACCAGTTTCTGACAAGGATGATCGGGGAAGCTAACATTTTCTAGTCTTCGCAAATGAATCTAGCGAACGCATCTCTTCCTTGCAACTTTTGGGTGGCAAGCAGCGGACGCGGATTCTCAGGACGCCCGACCCGCGTGCCTCATTCTGGGACTCGGCAGACGAGGAGTTTCGGCAGGTGGCCCCGCGCCTTCTCCGACTGCGTGGTTTTTCAGCTTCGACTATGGAGCGCAGAGCGCGAGATGCTCCTCTACAGCTGGAACAATCGCTCTTTTCCGCCTCCGAAGCACGGCTGATGGAGTCGGCACGGGCCGACATCTTGTTTCGAAGACGCTACGCGCAGGATTGTGAGAAGCGTCTAGCGCTGGTATTTGTCTCTGTGATTCTGCTAAGCGTGGTCTTCCCCGTGGCTGGCATCCTTACCCTCTTGGGCGCGTTCAACTCGACCATCAGCTGGTGCACGCATGGTGAGATGGCGCACTTTACCATCCGGCAGAGAACGGTTTTGACGCGAGTGCTTTTTGCCGAGCTTGTCTCTTACATGGGCTTAGTCATTGTCCTCGCTGTTTACTTTTCTGTCGGACGGTAAACCATGGGATTGCTTTTCTTTGTTGGCATGATTGTAGAATGTTGTATAGCATCTGACACGAGGCAGGCGATTCCGGGCTGGTAAATATTGGTCGAAATCTATGTAGCATAAAATCACACCTTGTATTCTCAATATCCTTCTTCCGACGAGCTCAGGGGCTTAGATTTTCGTATTGCCATTTTCTGTTCCGCCGAGGCTGGGCCTGTGATCTCCGCCCCCCGATTGCCGGCGTTGCCAAAGCAGGAGATTGCCGATGCTAGTGGCATACTTGCAGAAGGGGATTGCCAAATACAGCGTTTATACTGGATCGCAAAGCAACTGATGGCCCAGATTTTCGATATTATTGGCTCCGAATGCAGCCGTCGCCTGACTGTAGGAAAAGGGCTGCGGGCGGATTATTGATTTTTATCTACTGGCTGGCATGGTCTTCGACTATAAAGCAGAAGCCGCAGCTCGTCTAGAAAGTGGAAATTGGAATATTTCCCACTACCTCCATCGTCTCAGAGTGCCCTCGACTCAGCTGAACTAGCTAAAATGAAGTTCGCCCTCATCGCAGCCCTGGCATCTGGCGCTACTGCATCCATTATTTCCATCCAAGTTCCCGAGACGATCGGCTTGCGCAAAGTGATTCCGGTGAAGCTCGTCAACAATATCGACCAGTCCAACACCTATCAAACGAGCATCACTTTTGGTCTCGGGACGAGTCCTGCGGATTCCAGTGTCGTTATTGGCACGCCCGTGTCTTCCATCTACCTGCAGGGTAAGTCCATACTCCGCGAGGTTACTCTACTGCCCCCCTAACATGACTAGATGGAAACATGCCTGCGGCTCCTTTTACAAAGAATATGACTTTGTCGGCTTGGGCTTGGGGTAGCAAGGGCAAGATTGGTCTTCGCGCTGCCATCTTTGGCGCTTACGGTATTACTGGCAGCATTGGTACCCAGGTGTATGGTGCGAACGTGACTATTGGAGACGAGAATAGCGACAATTATGTTGAGCTTCAGTTCATTCAGTAAAAGTAGCGATTCACGACGAGTTAGTCCCAGTACAGTCAATGGAGTACAAAGTATGGCGCGTGATGCTCCACGCAACTAGTTGTGTACAATCGCCCGTAAAGCAGCTGGTTCAGCCAACTGCGCCAAGAACTACTAGTGTGTCCGGCAAAGATCTTCCGAGGGTCCCTTTACTTCTTGGTGCTAGAAGTAGAGCTTGAACTAGTCAACGTCCAACCAGAAGGGCTGGTGTAAGTGGAGTTTCCCTGGCCGTCATTATGGTACGTGCTCCCGTTGGGGTTGGAGTAGTAGTAGGAGCCGTCACTGCCGTGGCCGTCTTATTAGTGCCTGATGGTACACAGGTGATTGGAACCATACTTACGTGTTAGAATAGTGATACGAGTTGGGGTTGGCCACGTCCGGGCCGTAGTCGCGAGCGTCGTAATAGTTGCCCTAGCATTCACGCGTTAAGTCGTCACGGCCCACAGCGGTTTCGACGCTAGGCGGCATACCTGGCTGTTGATGCCGGAGCTCTTGATAGTGTAGCCGTCAGGCATGTTGAGACGTTTAGGGGGGCTGATGGTACGAACTGACTGTGTGGAATTGATGGATGGCGGATTGGAAAGAGGTCAAGGTTTTGGGAGCGTGCGTGATCGATGGGCACGCATTTTATACGCGGGGAAAGGAGGGAGTGGGGTTCTGCACCTGCAGTATCGAGGAATTGGTCCAGAGCCTGTTCTGTCTGTATAAGCTCGGCTGGGTGCCTGCTTCAAGCCGAAAGCTACGAGCCTCCCAAAATGGGGTTGATATCGAGCTTGACAGACTGCAGATTTGGGCGGAGCCGATATGTTTTGTAGCGTTTAATAAAGTGGCCAACAACTTTCCACCTAATATAGTAATATCCACTGTCTAGCACCAGATTGTCCCTGTATTTCTGTCCCAGGTTAGGTTCGTGCTAACAGTACTTCTGTTCCCATGGGAACAGTACTTCTGTTCCCATGTAATGGCCACCAAATCATAGGTACCATGGTACCTTACTTGGGAATCGTTGTAATTCGTCAGTAACCCTACGAGTGACCGCTGCGAAGCCTTCAACACCGATCGAAGGGCGATATGTCAAGTAGGACTGCTAACTACCTACCTACCTACCTAGGTACCTAGGTAGGTAGTACCTATCCGAAGAGCTTCCTATTAACTATTCGCTCGCACGTGGGAGCGTATGGTCTGACCAATCGCGCGGCGCTGTCGCGACAACGGGATTCCCAAACCAAGCTTAATTAGTCTGGGTAGCTCTTGGGAAACTTTAACCCCCCCCATTCCCCTATGACGATTCGAGCATTTGAGAAGCTCCTCATCTACATGATCGCTTTCCAGACTTCAATAAATCCATCACACGCAAAAGATTTGTCCATTTGACTGCAGCATCATGGCCGTCAAAGTCTTTTTGTAAGGAACACAGCTTCTACCTGTGATTGTGCTCGATCAGCTGATAAATGCCTCTAGAACCGGCGCGACAGGTATGGCGTTGCTGTGACGTTCCAAAGCACGAACATGCTGGCAGCAGCTTTCTGACTTTTGGCGCTCGACAGGCTACATTGGTGGTACTGTGCTCGACTATGTCTACAAAGCTCACCCGGATTACGAATACACCCTTTACGTGAGAAATGAGAGCCGCGCCAAGCCAATCAAGGCCAAGTACCCCAAGGTCAACTTTGTCTATGGCGCGCTGGAAAACAGTGAGACCTTGCTGGATGCGGTTGCCAAAACCGACGTTGTAATCCGTACGTTGCATCTTGGAGAAAACGGTCGACACTGACCGGTACCAGACACGGCAGACTCTTCGGACAATGTTCCTGGGGCAACGGCCATTGCCATGGGCCTGGAGCAAGGCCATACTCCGGAAAATCCTGGCTACTGGATTCATCTCTGTGGCACCTCGATTCTGACCTGGTACGATCAGAAGCATGGTCGCGAAGGCGAACCGCCGCTGCCGGAACAGACGTACAGCGACATTGACGACGTGGAGCGCCTGGTGACTCTGCCTGACTCTGCCCACCACCGAAACGTTGACATTTTGGTCCAGGAAACCATCTCGGACGCTGTCAAGGTTGCCATTATTTGCCCGCCCACAATCTATGGCGAGGGCTTGGGGCCTGTCAACACGCGGAGCATCCAGGTACCCAATCTGGCCAAGACCACCCTCAAGGAGGGCTACGCACCGGTTGTCGGCAAGGGCGAGACGGAATGGGACAATGTGCACGTCGATGACCTGGCAGACCTGTTTGTCAAGCTTCTGGATGCTACCCAGGATCCGAGCAAGAAAAAGAACCCAGAAATTTTTGGCCTGCACGGCTACTTCTTTGCGTCCAACGGCGTGCACAAGTGGTCAGAGGTCGCGCAGTGGATTCTAGACGAGGCAGCCAAGCAAGGATACCATTCCGGGGCCGCGACCAAGACGGTCAGCTTAAAGCAGGCCGAGAGTATTGCAGGCCCTTCTGCGTCCAGTCTTGGTAGAAACTCCAAGGGAATCCCGCAACGTGCTGAAAAGTATCTGGGGTGGAAGCCCAAGGGGCCAGACCTCAAGTCTACTATCGCGGCGACGGTTACCGACGAGGCAAAGGCGCTGAATCTCAAGGCAAATAAGGCATAGAGAACAGTACGAGTAGAATGGCTGCAATGAAACAAGAATAGTTCAATGCAACAACTAGTATTACCTAGTTGCCGCCACATATCGTGGGTTATCGATAAGATAACCTGTGCAGAGGAAAAACTCAGGCGAGTGCGCCATCCCCAAAGAGTCCTAGCTTATGTTGTGTTGCTGGCCAACTATCTCAACAACCCCACTCTTTCTTTTTCGCCTCCGCCGGCGAGCGGCCAGAAAAAAAGAGCCCCGAAAATTATTCTGCACGAAAATTTTGGCGGTCGCTGCTGAATTTCTTTCACCGTAACCCCACGTCCTCATTCTCTGGGCTCCTCTTCTCTTGCATCCTCCATCCCTCTCTCACGACTTCATAGACGGGCATATCAAACACCTTATTCACAATGGCGGACGAAGTTTACGACGGTGCCATTGGTATCGATCTGGGTGCGTACATTACTCTCTCGTGCCCTCGCTTGCAATATTGCTGCCGGTCCTGTTTTGTGCGTTTGTGGCCGCCAATTGGATGCGCAAAAATCTGCGCCGTCCGGGCAGCTTTGGTTGATTTTTTTTGCCTGGGCTGCCGCGACTGCAAAATTACAGAGACGAAGCATGGGCGACTTTGCAATCAAATACTATCGTACTGACTCTCCTTGTCTTCCATAGGTACCACCTACTCCTGCGTTGCCATCTACGAGGGCAGCAATGTCGAAATCATTGCCAACGAGCAGGGTTCCTTCACCACCCCTTCTTTCGTCTCCTTCACCGACAAGGAGCGTCTGATCGGTGAGGCCGCCAAGAACAATGCTGCCATGAACCCCCGTAACACCGTCTTCGATGCCAAGTGAGTTTTTGAAGCCTCGGCCTGCATCTCCAACTGTGCATCTTGCTGATATTTACCCTCTCCTAGGCGTCTGATTGGTCGTCGCTTCGATGACCCTACCGTCAAGAAGGACATTGAGTCCTGGCCCTTCAAGGTCCTTGACGACGCCGGTCAGCCCAAGATTGAGGTCGACTACCTCGGCGAGAAGAAGTCCTTCTCTGCCCAGGAGATTTCCGCCATGGTCCTCCTCAAGGTACGTTTCCGCGATGCTCTCGACTTTGACACCCGCAACCGTCTAACACCCACCACAGATGAAGGAGATTGCCGAGACCAAGCTCGGCAAGAAGGTTGAGAAGGCCGTCATCACTGTCCCCGCCTACTTCAACGACAACCAGCGTCAGGCCACCAAGGATGCCGGTGCCATTTCTGGTCTGAACGTCCTCCGTATCATCAACGAGCCTACCGCCGCCGCCATTGCCTATGGTCTCGGTGCTGGCAAGTCTGACAAGGAGCGCAACGTTCTCATCTACGATCTCGGTGGTGGTACCTTCGATGTCTCTCTCCTCAACATTCAGGGCGGTGTCTTCACCGTCAAGGCCACCGCTGGTGACACTCATCTTGGTGGTCAGGATTTCGACACTAACCTTCTTGACCACTGCAAGAAGGACTTCCAGCGAAAGTCCAAAAAGGACCTAAGCAATGACCCCCGTGCTCTCCGCCGTCTCCGTACTGCTTGCGAGCGTGCCAAGCGTACCCTCTCTTCCGGTGCCCAGGCCACCATCGAGATTGACTCTCTCTTCGATGGTGCTGACTTCACCACCACCATTACGCGTGCCCGTTTCGAGGAGCTCAACGCCAAGGCTTTCGCTGGCACCATCGAGCCCGTCGGTCAGGTCCTCAAGGACGCTGGCATGGACAAGTCCAAGGTCGACGAGATCGTCCTTGTCGGTGGCTCTACCCGTATCCCCAAGATCCAGAAGCTCCTCTCTGAGTTCTTCGGTGGCAAGAAGCTCGAGAAGAGCATCAACCCCGACGAGGCCGTAGCATACGGTGCGGCTGTTCAAGCCGGCCTCCTGACTGGCAAGGCTGCCGAGTCTGACGCCGCTGACCTCCTGCTTCTCGACGTCGTTCCTCTGTCTCTCGGTGTCGCTATGGAGGGCAACATCTTTGCTCCTGTAGTTCCCCGCAGCTCCACCGTGCCAACCATTAAGAAGAGGTTCGTGTCTCATTTTCTGTGTCTTTCTGATTTCTCGATTTTCCACGAGCTCTTTCGGTCTGTTTTCGCCGTTTACCACCGCAAGTGTGGTGGTAATGGCCTCACTACGAATGGCCGCAACTGACCGTATCTCCCCTCGACACTCCTGCATGTCGTTGCATCTTGACGTCGTTTTTGACGCGGAATTTGCTCTATATTCAAGCGCCCTAGGCTTGCTTTGGTTCACTCGACGCTCAGCACCCACTTTGTACGGCGTTTTGCTTTCACGCCTTGACCTGCGTTCTCGTTGCTTGTTCCCTGTCTTTCCATCTCCTGGCCTTCTCTCTTCTCCACAAGAGAAAACATGACAATCAAGAGAGCTCGCAACACATGAATTAGATATCCCTTGCCTCATATCGCCTCTACCCTATTTGCTTGATGCTCTACTTGTCCTACAGCGTGGACTCGAGCGTCCTCACATCTACATAGTCCCCAGACTACAACTGCGACTTGACACCCAGACGCTAACACGATGTTTACAGAACCTTCACCACTGTTGCCGACAACCAGCAGACTGTCCAGTTCCCCGTCTTCCAGGGCGAGCGCGTCAACTGCGAGGACAACACCTCACTCGGTGAATTCACCCTCGCCCCCATCCCTCCCATGCGCGCTGGTGAGGCCGCCCTCGAGTGTGTCTTCGAGGTCGACGTCAACGGTATCCTCAAGGTTACTGCCACTGAGAAGACCTCCGGCCGCAGCGCCAACATCACCATCAGCAACTCTGTCGGCAAGCTCTCCACCGCTGAGATTGAGAAGATGGTCAGCGATGCTGAGGCTTTCAAGAGCAACGATGAGGCTTTCAGCAAGCGCTTCGAGGCTAAGCAGCAGCTCGAGTCTTACATCGGCCGTGTCGAGGAGATTGTCTCTGACCAGACCCTGTCCCTCAAGATGAAGCGTGGCCAGAAGGAGAAGATTGAGGGCGCCATGAGCGATGCCATGGCCACTCTCGAGCTCACCGACGCCTCTGCCGATGACCTCAAGAAGCAGGAGCTCACCCTCAAGCGTCTTGTCACCAAGGCCATGACCTCCCGATAAATGTTTTCACCCAGCTCAACCCATGGGCAGCGCACATGATTAGCTGCCGATGATGGTTTAATGGATGCGGGGGGGAATAGGGCTGTTTTTTTGTATGAAGCGCTGAAACGGACCAGGTGTTCAAGGAAAATCTTGGGTTGGCAATTCTGCCAGTCTTGATGTCGGTTTACCAAAATGTCGATTTTATATAACGAAAAAGTTCAACAGAGTGGATGAACGTTTGACCCGGGAAGATAGGGAGCGAGCAAAGAAAAACAATTTTCCAATCATTTTCACTTTCTGTCTGGGAGCGACCTGGGACTTTGTAAACCAGAGCTTCACGGGAAGATTGTCTTGCTGCGTTGTTTGATGGGACTGGATGCCCAAAGTGCTTGAGCTAGCAGGCCTGATGACGAACGAAACATGACTTGTGAATCATGAGAGACTGGGTAGAATGGCCAAATATGAATTTTATTTGTTCAAAGGCAATTACAGATGTCGATGACGCGTGATTTTGTATTGTCGTAGATAATGCTTCCGAGGATAGCGCTGGCAGCTGTAGGAAATTGTTGCGACTTGGAAGGCATGCACCAGGACTTGGTGCTGAAAATTGTCTTGTTATGACAAGCGCTCAACTCTGCTTCTGCATCGCTGCGTGGTCGACAGCCCGCGTATTGCCAAACACCACTGTGCAGCCAGGACATGTTGTCTCTGTTTTGCGACACCTTTATATTTTAAACGAAAATGACAACTGATCAAGCGTCGTGCCACCCCCGCCTCTGTGCACCGAATGACGCCGTCACGTCGCAGCCATGACAAACAGTCACCCCACGAACTTGCTCGACCTGCCCGTCGACATCCTCGCGCTGATCCTCGCGCCGCTGGTCAAGTTTGACGCCCCCATCGAACTTTGCCCTTGTGGCGACCACGGGGCGCTGAGGGGGCGGCTGGCGCTGGCGCGGACGGTGCTCCTCGCGCACCCCCATCTGCACGCCGTCGCGTGCCCGATGCTGTACGGCCTCAACACGTTTACGCTGTCGCTCGTGTCCGGCCGGCACGGGGCGCGGCAGGCCAAGATGCTGCAGGCGTACTACCACAGCGATGCGTCGGGGCGGGCGTCGCGGGCCCGTCTGCTCAACGACGATGCGGTGGACGTGCCGCGGGCGCTGGCGGAGAGGCACCAGATGGGCAAGCTGCAGCTGTTTGTGACGCCCTCGGCGCGGCGACGCGTACGCCATTTTGCGCTCGAGGTGGGACGCCACCGTGGATGGATCGACGACGCTGTGACGCCGGTGCTCTCGGACATGATTCTGGCTGGCAGTCTTGCTTCGCTGAGTATCACATTGCTGTATCGGCTGCCCGACGTCAGGACTAGCAGGAGCGATTTTGGGACGCAAAACTCGCACGTGTCGACATTGTTCGCAGGCAGCGATGCGGCCGTGTTTACCAAGTCGCCGCTGAGGGGCTTCTTTCAGGTGCTGGCGGATCCGGATCTCGAGTCATCACGGCTTTTTTTGACAAGAGGGCACCCATCCGCTTGGTGCAAGTACCACACAAAGGGGTCAGAGAGTGACGATCAGGGGATGGAATGCCCTCTTATTGCCGTGGTGGACTGGCAAGCCATTGTACGGGAGGTTTTAGATGCCGAAGGTGTCAATACCGCCGCTCCACGCTCAGGTTCGCCTCGCTATCGCTAAAGATGTCATGGGGCGAGTGCACTCTTGTACGTCCTTTTTATATCCCGCGACTTGTTTTAGGAGGTACGGGACGTCCAGTGTCACAGTCCGAGGCACGTACGATGCTGGTCATCGGTTTGGGAAAACTCGACCGCATCTACCGAATAGTAGCTAGGCACGAGTACGATTGCAACTTGTCTGACTGGCTTATCTGTGAAACACGGTCCATTGCTCGCCTGCGAATCCCGGTCTGCCAAGCATGGACTCAGTTGCGCATCTTGGCAGTCTTGAGTCAATGTATTCTAGACCTCAAGGATGACTGGTGGCAAGAGTAATACTACATGGATCTCAGAGAGCAAGGGGGGGGGCTATGGCATTGGCTCTTCAGTCGTCTCCTCAGTCGTCTCCGAGTCAAGTTGCAATGCAGACAAGACAAAAAAGAAGCTTACGTACCTTGTGACAGGGGTGGCACTTATCCGATGACACCAACCTTGTCAGATCTGGCGCTCGAGCCCGGGTTGCAGATGCACGTTATATTAATTCATGGACGTTTTGACGTGGCACCATTTTCCGAGAATCCTACGAGCGTGTATATTTTGATGGATATATTTTGGGGGGTTTTTTTCTTTAGAACAGCGCACATTTGTTTACAGATGGTGTCATTATAGACTCGGCAGCAGGCCCTAACTTTTTTTTTTTTTTTTTTTTTTAAAAAAAAGTCCGGTCGGTGTGTCACAGCCGCTTGGGCGGAATCTGCCATCTGCTTGGCGATCTAACTTTAGCTGCAGGAGACGACGCCAGCGCAACATCATTGGATAACGTTTGGAGCAAAAAAGCAGCAGCCAAACGGCAATTGGCGAAGCTGTTTGCATTGAAAACCTGCTCCCCCCCCCCTCCTCCCCTCCTCCCTCCTCCAAACTGCACGACGTGACAGAGTGCCTTTGCCCATTCCACACCGCTCCTGTCTGGGGTCGTTTGGACGCACAAAGGGACGAGGGAATGGGCACGCCAAGAGATTCCGTCACATGGGCCATGGCTCATCTCGAACAAGCAGGGCGCGCGTCCAATCTGCGACGCTATAAAAAAGAGAGATGCCAGTAAGCATAATTTGTACATAGGTACCTAATAACTATTACTGAGGTGTGCTGAGGTACGTGCTGTACATGGCAGGGGGGGGACCTTGTCATGGTCTGAGATCCTGTAAGCCAACCCCGTGGCTTCGGTACAACCCTAGCGCCGCGGTGGCAAGATGCGATGGCGAGTGCTCAGCAGAAGAGGGGTATGTATTATTGTTGAGCTGAAATCTCGGCGAGATTCAATGCGATCAAATGCTCAATACTGATTATGGGGCTGTTTTATGAATTTATTCTTCTTTTCTTGTGCTCAATCTGTCTGTCGGTGTCGCTGTGCTAGTCAATCGGTCGTGAATCTTGTCATATTATTCTGTAGCAAAGACAATCTTTTGTAAAAAAAAAACATGCTAAGAGGAACAAAGAAAAATCAGAAGCGCTTGCAGATGTGGATTCGACGATTTTCTCTTTTTCCCCAGGCTGTGTTGTGAGACCCCTGCTGGCCGCACGTACTCGGTAACTTCCCCCCCAGGTAACTGGTTTAAGATGTTGTCTCAAAGGTTACCAGTAAGGTTGTATTAAACTTGTTTTTTTTTTCTTCTTCTTTTATTGCAACCCCCCATGTCCTTTTTCCGCCGGGCCTTCCGGGTTCCCATCTGCCGCGCGTGGACATGACCCATTTAGACCAGGTCGTGAAAGTCAGCCTGGTGGTCCTCGGTATGGGCACCCCAGTGCACGGGGCTGAGCTTGAGCACGCGCGTGTTGGAGACGGGCACGGCGGCGTCGACGGTGACGGGCGTCAGAGTCGGGCTGGCGGCGGCGCTGTCCGAGGACGAGGCATCGCTGTCGGTGCGGGTGCGCTGGGTGCGCGGGTGCGAGGCCGACACGTCGGGGGCGAGGGAGAGGAACTGCGAGACGGCGGCGGCGGAGGCGGCGGGACGAGCCTCGGCGGTGAGGACGAGGAAGTTGTTCTGGGGGGCAGCCATGTTGATGATGATGTGTGGGCGAGAGAGAGATGTGGTTGGTGTTTGGTGGTGGTGGTGGTGGTGGTAGTGGTAGGTGTGGTGAGGTATAGAGGTGGAAGGAGCAGACTGGCAGGCTTTTATAGAAATGGAGGAAATCTGGGTATCAAGGTAAGAAATGAAAAGTGTTTATCAAGGTTTGTATATGGAGAGAATAGAAAAGGTGTCGTGGAGTGGAATGGATGGAGGGACATGGCATGCACGTCCTTTTTATGTGCCATCCACAACTGGTGTCCAGCTACACAACCCTCCTCTCCTTCCCACACCCACACTAATAATAATCAGCTTTTTAGTCTTTATTTTTTATTTCTTTTTCTTGGTTGCGTCAGACATGACATGGGATTAGCAAGGGTACGCCCAAGATTAGACGGGGGGGTGTGGGATTGCTGACTGCCATTGCCCGGTAAAGTGTTTGCGTGGCTAACTACCTAGGTGGAAGCCTTGACCAGGAAGAAAACCTGGGGTTTCCAACGGACCAAAGACAAACCCCCTCCGCCTCGTCCCCCTCTTCTGGTTCTTCTGGTACAAAGCCTGCAATTCAGCGACATAATTTCCGAATTTCTGTACACTACTTACTATGCCTATTTGGGCCTGAAAAACACATGCAGACAAAGCCTATTAAAAGCAGCAACTCTAACAAGGTTTCGAATCGCGCTCTATAGCGCCGAGGTAGTCTTCATTGTAGCTCTTTTAGCAAGTGTTAAGCGCCTGCCTGAGCAGTGGCAAGGCGGCGGTCCGTCGGTGATGCAGCAGAATTTTTACAATGAATTTTTACAATCCAAGAGCCAGATTGCAGAGCGCCTCTTGGAAATATATTCTTCTAGTCACATTTTCGTGCCGCCCGCAGTGGCTGGTCCAGTCACATGGCGAAGAATTGAAAAAAAAAAAGAAAAAAAAAACATGCTCGCCCTTTTGCCCAATCGCGGGCGGCGACGGCTCAAGCAGCGCCATGTGTCGGCACATGCTTTTCCATCACAAAGGTGGGAAACAAAGACGACGAGGCAACCACTAACAGCGATGCCAACCCATATTTTCTGGCTCGGTTGTGTGCTTTCTTCTACGGATTTGTACAAATTACACACCACACTTATCCGTGACGTGTATAGCCGCCTCGTCCAATCGCGTCGTCCCCCCGCGCCGGGAGCAAACGGGATAGCGCCTTGGCCTTGTGAGATGGCGCTTTTTTTGGTGGTAGATTCTCGGGTGGAAACGTCTTGTTCTCCTGGCTCGATGCAACGCTCTCTTTTTTCTTTTTTTTTTTTTCCGTGGCCGAGTGCCGAGAAGGGCTCTCCACATGTCGACAACCAGTCGCTTTGGTCCTTGGTTGAGGCAAGCGGCCGCCAAGCTATCTTTTGGTATTGACGGGCTGGAAATGTCGAGAACGTAAAGGCAAGGGCTCGGCAACGATAGTAGAAGTCTGCCAGGAAAGGACTGCGTGGAACGGATGATGAATATAAGCCCCTCTTTACTATATCGATGGATGGCCGGCCGATCGAAGCTTTCCGTGTTGATCCTCGGACAGTTCAACGAACTTGATCTCTGAGTGAAGAGAAACAGAATAGTAAAAGGTTTCTCCACAAGTCGACCACTGGATGAATTCCACGCGTCCTTGTCACTGTTTTCAAGACGAGTTTCCGCCGGCTCGGTCCAGTCAAAAGTGCCCCATCATCCCCAGAAACTCTCCCAAATCAGCTGCAGCATCGGAAAAAGGGTTGACTTGATGAACACGACTGAGTTCATTTTTCGAATCATTTTCGAGAGGTCCATGGAACAACCCCAAGTTGTTTGTTGGATTTTCGTCGACTTGCGACAAGACTGTGCAGTCCACCGTCACACCAGCGGTTACGCACGTGTTGGTTGGGTGGCGGAGTTTCAGGCAGCAGGCTCATCAGGAAGGCTGCCATCAGCAATCAGGCAATTTCGGAAAAAAGTCAATACGACGTTTTCGGGAAAAGACCAGCGCTGATCCTCCAGGAGACAACAAAACGCAGCCAGCGCTGTGCGCCCCGAGACAAGATGGATGGGCTATAGGAGGGAGGGCTGGTTTGGGGTCCATCATGGCAACAAGATAGCTCGTATCCGCCACGGTGTAAGACGTCAAACGTCGATCCGTGCAGAACCAGTAGGGTGCCAGAGGTCGTGGGGGCCAAGGTCGAGACCCGGGTCCCTAGGAGGACGGAACTCTCTGGCAAGCCTCTTTGCTCAAGAGGCACACGGTCGCAAACGAGACGGCAAAGACGACTATCAGGCAGCACCGATGGTATCACGATGGCTTGCAGCAGCAAGGGGCCACTATAGTGCGCGTCCAGGCAGACGTCTCGGACACCATCCGCCCAAGTCATAGACGTCGATGTTGCCCGCGCCCCCAAGAGTGACGGCACCGCGGGATGCACACAAGTCCGTGTTACTTCTCTCTCCGTAGGAGGCACGACGTCTCGACAAGACGAGCGAAACGACCGCCAACCCGTACCGATGATACGACCAGGGCTTATAGATACGAGGTTCCAATATAGTCCGCATCCAGGCAGAAGTCTCGGAAACAACGGCCCCCAAGCCGTAGACGTTGGTGTTGCACGCCCAGGAGTGACAGCACCGGGGGCACACACACACACACACACAAGTCTTGCACCCGCTACCTAAAGATAGGGTCGCTCAGAACCCTGCTCCTCTTGCCGGTGCCAGCATTCCAACGTAGTACGTGCCGACGTGTGCGCTGATGGAGGTGACGGATGGAGCTGCTCCGACACCGCGACGTGCAAAGGCATCCGTAGACTCATCGCAGGCTGGACGAGACAGGATCGTGTCCCTTTGGGCATCGTGAGCTTCATCAAACCTGGCACATCTCAACATGTAGTGTTACAAGACTGGCCTGCGTGTACCGGAATCGCGACTGCAGCTTGCTACGTCGGAAACGTCCTCTGCATTACCTCAACCAGCTCACAGCTCCCGATGCCAGACCGCATTCAAAAGCTCCAAGGGGAGAAGAAGTGTCAATAAGGGGAGAAAAGAGGTTAGTGCGTTCTGGCAAGGCTCGCGTGGTAGTGAAACTAACCTTGTTGTCCCAGCAAGTCCACGGGGGGTCAATGAAGGCGATCAGATTCATATTTTCCGACAATCGCAAAAGCTACTTCCGAGGCCGATTGGAGCTCACTTTTACGAAAAATTTCGTCCTCTGAAAGCAGGCGCTACATTTACACTGGTTATACTAACTTGTGATTCTATAAAGTCTCCTCCTTGACAGCAGGTCACCTCAGGTTTACTTTCTCAATCTTTGCGTGTTTCTGACCTGGACATTGGATCTGGTCTTGACGCAAGTATTTATTCTTCACCACTTTTTTTAATAAAATCGACGGAATTTACACTCTATATTTTGGACCATTTGTGCATGTGTGAAACCTTGCCGCACAGGCTACAGCCCCCAATAAGCTATCAGCGGACACCTGCCTGCTCCAACGAAGGACGGCCCCCACGACTAGATGGTGTCGATCATGATGGCCGATCTTTCTAGGATGTAGCTGGTTTCAGTTGAGAGAAGTACACGTCTACACTAATAATAGTAGCCTATGCCCAGGCATGGGCGCCCACGTCGGATGGTGTGCAGCATGTCGAGGCAACGACGTGTCGCTGTCTGAACGAAACTGGAGCCTATTCTTTGAGTAACTTGAACCGCTTAGTCCCTGTCGCAGTATTTGCACAGCCATGTAAAATTGTTGCCTGTGTAAGGCGGCAGTCTGATGTGTCAAAGGCGTCGCTTGTGCCACCGACACGCCAACTCACCCCCCCCCCCCTAAAGCACCAGATATATAAAGCCTGAGAGCGCCTTTTCCTCTCTTCAAATCTTTTCTAGACAACTCGCATACTTCTCTTCAGTGTTTCTAGACACCTCACATACTTCTCTTCAGTTCGTTCCTCGACCCCTCATATACTTCAACAGTCTTTCTCTCGTCATCACCTTCCAAGATCAACATCACCGAGACGACCAAGCACAATCTTTAGAACCCGAGGGAGCCTGTCGCGACGAGCCAGGAGATTGCGAAAAATTGTCCTCGGGCTACGCCGATCATACTCTACAAAACACAAGTATGGCCTCTACAGAAGGGCTCGACGACGCTCCCCAACCCCCGGTGACGGACAGGCGCTTCGTCACAATTACTGAGGAGTTCTGGCACCAGACGCAAGCCAGACGTGACCGTCATCCTCAACCAACAGGGGACAGACCTGTGCAACCCCTGGCGGAGGACGGGAAGAGTTTATCTGATGAATACTTCCCCAGTCCTGATAGTTACCCCCCGGAACAGACGCCAGCCATATGGGACCCTTTTTCTCAAGGGAGATATTCGCCAGTGCCAGCCATGTATTACCCTTATTCTCCAGGGAGCGAATGTCAGCCAAGGCTAGAGACGGCTATATGGGGTTTGCCTCCTAGCTACGACCATAGTCCTGCTGATTTCCAGGAAAATCGACAAGTCATGCGTCGTTCTCAGCCAATGCCACCAACAGCTATGGGGGGGTCCGCCTCCTAGCCACTACAACTATAGTCGTTCTCACCACCGGGGACATCAACCAGTCATATATCATGCTCAGCCATGGCCGGAAGCAACCCGGGAGAGGCTCGAGAGTTCCTCCCGTCGTTCCAGTCACAGCCAAGATCAACAGACAGCCAGAGAGTCCCCTCCCTCAAGCCGAACAATGAGGGAACCTCATCACCGTCAGCTTATACCTGCGGAAAGGCCGAGGCAATCTAGCCACTCGACTTATTCTGGTCAATTCGAAGATCAAAGACCGGCCAGACAGGACCCTCCCTTGAGCCGAACAAGGAGGGAACCTCATCACCGTCAGCTCATACCTGCGGAAAGACCGAGGCAATCTAGCCAGCCTACTCATTCTGGTCCATTCGAATATAACTTAACAATCAGATCTAGCCATCCCCAAGGACAGACAAGGAGGGAACCTCAGCACAGTCAGCCCATGCCTGTAGAAAGGCCGAGGCGATCTATTCCTTCTGGTCAGGCCGAAGATCAACGACCGGCTAGACAGGACCCTCTCTCAAGACAGCCAAGGAGGGAACTTCAGCACAGTCAGCCCATACCCGCGGACAGGCAGAGGCGATCTAGCCTGTCCACTCATTCTGGTCAACAACAAACGAACGTCTCTCGTGGCCAGCAGAGAAATGGTACATCATCAACAAGCTCATCGCGTGTGCCAACGGTCATTACTATAACGCAGCATCGTTCTAGTTGATACCAATGGCTGCTTCACAGGCGGACGAGAGCCCGCTTGACAGAAGGCTTTTCGTCCTCCGACCACAAATGTCTCGTTTTTTTTCCTTATCTGTACTAATTTGTGTGTCGCTCAGTTTGCTTTTAGGGAAATAATGGATTGAGAAAAAGGATTAGTGACGTTGGAACGAGGCCCGCGGCCATTTTGAAACATTGCAAGTCTTGCGAGTCGTCAGTCGTATACTGTCGTTGGACAGAGAACCACGCAGGGCGCGTCAAATGGCATGGTAAAGTGGGCAGAGGATTCGCTCGATGGGTAGGTGAGGCGAGTGCTACCGCATATCGACGCTTAGTTGCTTTGTTTGGGTGTGTTTTGTGTGTGTGAATGCGCGGTAGATAGCCGTGCTGACCTGGCCAAAACTTATGGCATCTTCTTCTTAGTCGGCAAATACTGCCCTCAGTTTCTCAAAATACATCTCTCTGTCTTGCATTTTCCTCTCTATGATGTCATGAATGTTGGGGCGCCATAAACTGGCAAAGAACGCGTAGCCGGCGTTGTTTATTTCCTCCTCGGTCAAGCCAAAGTAATCCGGCAATAGTCGCTTATAGAATGTGCTTGTAAAGACGATTGAATCATCCAACGCTGCTGGCGCCCAGAATGTCCCGTTGGACCATGCCTTGTCGATGACCGAGGAAAGCGGCTCGGTCTCCTTTCCGTATCCCGGAAGCTTCGCCTCTTCCCGTCTCAAGTGCTCGATGAACTTGTTGTGTATGGGAGTAAACTCGGTTGGTTCAACCTCATCAACGAGTTTTCCTGTAAGCCAGTATGGTGTCTGCAAAAATTCGAGCGGTAACGACGCAGCGAATTCGAGGTCAATGATTCTCGTAATATTCCATTCTTCGTCAACAAGAATATTACTCCGATGCATATCAGTCAAGGCAAATGCAAAAGGCCCATCCTGAAGATCTCGTCGAAATAACTGTGGGAAAATAGATTTTGCACCAGCGAGACTAGTCATTTGATAGCAGGCATCGGAGTAACTGCTGATGCCGTTTGGTTGGTAGAGCAGCCGATTTTCGTGAGCTGCGATACGATGCAGAACAAAGCCGTCAACGGTGGAAAATGTCTTGTCTCTAGGCAGATCCACGGAGACGCCTTCGTTTTCCTGCATAGCGAAGTGAAGGCTGAGGGGGCGGTTGACGAGGCTCACATATCCGTTGTCGTCTATTCTAAACGATCCGATGCGAGGAAGCGGGATTTTAGCAAGAGAGAGCATTACCCTGGCAACGTCGCGCTGCAAATTGTGCTGGAGCTTCTCGTCGTGATGCTTCTCGTCCCAGGACGACGAGAGCATCTCGCCAGAAGTAATTGTCTCTATGAGCAGGTAGCCAATGTCAAGGCTGGCGAGGTGACTGGGGCAACGATGCACATAATCCGAGGGCTGCGAAAAGCCAAAAACGGCCAAGAAGAAGCGTCGAGCCCGCTGGAACCAGCGAGACCAGCAGGGAAGAAATTCAAGATTCGTCCACTAAAGATAGTAATGTTAGCATGTGGGAAGAAGACCCAAAGAGATTTGACACTTGCTCTTTTATTTGTAGACAGGCCAAAGCCATAGAGCTGTGGTATAGGGACCTCAGGGCAATTCCGCTGGAGCCATGCGTACGTCGCGGCCTCGGTATTGATCTTTTCGTCTGAATTTCCAGGATTCGTTGCTTCGCCGACACGATATGGTAATGGAAAGCGAATAATCACAAACTTGGGAACGGTCGTCTTTGTAGTCTCATCAGCTTCAACCAACACTGGAACACAAAGGTTGAACGATCCATTGAGCCAGTGTTCTTGAGGAGAAATGGTGACTTGTGCCGATTTGACGCAAAGATGATGGGCCACAGCATCAGCTAGGAGGGGACGTAATCCCTCGATGCGCTCATAAAAGGCCTCTTTCTGTTTGGGATACTGCAGCGCGTGGAGAATGTTTTTGTCCCGGCCTTGTGCTTCAGAAAGCGTAATGGGGCCGGAAAGCAGGTTGCGAGTTGTCATGGTGGACGGCCTAAGATGGTCCGACAAAACAATTGCAGCAGTTGAAAACGAAAGTACAAATTACTGAAGACGCAAAAGGGCAATGTTGAAGGGCTGTTGTACGCACCCCTGAGGCTTTGCATCAACGCAAAGTTGGGAATCCCCTGGAACGCCTTACCAGGGGAGGCGGATTTATTTTTGCCCGCAAAGGCGGCCTGCCGCGGTGCTACAGCGTGTAAGTGCCGTCGGTTCAAAGGAAGAACCAAGCAAATCACATCAATACATAACTGAAAGAATGGCAGTAGTCAGCTACACAATATTTAGCACTGTAATCAATTACAGCTACAGATACTTGATCCGTGTTCAAAAGCGACACCTCCAACATATAATGATTAACAACAACACTTGAACATGTGCTGTAGCTCAGTGCCTTTGGCACTAGCCATGCTGTTCCAGCGCAGCCACCATCACTTCCACGCACTCGACGGCAGTATGATAATGCTGAGATAAAATGTAGGAAAAACGACAGTATCCGCTCTAGACTTGGCAGGGTTATAGCTTGCCCTTGACCTCCATGTGTGGCGCCTTGGAAGAGCCAATCAACAGTAGATCATTCTAAATGCTCGTAAAGTTTGTGACAAGGGAGCGTCAGCTAAGCCTGGTTCGGAGACCGCGTTTCTACAAAACGATTCAAAAGACCATTCGATCAGCAAGACTAGGCCAAAACTAGGAGTCGCAGGGATTTTGTTTGCCCCCAAGTGTAGCCCCAACTTGGACGTGTAAGTCTTCAAAGCTCAGGACTCACAAGTCCGATCTTCGGCTCCGAGTCTATAAGTGCATATACCGTCAGTATAGTATACCGCTGATATATATTCTGCGACCACAGTTTCGACGGGCAAGTGCGCATGGCTGGGTAGCGCCTAAAACCCGCAAGTTGGCCGGAGCCCAAAGCCACCACGACCGAGCCGGCCTCATCGCGCGAACGTCAAGTCAGTGAGGAAGATTGGAACTGATATCGAGACCCATGTCTCAACAGTGCGCTATTTGTACAATGCATCTCTAGATGCTTCCGAATGCAGCAGGGATAATTTTCTAGTCGCTCTTGACATATACTGCGTCGAGCCAGGCGAGTCACCGTGTTAGACACCAAGTATTGAGGAACGGCGACATCACGAGCCAGCTGACCACACTCTACGGAGGACTCCTGGGACATTCACCCAACGAATCATGTTCTGTGAATAGAGGCTAGTGCATGTGGCTCCCGGAAGAAAGGATACAATGACCTGCATCGGCTCACCATCGTAACATCGTACCAGCGTTGGTGATTGAGTTGAAGGAGATGCAGATGGCGCAAGCTCCACACCGTCTTTTCCAAGTTAGCTCCCAACTCTGGGCGGCTCGTCAGTTACCACTCCATGTGTACTGAGCCGAGATGTTCAAACTTAAACCAAGATGCACGCGCAACTTTCGGCCGCCCCATGGGGTGGTGACGAGAGTGGTGTCCAACCATCTAACTGTAGTTGTCGACAATGTCTCCACCCGATGCAGCGACTGAGGACCACCAACATTGGATTCGTATTAGCGCGTATAATCTACCCTGATCGAGAAGCTGAGCCCTACAGGGCCAGTGTGGGGGGTTGCCTGAGCCAGCACTTTCAGCGCTTACGCAGAAGGATGATTGGCTGGCCGTTTTGAGGCGTGGCTCATCACAATGGGAAAGGCCAGCAACGTCAATTTGTCGGTTGCCCTTTTTCCGCGGCTAGTCAGGACCTTTCGCCTGTTTTCGACACGAGACATCAGACGCAGGTCTCGGCGCGGAGTGGCGGTTTTGGCGCGAGCTACGCTAGAGTTGCTAAGAGAGAAGTAAGTCGAGCTATTAAAGGCCAGTCACACGTCGACTAGACAGCAGTGATATGAGAGCTCTCTGTTGTACATTAGAGGTGAGTAGATTGAAGCCTCACAGGCATGTAAATGAGCTCATGCAAGGCTCGCGGCTTGTGACGCCTTTTGGAATCTGAATAGGGCATAGAGCGCCGCTGGAACTCCAATTCTAGTCATGAGCCGTGTGATTCACGGCTTTCAGCTCCGTGGTTGGCCGGTCATGGATTGGGTGACTAGCTGGAAGGATCGATCAAGGAGCTCACAGTACTGACCGACCAGTAATAGGGCGGCGTTGCATAGGCTGGTCTGCTAGAGCGAGTCGAGCGCGGATTTCTTCCGAGGATTTCTATGAGTGTGCACGAATATTGGGTGTCATGCACTTAGACTAGCGTATTTCAGCGACAGACGAAGCAATGTAACCTGGCACTGGAAGGTGATGTTCGCGATACACGGGCGATAGTCGGTGAACTATTCCGGTGGGCTATGTGTAGTGGTTGCTGTGTTGGGTCGGCAACTAGACAAGCGGCGGCAGCCCGGATGGCGCGGTGAGTGACGCAGCGAGCGGCTCGGATTGACGCATGTCTGGCGGCAATACGCGACACCGCTGCTGCCGCCGATGATATTGTGCGGAAAGGAGAGAAGAGGTATCCGGTACCAACAGAATTTTGGCTGCAGGTATGGCATGCAATGCCGGTTGTCATGCATCGCGGCCGCATGTTGGGTCGCATGAGGACGTTAGCGGGACGATCGAGTGCTCAACGGATTGTCGATGAGGAGCCCCCACGGACGATTCGGAATTCCGTATCAGAGGTCGAGGACAAAGAAGCTAGTCATGTCGGCATCCCAAAGGGGATTGAGCTATTTGTCGAAATGGCAGGGACGAGGTTGGTGATTCGCCGACTGGAGCTTGGTTGCGAGCCAAGGTGTCCTGTTTATGTGTATAATGCAGGCCAAATCCCGGGCTGGGATTGTACAGAGATGGACGCCTCTCGGGGGCCAGAAAACTTGGCGCTCTGTGGCGTCGGTGCGAGTTTGTTGGTGCTGGAATGGTTTGGGAAGAATATAGTGCAGTTCAGTAGAAAGTGTGCCGCGGCTTGCTAAACCATGTCGAAAGTTGCCGACATTGTTACTGTTGGCCAAGATGAACCGCATATGCACCCTATTGATGGAATGCAGGATATATGCACCCTGTTGATGGAATGCGGGAGCATAAGAGACAATATGATGCGACCAAGACGGTGGAGGAGGGACGTTGCTGAGCAGGGTTGAAAAGATTTGCTGGATCATGAGCAAAAGGGGACCACTGCCTCGCTCAGGGCATTTGGTGGTGCTGCAGGACGACAAAGCATGGCATAGGGCAGGTGGTTAGGTAATACCTTACTATCGGTACCTATAAAGAGAATAGAACTACATCAAGAAAACAAAGGACAAACAGAATCAGATTATCGTGACCAAATTCTCAACCAGCAGAACAAGGCTTGAGGGGTCAGGGGAGTTTCCAGCCGCCACCCGCCATCTGCCACCTGCCACCTGCCACCTGCCACCTGCCACTTGCTAAAAAGGAGGTCCTTCTTGCCGGCCCGCCCATCTTGAGCAGCTCCTCCGTCCGTTTGCTCATCACATTGCCTGCATTAATCAACACACATCCCCAATGCCTCTTTCCCTCCAGCAGGTTACCAAACTCTCAGACACGCCTCGAACAATCTAGCCGGAATTGCAAGATGGTGTACGCACTTCCATCAGCTCCGTCAAGTCATTTGTGCTCGTGTTAGTCGCGCTTGAAGCAGGACGAACCACCGATCCTCCCTCCCACACCCCTACGTAGCCACATCATTCGTCGATTGATTTTACTAACCTCGTGTGTCAAGTGATAGATAGACGTGTACTACCTAGCTCCTAGGACTGTGAATGGCTGTTCCACGTTGCCTCTCACAACTGGCAATTGCCTCCCAACGGCCGGCCATTGCTCCAAGTTCAGGAAACAGGAAATTGTCTCGGGCTTTTTGCAAACTTCTCTGTCTCATTCAATGACGGAGCTGCCAGCGATGAGAAACAAATCTTTGGCGCAGATCCCTGGCGACCCTGTACGCTGATTCGTTAGCCGACGCCTGCCCTTGTCCGCCCTGTAGAGGGGAGGGCCTGCAGCTCTTGCGGCGCCGTCTTCCAGTCAGAGCTCTTCTCCAGCCGCTTGCCGCTCGGGGACCTCAGAGCAACCCTCGCTTGTCGCCAATGACGCACCTGAGCTGCCCGTTTAGTCACTTTCCCAGATATCACTGGCTCGATGGCTTCAGCCGGGTTGCGCAACCCCATGGGTACCTTCGCTCAGAAACATCGGTGACTATCTTGTCAGCCGATGCCCAAGCCAAACCGCCGCTCTCTCCGTGGGGGCCAATGCTGCCTGGCTCTTTGCCCGGTCTCTCTGCCGGCTCAAGATTCAAGCTCATTTATTATATGTTCTATACATATGCTAATCATAGGCTTGTATGCACCTACCCAACAAACTTGTCGATAGTTTGCCAGTATACGTTGACTCTCCAGCGGGTCACCAGAGAAAGAGAGACATTATTGTATCCCCGCTTGCTGCCTCCAGAATACGGGGCTGCGGGACGGGCGCCCGCGCCGTTCAACTTACACAGCTCCAAGGTGTCCCCACAAGCTAGGCAGGAAGGCAAGGCAGGAAGGCTAGCATGGCACAGCCAACTAGGCAACAGGGTTACTCGCTCGCGGGACCTCGACACCGAGAGGGTGTGTGCAAATCACACAGGCCAGCCCAGCGGACAAGGCACGCCAAATCTTAGATGCTCCCACTGTTGCTCCACCTGGTGCGCGCTCTTCCTCGTGGCGCCTCGCATGCAGAATCCTGCGCCCACTACCAACCACAAGCTCGCGCCTGTGTCTCTTTGTGGAGGATGCGTGTGGGCGGATGTGCGTGTGTGCGTGCGTGTGTGCGTGTGTACGCGACGGCAGACGAACTGGCTGAGGCGCCTTCAGATGTTGGCCCTGCCCATACCAGATACTCCGTCCAGCCGTCATGTCCTCTGCGCGTGGCGGCCCACGCGCGGGGACTACCTACCCGTCTTCGAAAGCTGCCAGCTAGCTTCGTCCCTGCCTTTTCTTCCAATTCTTTCTTTCTTCGGCATGTCCTGCCTAGTCTTGCTCTGTTCTTCCTTTTCTTCTTCCCGTCCGTACTAGCAGTCGCCCCTCCGCTCCACAGCAGCCATGGAGAAGCACAAGCAGGCGGCCGGGATGGACAATGCAATGTTGGTGCGGCTCGACTTTGACGTGACTGGGCCAAGCAACCAACGCCGCAGACTCCCGCCGCCTACCTGATCAAGATTATTATCTCTTCTTTCAGCACCCCAATGTCTCTTTTTTTTTTGCAGATGATTCACATCCTTGCCAGAGCGGCCCAACCAGCGACCCAGCCCACCGACTAACATCGTCTTTCATCTACATCTCGAATACACTACAAGCACACGCCCCCACCCTCTCACTTGCCAACCCCAGCCCTACGCTTGGCCGGACTTTACTTCAAGAACATTGCAAACATTGAGAAAATAAGCAATCAGAGAACACTGCTTCCCCGGCGCCGTTGCCTTTCGACCAGGGTCTACAAGTAGAAATAACTTGTCACAAACGAGACTGGTCAGATCCTCCACACGCGTACATTCCCGGCTTCCGCTTTCCGTATAAGCGGCCGCGAGGTACTTGCGTTGGCTCGGTACAATTTGCCATAGTATGGCAAAAAAGGGAAAAGATATTTTGACTGCAAAGACCGTTTCCAATTGGTACATATTTAAAACACCTTTCTTCCTCCTGCTCTGGCAATCCATCATCACCCCCACGCTCATCTTCTTCCTTGTCTTTGCAGTCTGCGCCGGACAAATTTCTGCCTCCTGAACAGAATCGTCCACTTCTGACACTACTCCCTTCATATCAGCCTTGTCTTCTCTAAAGACCAGTCCAACGGGACCGGAGAAGCTTCATTCTTCCCAGGCTCTCTTCAGCTACCGCGTCTCGGTGGCATCTGATACAACTCCAGAGCCATACGAAACATCAAAACCGCCAACATGTGCCTTTGGGTTACATTTCAGAAGTGGACTTTGTGCGGCTGTACCTCTCAGGATACTGAGCAGAAGCCCACCTGCCCGTGCTCTGTTGTGATTAACAAGGGTACCCAAATTTGGGAGGGCAACTGCGACCGCCCTCAGTGCCCGAAGGCCTCGTAAGGTTACTGCACGGTTTATTCAATGGCCCTTTTGTGAGTATACCTGGAACTTTGGTCTCGAATCTTGGTAAATTATAAGCGCTAATATACTCGTCAGCTGCATAACACGGTCCCAGTCCAAAAAAGACGATATACGCAACACTTGCATAGAGAGCCTCGCGGCCAGCATGCCCCCATTCGGCAACTTACATGAACATCGCCCTTATTACAAGAATATCATGGGCGATTCCACTTGACATCTTCAATTCTTGAACATCGCTTGGCCGATCCTCTTTGGCGGCACTGAATTTTCTGGTTCTTCGCTTCTTTCAAGGGGTGTCCTTTGTGACCCCCCTTGCCCTTTTACGTCACCGTGTGGCGGACTTACTCTACTCGCTCCCTACTTTCTCTTCTTCATTCAAGCTTCAGTTGTTTTCATGACGATTGGGTATACATTGAACAGTGATGAGTTGGTGAAGGCTGTCAGCCCTTGCAGTCGGAACGGACTAGCACAATCGTCTGATAAAATGCAATTGTTTCTCTACTATTTTTACGATGTCTCATGCAACTTCCCCCGTGCGTATTTGGGCTGAAGAGGCTGCAGTTTGCGCGTGCAGAGCCGTGTTGTTTGTTAAATTTGGATGTTGTGCGCAGCGGGATGTCGAGCTGGCGTGTAAGACATGAGGAGTCATTTTGGTCTCTCGTCTCCCCCTTCCCCTCCCGTCCCCTTGACATGAATTCGATATCAGCTCCAGTCGTTTGGGGGCCATGGACTGTCAAGTGCCGACGGCAGGCGATATGTTGTGTTACATGTTTGCCCCCCCAAGAATGGTGCGCCGGGCGCTCCGAGCGGTGCTGCGCGAACCAGCCGCAACCGGGGGGGAGAATGGTCATCGAATATGCAGCACTGCACCTACATGAGATGGAAAAGCGGCCCGCTCTGCCACCACAGCGTGACACAAAGAGCATGCCATGTCATTTGTCCAACATGAAGACGTTTTCTGTAACGCCCAGTGCGTTTGACGCTTCGAAGCTTGTAGGCCATGCCACTGGCTGGGGGCCCCGAGGTCGCCTTGAGGCCCGTTATGCGGCCGGGTGGGCTTGGACGGGCGAGGAGTCACCTCTCTCTCATCTTCTTTCGCGCTCCAACGCCGAGCAAAAAATGGAAAGTGGAAAAAAGGGGACACGATTTTGCCTTTTCTTCAAAGGCAAATGGATGCCTATTATTCCTCTTCATTTTCCGCCGCTTGCTCTTAGTGCAGACAAGGGTCCCAGATTGGCTCGTCGCCAAGTCTTCTTGACAGCATCAGCGTCATCGACTAACACGCAACAAAGACGGAGACCCAACTAACACGGCCGCCGCGTTGTCCACCGGTCGAAGGGTGAAAAGAAAAGAAAAAAAAAAGGCAAAAGGGGTGTGTGTGACTGCTGCCGCGCGGTGTGTCTATACGGAATCCAAAGAAAAATCTCTGCTGGGCCTGCACGATTATTCTTTCAAGTCCAAGTCTTTGTCGCTCTCTACTCTGTGCATTTCGTCGCAGGATCTCGGCTATACCGAACCACGCCAAAGCTCAAGAGGGCGAGAAGCGCGCCGCCCGTCCAGGAGCGCGAACGCCCGCGCCAGCAGAATGAGTTCTCCGCCCGCTCTGAGTGGCTAATAGGCTGGTTGTGCGTCTTTCTTCTTTCGTCTACTTTGCGACTAAAATGAAGCCAGCTCCGTCGCTACTTTATTAGCTACCTAGTTGCTCGCTCGCCTCCGAATTCTCGCATCCGGACTCTCGCCTACAACCTGAAAACGCATCAAGTTGCTTGGGCTGGCTTAGTGCCATTAATAAGCGCCGTTGTGTCTCTACTCTGCCCAACCTTCGAAGCAACCCGTAGCTTAGGCTAGAAAGATGCCTTTTCCGTTGCCTCTTTCTTTTTCTTCCCTCTCTTGTTTCTCCTCCCCTCTCATCCTGTCTTTTTTAGCCTCGCCTCTTCACGCCTGTCCTCCCCCCCTCCGTGTCCGCCATGCATCCACTGCTCATCATGTGATGGCCAACGACGACGGCCAACGGCGTTGTCCCCTCTCTCGGCCGGAGGCCGAGAACAAAGAGAAAAAAAAAAACACGAAAACTTCGGATACGTATAGTTTCTAGGGTCGGGTGGGAAACCCTTGTTTGTTCTGATTTGTTGGGGGGCGGGCCTTTGAATGTAGCGAAAAAAGACAAAGGGCGGCCTGTTCGCCAGTCCAATACATACATACACTTGGCCCGCCGCCCCCAACTCCGCTCCTGTCCAACAAAGGCCACGTCCGCCAAGAATTTGGTTCGGAGAATGGGTCATTGTCTGTTTCTGTTGGCGGGCCTGGTTCCGGGATTGCGAACCGTATGTATTAGTTACCGATGGCAATTTCCCCCAAGTAGCAGGGAAAACGCAGGGAAATGCAGCCCTCGTTTGTAGCGTGTCTTCTTTCCACTTGCTTGCCAGGAGAGGCTCGCCGCTCATCCGTAAATGGACTCCTAAAACTGGTTAATAAGCGCCTTGCCCCCCCCTTGCTGGCGCGCGGGAATCTTCCGTGTGAGTTGCCGGTTCACCCCGTGGCAAAGACTTTGCCCATCCCGTTTCTGTGTGTCTTACAGTCTCCTCGTTCTAGCATTCCACAGGAGAAGCAGACCAGGAGAACCAAATTGCGCCGTCTGGTTCATCAACCAACATGACTACCAGCCTGTTTTTCTCTCCCTATCACAGTGAGGGGATCAACATGCACATGCTATCATACAAACCAGTCTGGCTTCAAATTGGATGTATTCATTACCAGGATATAAATAATTCACAGCTGAGAACAAGCAAAACAAGGTGAATAAAAGAAATGACAGTAAAAGAATAAAAAAGCAAGAGATGATGTTGAGGGTTCCAATCTGCTTTCTCTCTGTGATAAATAGCCCCCCGCCAGCCAACAATAAAGTCAGGTCTCATGCTCATTCTTCTTGACCAAATTCAATTTGTTTCAATCTTTTGTTTCGTTCATAGTCATCGGCTTGCTTCTTCGGCGTCGCAATCGGGAGAGGGAAAGTTTCAGTCAAAAAAATAGGGTGTACTCTTTCTTTTGGGGTTGTGGTTTGCGTGTTTGTTTTCCTCCTCTGCTTTTTGCTATCAAAATATTTCTTCTTCTCTCCTTCTGTCTCTCCCCTGGGGTGTAGTGTACATACAAAAACTGAAAATTAATCGGGGGGGAAGAAAAAATGGAAAAAAAAAATGCCAACCCAAACAAACATAAAAGAAAAGGAATATAGGAAGAATTATCTTGTCCTGTCTTTTTTTGCTTTGCAACGCCTTTCGTTTCAGTCTCTCCTCTTGCTCCCAAAATTCTTCCCCTTTCCCCAAACACGACCCAACAGAAAAAGAAATTGGCCTTCTCTAATGCAAAGGGGGGTTTCGTTCTATGTATAATGCCAATCTCCTCCGCTCTTTCATTCCGGTTCTCTTTCCAAACAAACACTCAAGACTCCTTTTTTGCAGGCGGGCTTTGATTTTTTTTTTTTGCAAGCTTTTCATGGTTTAATAGTCGGCGTGTCAAATCACTCGTTATTCGGTGAGCTAGGCGAGTACTGGTTGCCAGTTCCAGCGTCTCCACCAGAGCCCGGAGGACCAGGCGTGCGAGGAGAGAACTGAGGCGATGTGGGAGAGTAACCCGGGCTCGTGGGCGACTGCTGCTGGCCAGGGCTGCGACCGAAGCTCGGGCTCGTGGGCGAGTAGGCGTCGGGGGAGGTCGGTGACCACGATGGCGACGCGGGCGAGTACGAAGGCGACGTGGCGCCGTGCAGGTTGGGGGACGCAGGGCTGTAGTTGGGACTGGCCGGGGAGTAGCTGGGAGACGTTGGCGAGTTGAACTGAGCCGGTGACGTCGGCGAGTAGTGTCGCGGTGATGTGGGGGACGTCGGCGAGTAACTGGGCGACGTTGGGCTGTAGTTTGGACTCGCCGGGCTCGTAGGCCGCAGCATCGGCGAGGTCGGCGAGAAAGACGGCGATGATGGGCTAAAGGAAGGCGAGGTGGCGTAGCGAGCACCACCGTCCAGCATCGGCGACGTAGGCGAGTAGCCCGTGTTGGGAGATGACGGCGAATAGCCTCCCATGCCTGCGCTGAATGGCGACGTCGGCGATGTGCTGAACGGGCTGGAAGCGCCGCGCGAGTACGGGCTCATCGCACCATTGGTACCGAAACCACCACCGTACTCGGTGTTGAATCCAGTGGGTGTTTCCGAACCAGCACCCTGGATAGGAGAGAAGTTGCCAGCAGCAGGCGAAGCCATACTGAGGTAGCCCGACTCACCCATCGGCGAGCCGCTGTCATATGGAGTCGCTGCACCTTCGCCTTCGCCCTCCTTGGCGGGCATGCCAGGCATGAGGCCCATGCGAGAGTTGTCGGAAATGACCGTCTCCAGCATCTTGGGGTCCAAGTACACGTCAAAGTTACCAGTGCCCATAGGCGCAAGCTGGCCAAGCATGACGTTCTCGGAGATACCGCGGCAGTCGTCGAGCTCGCCAGAAGCAGCAGCCTCGAGCAGAATTTCGACAGTCTCTTCAAAGGAGCAACGCATCAGCGCACCCGTGTCAGCGCGATTGATACCGTGGCGAGTGACAGCCGAGATGACACCACGGTAGGTCATGATGTCACAAAGCAAAGCGATGTGACGATGGTTGACGTATGAACCGTCGAACGACAAAACATTGGACAACTCCTTGATCAGCGCAGATCGTACAGCTTCGACACCAAAGACCTCAGTAATCTGGTACAGGTCGTTACTGTAGGTTCTTCTGGGATCGACACCAGGGACAGCAAGCACTTCTCGGAGGGCGGATCCACTAGTATCCAAAAACCACTGAGTGCACTTCGGGTTGTCAATTAGTGCCAATTCAGAGCCGTCCTCATCTTCGATAAGACGAGTGCCCTTGGACAGGAAGGCCCTCTCAACACCAGGAACACCGCGCAGAGTCATGGTGTCAAGTAAGTGAGCTTCCAGGCGCTTGAGCATGACATCGTCCTCAATCTTCGTGTCGGGATCCTCGTCCTTGCCATCGTCCCGACGAATGGTACGAATACGGATGACTTGTTCGTCGGCGTTGTTGTCAGAGAAGATGATGGCCAGGTCGGTGGCGTACTCTTCTTTGATGCACGCAGCAACATCATCAATGGTGATTTCCTTGTCCAAGAGCTTTTGGCGATCAAGAGTGATGCGAAGAAGCCAGCGCGACTGGCGATGGATGGTGTCTTGGCCATCGTCCGGAATCATAAAGTACGACTCAACCATGTCTACATCTTCGGTGATGTTGGTGGCCTGCACGTCGGGGTCGTAGTAGATTTCGGTAACCGATGTGACAGAACGCAGGTTGGTGTATTCGACCAAGCTGCGGAGCTTCTTGGCCTGCTCCTGGGTACCCAGCTTGGTGTCCAAGTAGACAGCCATGCTTGGCGTCTTGATATTCTTGGCCAAGTTGAGAATTTCTTTGAGGCGCGGTACACCCAAAGTGACGTTCTTGGAGGAAACACCAGCAAAATGGAAGGTGTTAAGTGTCATCTGGGTGGCCGGCTCACCAATAGACTGGGCTGCAAGAACGCCCACCATTTCTCCAGGGCTGACGAAAGCTCGATCCCATCGATTTTGCAGCTCACCAAGGACGTGATCAAAAGCAAGTTTATTCAAGCGATGCACGTACACAATCTCTTTGAAAGCAAGACGTGAGCGAAGAAGCGCCTTGAACAGAATGGTGGCATTGAAATCAGCCTCCAGCGAAATGGGATCGCTGCCGCGCACAATCTTCATGCCAGACAGCAAAGTTTGTACAGTGGTGATGACATCCGATGGGCGAAGGTTACTGCGATCAGTTTCGCGAATGTTGAAGACGCGCTTGGCGCTCTCAATGATACGGCCGATATTGAGAGGAAGTTGCATCATCTCTTCGCCCATCTTGTGCTTGTTAATGTCGCGGACGGCGCGTCTGTCAGCAAGCAAGGTATCCCACTCCATGTCCAGCAATTCCATGGACGCCTTGTCGCCAGCCAGCTCGTTGCCGTACTCATAATCTTTGCGGAACCACTCAGGGGGGTTAGCAAGATCTAGGCGATACTGCCTCTCAAAGGCGGCATCAGACATCTTGATGGTGCCAAGTCTCTGTCTTTCAATGCACATAGCATCGAGACCATCTTCACCGTACAAGAATTGAATAACGTCGCCAAGTGAGTTGCGGACGGTTCCATCGTAGCGCGCGCTAAGGTCCTCAAGCGCCTTAACGAGACGACGCTGGATGTAGCCGGTCTCTGCAGTCTTGACCGCAGTATCAATGAGACCTTCTCTACCAGCCATGGCGTGGAAGAAGAATTCGGTCGGGGTCAGGCCACGAAGATACGAGTTCTCCACGAAACCTCGAGCTTCGGGTGAATAATCGTCCTTAGTGAAGTGAGGCAGTGTTCTGTACTTGAAGCCGAAAGGAATGCGCTTTCCTTCGACAATCTGCTGACCCACAAGAGCCGTCATCTGTGAAATATTGATGGAAGAACCCTTTGAGCCGGATTCAGACATGGTGACGGCGTTGTTGGAATCCTTCAAGCTCTTCTGCGTTGAAGTACCAGCCTGATCACGCGCCATGTTGAGAGCCAGGGAGACCTTGCTCTCGAAAGTAGCACGAACATTCATGCCGGGCAGAGCCTCCAGCTCGTTGGCTGTGGCCTGTGCGGTCAAGCGAGCGACTTCAGCCTTGTGTTCATCGATATGAGCTTGGATCTTGTCAATGGTCTCCTTATCGGGAATAGTGTCACCAATACCGATACTGTGGCCCGTGTTGAGCAACCAGTAGGTGACGACCTGTTGGACGCCGTTCAAGAACGCCATGGCGCCATCAGGTCCGAGCTCATTGTAGCATAGGTGGATGATGCCACCTGCGGCAGCACCGACATATTTCTTCTTGAGAAGGCCATATATGAGCTGACCACTCTGGATAAGCATGCCAGCATCATGCTTGGGATTGTCCAATTTATCTTCCTTGCTGTACAGACTGATCTCGGCAGGAATGACCATGCTGATGATTTGTTTACCAGTCCAACGAGGTCTTGGCTTCAGGATAGCCGGCTGCGGGATCACACCATCCCAATTGGGAACCCAGAGCATGATGTTTTGGACCAATTCCTTGTCAATGAACGTGTCACGACGGCAGAGTTTGTAGCAACCAGCCAGAGAGTCCTGGACAATACCCATCAAGGGGCCGTTCTTTTGAGGTGAGACGATGTTATTGGGGACGAGACAGAGCTCCTTGATTTCAGCTCGCGTTTCCTCGGTCTGAGGAACGTGCAAGTTCATCTCATCACCGTCGAAATCAGCATTGTAGGGGGAAGTGACGGACAAGTTGAGTCGAAACGTGGAGTATGGCATGACCTTGACACGATGACCCATCATGGATTCCTTGTGGAGAGAGGGCTGACGGTTGAAGATGATATAGTCGCCGTCGATTAGGTGGCGCTCAACTTTCCATCCGTACTCTAAAGAAATCTGGGCAGCGCGTCTGTGGTGTCTTAGATCGATTCGGGTGCCGTCGGAGCGAATGACGTATTTGGCACCGGGGTGTTCGTTGGGTCCATTTTCGACGAGTTGATGGAGCTTGGCAATGTTGTAGGGAGTGACTGTCTCGGGGTATGTGAGAGTGCGGGCAATGCTTCGCGGAACACCAACTTCGTGCAGAGACAGGTTGGCGTCACCAGTGATGACGGTACGCGCGGAAAAATCAACACGCTTACCCATCAAGTTGCCTCGCAGACGACCCTCCTTGCCCTTCAGACGGGCTCGAATGGCCTTGACAGGGCGGCCACTCTTTTGGAGGGCCCGTGGCTGGCCAGCAATATCGTTATCCATATACGTGGCAACATGATATTGTAGCAATTCCTCGAAATCACGCGCGATATGTTGCGGCGATCCTTCTCGAATGGCCTGTTTGACATTACCGTTGGCGCGAATAATGTCGCCAAGCTTGTACGTCAAATCATCTTCGTTTCTCGTGCCGGTTCCAGTACCATCCATGGAAATACTAGGACGCACAGGAGGAGGGGGAACAGGCAGAACCGTGATGATCATCCACTCAGGACGGGCATAGTCCGAGTTGAGGCCCATATTGTGCAGATCGCGCTCAGAGATTCGGCGAAGAATACCGTGCGCCATTTCGGCGCTGATGTTGACGGTTTCCTTTCTCTTGGGGCCTTCTTCCGAATTCACCTCAAAAGCAGCCTTGAGTTGCAGCGCGGCCTGTCTCACCTGCGGTTGCATGTTCCCACATCCGCCGTGTCCTTCGAGAACGGTGTTTTTGACCCCTGGAGCAAACTCTTCATCTTTGTTCTTGTCCTGCCTCTCCTCATTCTCGCACTTGCGCTTCTTTTTGCACACGGCCCAGATGCGCTTGAATCGAACTTTCGAATCGCGGGTACGAACAGCTGCAACGAATTCGGGGTCGCTCTGAGAGTTCACGTTAGCATCCAACAAGCTCAAAGGCTTCATGGAGTGAAGGGAAGACCAACTTCATCGGCCAACACTTTGCTGCAATTGTGGCAGACAATCTCCAAGACCTTCTTTACTTTCTTGATGAAGCCAGGGTGATAGACGGGTTTCGCTAATTCTATGTGACCAAAATGGCCGGGACATTCGCTCATCGGCTGAGCGCAAGTCTTGCACTTGAACTGGCGATCGATGGAACCGAGCAGGGGATCGTTGAGACCGCCGTCGCGCGGTGTTGTCTTGTTTTCTTCCATGGTTTCGGGGTAGAGAATATGCGCGACGCTCATGTTTTTGATCTCCTCTGGAGACAACATACCAAACTGAATCTCCTCGACAGTTTTGAGCGGCGCGCTCGAATGCGGAAATGGAAGGTTCGCCATGGTGAATCGATATGGCGATGACGGATTGAGATGCTGAAAAACTTTTGACTATCCAGTTAAGGCGTCAAAATGGACGCGCCTCGGGGGGTTGGTAATGGTGGTGTTACAGCCCTGTGCGACGGGAAAAAACTTGTGCGCGAGGGGAAATGACGAGAAAAAGCAGCTCGATTGGTTTCAAGCGCAAGCAAATCTCCTTCTCGATAGCAGAGGCCGTCAGAGTTGAGTTGCGGATGGCCCGTGAACGCAGCAGCACCTGTCCTGGCCAGCGGCCCAGGAGAACCTCAGGCTAATCGCCCCCGTCGCCTCCAGGTCTGAGATCGCAAGAGACAGTAATTCGTAGTTCACTGGGTTTTCAGGCACTCGAATTTGTGCTTGGTGATGTCGCGCTCGATGCCCGACACGCGTGGTGATGAGTTGGGGGCCGGTGAACAAAGTTTGTCGTGTTGAGGCGTGGCGACAGAGGGCAGGCCGAAGAAACTGGAGTTAACGTGATTGCGAGAGGATCGTACTGCGCTAGCCCTATTTGGGTCCGGCCACCTCCTAAGGGAGGACAAGTGGATGCCTAAGGCATGAACTAGGGAGGTACCAGGGACAAGAGCCACAAGAGCGCGAGCACGAATTGCCAATTAAATTGGCTTGGCTTACACGCGCCCGCCGTCTAAGGGCAAGTCAAGCTACATTCGAAGCTACACAATTCTTTGTCTGGGGTAACGCGACACCGACTTGTCTCTCCGCCAAAGATCCATCCATTCAACAACCACTCGCCCATGACTCAAGCAGGGATCCGGATCCCGAATTGGCACTGATTGGATATGGTGCTACGGTGCTACTTCGAACTCGTATTCATCGTTGTTGGGTATTGACTAATTCTCCAGTCCACGTCTTTTCTCATTTTCGCTTACCACGTCCACCCTTGGCCGCTCCTCGTTTTGGTGGTACAGCCTCGACTGCCCCATGTGAATCAGACTGATCATCCCCAGGACTTCGCCGGCGCATGGTCCCTGTCGACACGGTTATGAACTCGTCCTCGCTATCGCTTTCACCCAGCGTAAACAAAATCGGCATGCGAAACTCGTCGCCATCCATCTCGTCCTCAGTCTTCAGATGGTCGTTTGTCATGACATCCACCTCCTCGTCTTCGGCGTCTAGGCGCCGCCTGTGGATCTCTTCCTGCGCATAAAGATCAAACTCGTCTTCCTTTTCAATGTACACGACGTTCTCCTCGACCTCGGCAAAATCGGGCGCAAGAGCCGACCACTTTTGCGGGCTGACAACTGACCACATATAGATCCTGCCAGTCTCCAACCCGCAGGCTGCGAGCATTGCCCTGGCAGGATGCCATTCAATAACCCCCTGTTCCTCCTTTGGATCCTTGAGCATGCAGACCAAACTTCCATGGTTGCGCTCCCAGACGTACAGTTCATGGTTATTATATGTCGATGCAGCAACATATTCGCCTGTTGCGCTAAACGTGACGTGATTCCACGACAGGCGGTTGACAACGTCTTGAAATTTATGCTCGATCGGTATTTGTATCGTGTCAGGGTCGAGATCTTGGGCAGATAGGTTCGGAATCCGTAGGGTGCGAATGATGCGATCCTGTGAGTTGACCAAAAGGTCGCGACCGGAACCTGTAATTCGCAGTGTTGTAATTGCGCCAGCGCAAATCTTTTCCGAGTAAATGATCTCCAGCGTCTTGGCGTCGATTATGTTGATCTTCCCTTTGCTAGTCCCAGCAAGAATATGATCACCGGACATGGTCCAGACTGCGGATGTGGTCATTTGTTTGGCATCCTCCTTTGCCTGTCGCTCGTCGGCGTTCGCTCGTTTCGGTGCTGAAGGGAGTACGCGCTTGACATCGACGGGTTCGGATACATCAACGAGCGCTGGCTGCTCTTCAAATACAGCGGCGACAAATTGAAAGCTAGCAACAGTCAGTCAAGAGCAAGCAGCGGGACAGTCAGACCGCCAACCTATTCCATGGGTGAAGCTCTGCCATGTATACTGGAGCGCGGAAGCGCACTTCGCGAAACCTGCTTCCATCTTTCAGATCCCATAGGATGGCCCGCCATCCCTGACACGCAGAAAGCAGATAGCGACCACATCTAGACCAGCTGAGAAATGTGATGCTCTTGTTGTGGCCGCGCAGCTTCCTGGCGACACCCATGGTCTCTAAATCCCAGACAATGACAGTTCCATCGACGCGGCCGGACGCGAGGTAGTCGCCCTTGCGATTGAATCGTAGAAAAGTTGCATGCCCCGATCGTATGGTGCCCGTGATGCTCTCTGGGTAGTCCTGGAGCAGGTAGTCGTCGGAAAGAAGCAAGTTCATGATGGCGACGCGGACTCGAGGACGCTCTATTCTTGGACAGGCGCGCACTGAGTCAGTACGTGTAGCCCACCAAAGCAAAGCGCAATCTGGCGCGTTGTGTGAGGTACGCGTGGGTATAGATGCAAAAAGGCAACGGGCTTGTCGCAAATGCAAGGATGGGAGTTGCTCGTATGCGCTGTGGCGCGACGAGTTTCGTTGCCGCTTCTGTGGAGCTCCACCGCGGGGCATTTCTTTGACAGCAACACTCGCAAGCGCAACACCACTCACTCAACGGCAGGAGGACAATATGCGAAATGGCGAATTCAAAGTGGGTATCACTGTTTATTGTATTGTCCGCGCCTTCTAAAGATTGCTCTAGATTTGAGTATGTTCGCGAGTTCGAACAGCCCGATTATCTGCTACGAAACACATGGATCGTGGTTCGTGTGGACGGCAGAGCCTTCACTAAGTAAGAGGTACCTGCGCAGCGCTGGATCTACTCTCTTTTCTGACTTGGACTTTCAGGATGTGTGCGAGATATGGATTTGAGAAGCCGAATGACCGCAGAGCTCTTGACGTCATGAACGCGGCTGCCAAAGCCGTTGTCGCTGACCTTCCAGAGATTACCATCGCGTACGGCGTCAGTGATGAGTATAGGTACTGACAAGTTTGACGTACCTCAATGACCTGGCTAATATTTTGAAGCTTTGTCCTTCACAAATCTTGCAATTTATTTGAGCGAAGAGCAAGGTATGGCGACATGGTCAAGATCCTCCAAGTGACTCACACAGACTCACATGCAAAAGTAAACTGGTCAGCACCATCGCATCGACGTTCACGGCAAACTATGTCCACTGCTGGCCAAATTATTTCCCGGGTACACCACTTTCATTCCCCCTGCCCACATTCGATGGGCGCGCTGTTTGCTACCCAACCATTCAGAATCTGCGAGACTACATGAGCTGGCGTCAGGCGGACTGTAAGCAGTGTCTCTTGAACAATGTCTGGAGAATCAGCTAAGCAATCAAGGTCACATCAATAATCTGTACAATACCACCTTTTGGTCTCTGGTTCAGCTTGGCGGATTGGATAATAAGGAAGCAGAGAAGACGCTTGCGGTAAGGATTCGCCACCCTATTACCCTCGAGAATCTGCTAAGAAGTTGCTATTTCAGGGTACATTGGCTGCCGATAAGAATGAAATTTTATTCTCTCGTTTCAAAATCAACTACAATAACGAGCCGGAGATTTTCAAAAAAGGAAGCGTCGTGTTCCGAGATGTGCGTAAGACGATAGTCCTGCTTCTCTGACCTTACTAACATTGCCAGTACGAACTCGTTGACCCAGAAAGCCACAAAACGTCAGATGCAGTAGATGCGCTGGCGGAACCTGTTGAGCAGTCCAAGACGCAGAATGAAAACGACAAGAAGCGCCGGTCCAAGGCGCGAATCGTGGTCGAGCATTTGGATATCATTCGCGACGATTTCTGGGACCAAAGACCATGGATATTGTCAAACAAGCCGGGCAAGGTTCCCAAGGAAACGTAAAACCGCGAAAATAATACACATTTCTCTTGCATCCCGTAACATTGTCATATGCTACCTGTGCCTCAATATATCCCCCAAAAATGACCTAGGCGCCGACGCAAATGTAAGAAAAGAACGCTGATATTGTATGCCCGCAAGTCCCAGGTCCGGCCTATTTTCCATCCACCCCCTTGCTCTGCTGCCTCTTCTCCTCTTTGCGCGCTCGTCGACGTCGCTTGTCCGCCGCCGCCGCGTTGTCGGTGCGCGAGTCCGATCTCAACTTTGCCTTGTTCTTTTTCAGGGACCGTTTCAGTTGCGCCTTTTCCGCTCTACGCTTGCACCCGGCAACTCTGCGCGCGTCTTTGCGCGCCTGGCGCTCCAGCTTGGAAGCCTCGGACCTCTTGTACCCCTTGGACCGCGCCAGCTTTTTGGCCGACTTCTCGACGGGTGTGGAGCCAGACTCGGCAGTCGGTCCGTCGTCCTTTTCGTCTTTTTGCTTGTTCATGGCCTCGATTGTGCCCTCGAGGAAGCCGCCGCGCACAAAAGTCGTGTAGAGTGAGTACTTGCCGAGCGATCCCTTCTCGATGGCGTTGAGTTTGCCAGTGGTGATGGTCTGCACGACCTTGCCCTTTTTTGAAGTGTCGAGGCCTTGTAGCTGTTCGTCGAAAGCGTTCATCCACCACTGGTCGCTGGTAAAATGCTGCGTGGCGCCGATGCCCTTCGTGTTGTTTTTGCGGTTGAGCAGAAGCGGTTTGGCCAGACCAACAGCGTCGTCGGTCTTGTGCAGCGAGTGACCTTTACCTCTCCAGCCTTGGGCTGTTAGGAGTGCACTCGCGTTCATTTAAGGTTTCCCTTGGTTATTCAAAGGGGGAGAATAGTGCATGAGGTAGAAAGGACCTCCTTGACGTGACAGTCCCTGCGTCGCGAATAGATTGGCAAAGTCAGAAGTCGGTCTTTCGATCGTAAATTTTTTTTGGTTCAAGTGGATCCGTTTGGTGGGGTATGCACATGCTCTCCATGCTCATGAAAGTAGCTTACCCGGTAGTTCCTTCGTTTGGAATTTTTGTAGCTTATGTGCAATATCATACGAACATTTTCGCTGGTGGTGGTTTCGCTTGAATTTTTTTTGAGTACAGGCGACATCCAGCGTCCAAATGGTCTTTCCCATGCAACAATGCATCACCATGTCCGCTGCTACTGACTCCGTAGTCGTGTTCGACTACCGATTTTGGTAGGAGCCATTTGCATTGGAAAGTTAGGCTGGCACCTAAAGCAATGGATTATACCGATTTAGTGACCAACTTCCCAACTACCAACACTACAAACAACTTGTGAATAAGGAAAGCTGTCACTTTAAGATACCATAGTTATGACCGGCAGTATTCCCGGCCACTGGCTGGAAGCAATCTGTGTTGTTATTTTAGCGCTGTCTCGGTCCGCTAAATTAACCAGTGGCATGTGGCTCCCGCTACCTGTAATGACGTAACTAGGTGAGAGGTAGGTAGGCGAATTGGTACAGTTGGCCTTGTTGGCAGTTTTGTCGGGACCAGGCTCCGTCCTTGGTAACGTTGGCGAGCTCCCTTTCTCCTTCCTATTTGACCTCAGGGGCGTTCGCAGACATTAGACACCGACTCATCATCATGGCGCCCTTTTGTTCTGATCCGCGGCAAATTGTTATTGCCCTTGATCCCCGGCGCCGGATTGAGCTCTTCAAGCTCGTCGATGACATTATTTTCTCCATGACTGCCCAGCTCCATGCCAAATCGGACGAGTTGGGATCAGTCTCAATCGAATCCAGTATACACGAGGAAAATTACACGCCGCAAAACGAGAAAGCTGAACATTCTTCGTCAACCGGTGAAGTCGTCCGTACTGATGCCTCGAGCGAATCCGTGACATTGTTCGACTTCGACGATGCCACTGCTGTCAACGACAACAAGAAAACGTTTACTCCTCAGAACCCGTTCAAGAATGTTAAGGTGGGCGTGCCATGGAAGAGTAAACCCGGTAACCCCAGCGCCCCAAACCGGACCACAAGACAGGCCGAGGAGTTGCAGAGCGCCGCGCGCCAGTACATGGACGAGTGGGAGCGCGAGTTTGTCCCCAAGCTAGAGGAGATTGTGGTTGTCAAGGACAATGATAAGATTATCGCAGAGCGCCAAGCACGGCGTCAGGTTGTCGAGATGAACGAGGAGAATGAGCGCGCCGAGAGCAAACGCCGCACCGGATCCGACGAGGCCAAGGACGAGCAGACGGCATTTGCCATCATGCAGACGCTTTACCCGCCCATCCCGACGCCTCTGACTGAGCTATCAATGCACGACCGCCGCGAGGCCCTCAGCTGTATGCTACTCCTGCTGCTCTCCACGGGCCGGTACTCGGCGCACTCGCGCGCCCTGATGATGCTCCTGACGTCATCCCTCAACGTCTCACACACGTTCCTCAACAATGAAGAGGGCGAGATCGCGCAGTCACTGATCGAGCAGTCGACCGCGGATAAGAGTAAAAAGGAGGCCATGTCGGCGGATGCCGAGGCGGCGAAGCGCCAGCAGGAAAACAAGTTTGGCCGCTACTGGAAGGTCGGTCTGGCGTCGGTGGCCGGCGCGACATTGATTGGCGTTACAGGCGGGCTAGCTGCACCGCTGGTCGCAGGTGCTGTGGGAAGCATTCTAGGTGGTGTTGGATTGGGAGGTGTGGCGAGCTTTCTCGGCATCTTTTGGATGAATGGTGCGCTCGTCGGCGCGCTCTTCGGCGCCTATGGAGCCAAGATGACAGTACGCATGCCATTGCCTAAGCTATGCTTGAGAGCGATGTGAACTGATACAATTCCAGGGCTCCATGATGGACAAATATGCCAAAGAGGTTGAGGACTTCAAATTCATTCCCCTCCACGAATCTCCCGAGGGCAGCAGCAGTGGCGCCCGAGATCGCCGCCTGCGCGTCACGCTTGGTATCAACGGCTGGCTCAACTCGGAGAGCGATATCACCACGCCCTGGGAGGCGCTACCGCCCGACACGGAAGTCTTTGCGCTGCGGTACGAGATGAAGACGCTCCTCGCGCTCGGTACCGCGCTCGGTGACCTGGTCCAGTCGTTTGCGTGGAAGGCCGTCAAGACGGAAATCATAAAGCGCACCGTGCTCGCGACGCTCTGGGCCGCCCTCTGGCCAATTCAAGTCTTCGCCGTTGCCTCCAACATCGACAACCCCTTCAACCACGCCGCCAACCGCTCCAAAAAGGCCGGCCGCCTGCTCGCCGATGCCCTCATCAACAAAGTCCAAGGTGAGCGGCCCGTCACGCTCGTCGGCTACTCGCTCGGGGCCGCCGCCATCCACGCCTGCCTGCAGTCCCTCGCCGAGCGCCGTGCGTTTGGCCTCGTCGACACCGTCGTCGTCGTCGGCGCCCCCGCGCCATCCGACCCTGCCCACTGGCGCACCCTCCGCACCGTAGTCTCGGGCACCATCTTCAACGCCTACTCAGAAAACGACATGATTCTCGGCTACGTCTACCGAGTGCACGGCTTGTCCCTTGGCGTTGCCGGTCTCCAGCCTATTCACGGCGTCGCCGGCGTCGAGAATCTCGACCTCAGCGACCGCGTCAGCGGCCACCTGCGCTACCCGGACCTTCTCGGAGGCATCCTCCGCGCGTGCGGCTTCGCGGGCGTCAAGGCGGACCGGGACATTGAAAAGGACGAGGTCATTCGCCTCAAAGAGGAGTACGCGGCCGGTCATGCCGTCGACGTGGACGGCACAACGGTGGCGCCGGACGAGGCTGATTGTGGTGGTGGTGGCAAGGGGAATGTCGAAAAGGTGACTGCGCGGATGGAGACACTGCATATTGACGAAGAGGTGCGCGGAGGACCACCGCCGATGCCAAGTCGCCCGTCGGGCGACGCGCCGATGCCCAAGATGCATAGAAAACTGGTACCTGCGCCGGCGGCCCCCAAAGATGAGGACTTTAAGCCCATTTCAATGATCAACAATGACGAAGTGTAGAGAGATAGCCGGGCCAAGCCGTCAATGTATTCTTTAAAGTAAGACATTGTACATGAGAGAGCCACGGGGGAAGGAGCATTGTCAACTGGCGTACGACACTTGAATTCTACGGCAATGGTTCCTATCTTGTGCACAACCTCTGGGCTAAAAAACAGCAACTATAACATCGGCGGGGATATCATGGGAGAAATAACGAAACAATCTTTTGTTGATATAAAAAAAGGAGGAAGAGAGAGAGAGAGTATAGACTGGCTTGATATGGAAAAACCACATGGTAAAAGAGAACAAAACTAAAAAAAAAGGCCTGCTAAATTTGCAAAACCCAGTCATTGATAAAAAAAGACAAACAACAAACATAAAAAAACAAAATAGAATTAGACAAGGTCTTGTCGGCGTAGAGAGGAAATGTGTTTTGGCACACCCAAAAAGGTTGCAGCGTCTGGATCAAGAAGATGACAACAACAAAAAGAGCAGAGGATTGACCAAGAAAAATAACTCGGACAGCCGTACAGCGGCCCTATTAGGTAAGTTTCCTCTGCAGCAGAGCACGGTAAACCAAGCCCGGCAGCAGGGACGTGCAGCATTCTGCGTACGTCTTCACATCGCCACCTCCTTTTATGGTATCATGTAGAATGTCCGCAATAAAGTAAACACAAAAGTTTCGACGTAAAGGGAAGAAAATGCGCAAGGCGTCTTGTCGGGTATTCGAAAATTCGAGCAAAATATGTAAATCAGGGCGCTCTAAGCGCTGTTCTTCACCGGAGGAGGCGAGTTGGTGCCTTCCATGTTGCCAGTTAGCTCAGCGACACGGGCCTTGATGCGAGCAACGCGTGACTCGATAGCTGTTGACTACGTTAGTTCAGTAGCAGTTGAAAATGGGAAATTAATACATACTCTCCTCGCCGCTGGCCTCGTCCTCTCCGTCAGCAGCGCTCTTGCTGGTCGGCATGCTGCGGTCGCGCACGTCAGTCTGGCGCTGAGAAGCACGCTCAGAGGCATTCTTGCGGATCTGAGCCCATCTATCGTGTACCCCTGGGCTGGCGGTCCGGGCGAGCCCGCTGGTGTCCTGTCCACCATCTTCCGGTGTGTGGCGTGAGATAGGCGGGGGGATAGCGTCGTCCTCGTCCCCATTCTCAGGGACAAAAGCAGGTTGATCGGCCAGAGGGCCTTGGTCGAAGCGAGAAAACTCTTCCTCGCCTTCGGCATCCAGATCAGGGATTGCAGCCTTGCTAACCTCACCATCGAGACCTTCCAAATTGTCTAGCGTCGGTTCGGCGATAGCTTCCGTCTCGACAGGGGTCTCGTCCGCACTATTCGTCTTGGCCGCGGCAGCAGCAGCGGCATCTTGTTGAAGCATGCTGTTCAGCTGGGCAGCCGAGTTCTCAGGAAGTTTGGAGAATCGGTTCTTGCGGAACAGCTTGCGAAGACCACCCTTCTCCTTGGCAGGGGACTTTTGCTGGGCCTCAACAGGCTGAGCGGCTGGGGAGCCAATCGGCGATTCATTCTTGGGAGGAGGAGCCGGAGCAGTCTCGGTCTTCTCTTGCTTGGCCGGGTGAGGTGCAACCGGCGTCTCTGGATGCTTGGCTGTCTCAGCCTTGATCTCTTCAGGCTTCGATGCATCAGCCTTCTCAATCGGAGCAGGGGTAGCGACAGGTGACTCAACAGAGGCTGCAGGAACGGGCTTTCTCTCTGTGGCTTTGGCATTACCAGCAATCGCACCGGCACTGCCATTGGCGCTACCATTTGTGTTGCCATTGGTGGCAGCCTCGAGTGCTCGCTCCGACAGAGCAGGGGAAATAGAGACGCCGCGGCCAGCGTTGCTGTTGGAAAGGTAAGCATCCTTAACAGCTCCCTTGTCGTACTTCTTGACCCATTTCATGGCAGAAGAGGCCTCGCCAGCAATGGGAGGCTGCAGGTCGAAGACGCTGATTGTCTTGTCGCCCAAGACCTCCTCATCAGTGCGACCGCGCCGGGGAGCGGCAGGCTTGTTTCCAGACTCTTGGAGGGCACGCAACTGAGCTGCCTTGGCGGCAATCTTGGCTTGGGTGTCGTTGCCAACACTGGTGGTGCTGCCAACGCCAGGGCCCTGGTCACCTCTTCTCAGCGAATACTTGTTGATAGACTTGCGACGTGAGACAGTGCGACTGCGCTTGGTCCAGCTGAAGAATCCCTTCTTCTCAGCAATGTAGGCGCCCTCCTGCGGGTCCGGGGCAGCCCCGGCAATCAGTTCTTCCATGACAAGCCATGCACCATTGTGAACGGTGGTTTCGAGAACAGCACATCGACCAAAAGCAGATTTTCTTTCGCTGGTCTCTTCGGGGGCGAGACTGCTCATCCAAACCCACCAAAATGCATCATCTAGGTCAAAGGGAGTGATGCTGGCCAGCTCACCAGGTTCCAGGTCTCTCTCAGATTCCAGGCGGGGTTGGTGCGACTGAGAACTATGCTGTCGCTGGACATCGATGGGAGGAAGAACCTGGTCCGGGGGAACAAGCGTGCTGGTGTTGCCAGATTCGTCGACAAAGCCAGTTGAGAGGAAGTCGGCCCAAGAAGGCGTGGTAGGGCGCATGTCGTGGGCGGCAGAGGATGGGACGTGCAACATGCTCTTGCTTGGGCCAAAGGTCTGCGGGGGACGTTTGACCGGGACGGCACTCTCCTCGTAGTCATCCTCCTCGGTCAGAGCACTTGCGAAGCCGATGTCCTCAAACCGCGACCAAGAGGCATCGCGGAGGCTAGTAGAGTGCTTTGCGCTGGAAGCCTGGGACTGGTTGGCAGCCGAAATTGCCTTGAGAACTCGTCGGCATTCTTCACTGAGGGCTTCGGTAGCATCATCAAAGTCGGAGAGTGTGCGGAGAGCAACGTCAGAGTCGCGATACTCAAACTTGCTGGCACGTCGAAGGAGTGCAAACGGGGTGGGCGAAACCGAGTCGACTATCATGACGAGCTTGTTGGTGCGGGAGACGAGCATGTCAGCGGCTTTCGGAGGATACTCGGTCTCGTTGAGCAGTTTCTGAAGAGATCGGGGAAGCATCGTGATGCCAGTCAATTCTTGCTCAGGGGAGAGAGATCGCAGATAAGCGAAGAAAAGGTGAGTAGTGGCGTCGGCGGCCCTGGTGCGCTGTCAGTACAAATTGATCATCAATAGTTGCGTCGGAACGCTACTATGCTCACTTTTTCCAGGCCTTGTAGCCTCCATCAAATCCATCGCCCGTGTCCTTTTGCTCAAACGCCCACCAAGCGGCCATGCGAGATAGCTTGACGCCACTGAGTCCGTTTGTCTTGCCGTGAGCGGCAATGGCAGCAACGAGCTCGAAGAAGCAAAAGATGATGTGTTGCCTAGAGTCGCTCTCCACACTAATGGGAATGAAGGTTTTGAATGAATCTCTGGCGAGCTTGGAGTCTGCGGGGGGGATTGTGGTTAGCAATATATTCAAGCTGTAGACTTGGCGCGGGTACTTGCCGAGTTCGCCAATTTTGAACAGTTCGTAGGCGTCCCAGGATACGACGCCGCCCTGGAGGCGGCTCCAGCACCATTTCAGGACCGAAGCAAGCACCTCAAGATGAGTTAGCAATTTGTCCTTTTCTAACATGGTCGTATTGGAGCGCATACCATGGGCTCCGCGATGCGAACTTCTTGCTGCAGTCTCTCACCGTGGAGAGGCGCATCGAGGCCATCCTTGCCAAAGAAGTTTCGGAGAAATGTTCGGACGCCACTGGGATTGGAGGTCGGTCGGAAGGGTAGGAGCAGAAAGGGGTGATCGAGGCCTGTGGTAAGACGAGGTTAGCACAGAGAGCAGGACGCGGGCAGGGGTGGGGTGGCATGCAGCCACGGCCATACGGCAGGATCGCGTCTGACGTACCTCGCGACTTGATTTCATGGGTACAGCATCGGACCAGTTCGCCAATCTCGTCAGGGTCGACTGAGGTGCGAGTGTAGGCGTCGTCCCATCTTGGCTTGGGGGGTAGGGAGTTGGCGAGGTCGTTGTTGCCGTTCTTTTTTTTCTGGCGGGCATCTCGTGCCTTGTTGATGCGGGAGAATATTCCCGGCATCATGAGGCAGCACGACGAAGATCGTCGGGAAGGGCTAGGGGGGCTAGAGGAATCCGTGGTGAGGCAGCGCTGGTTCTAGCAGCGCATACAATTTGAGGTAACGGGAAGGGAAGCCCAAGGCAGAAGTGGAGTTGAAGGGGTGCGGGAGAGGGAGTGGAAAGAAGCGAAAGAAGAAAAATGATGCTGCAAATGGTAACAGCTGGGTGGATGGAGAGAAGACAGGCGAAAATAATGTTCTTGACAGGAGCTTGTATGGTGAAGAGTGAAGTTGATGCGTCAACGTCTCAGACCAGGAGAGGCGCTGTTGGCAGCGGACGTGTAAGTGGTTGGAGTTGTGCGGAGAGCAGCTTTGGGGGGGCCAAGAAACGAAGAGAAGGCAACCACGGCGGGCTGGAAGACGCCCGAGACGAACAAGCTGGGTTGTCAATGGCGATGCATAGAGAATTCCGAACCAGCCAAAATAGATAAAAAGAGCAGCCGGATCCAAGGACAAGGAGAGAAGGGACCTGGACGGCGGGTAGAAAGAGGGCTGAGGAGCGAAAAAGCAAAATGCGGGCGCTGGCGTGTGGAAAAGGAGAAGGAGCGTGGTGTGGTGATGACGGGACGACGGCCGCGGGCGAGGGACGGCGAGGGGGACGAGCGATGCGACCGCGACAGCGGCTACTATTATCGCAGGTAATTTCAAGGTAGGGAGGAGGAGAAGGACAGGCGAAGGACAGGCCGAGAGATACCCCTAAACTACATGGGACTCAGGAGGGAGTGGGCGTGGGTGGGCGTGATGAGAGTTGGCGCCAACAAAGGCCATGCGCTCTTGGTGCTAGTATGGAGTACAAGCTAATCAACTGGAATACCGGTCACAGACTCAATTCACAAGGAGGGATGTGAAGTCCCCTTTGGTGTTGGTACTCCGTAATTCGTACATGAGGGCCGGCTCAGGGGTCCGAAGTGAAGATGGGGCCAAGGTGCAAATCCACAAGGTGGGGTTGATTATTTTAGTGTTAAGATTGGGATGGGCCAGCCTTTTTTTTTTCCAGGCAAAGCGCATCAATGGCTTGTACTTGTACTCTGTAGGTACATAACTTGTAACCCGAAAAGCTGGATAACTGCCAATGAGCGGCCTGAACTAGGCTGGTGGGTCCCATCTCGCTACTTTCAGGTACCGTTTGTCACTGTGAGAAGCGACGCTGGTTCGAATGCCACAAACATGAAAGTACGTTGCAAAAGTTGCACATTCATTGTTTAGACTTTTTGCTAAATTCACCAGAACTAGCAGAAATCGCCTGTCACCGTCACAATCAAACCCAGCGACGCACGCTATCCTGCTAAAATTCCGTCTAAAATCGGTAGCACGCACTGCATCAGTGGGGCCACCCGCCCGCCATGGGCCCAACTCTGTTCCGTTCACTCACCCAAAGCATGGAGCACAATGGACAAAGGTAACCAACTGTCAAACTATAACCTACCTATGGTGATGGGATTGCACGTTATACTGTAATAAAAGACAGCAAAAGAGAACCATGCGAATCGATCGGTTTTCCGCGAATCTGTCCTTCATATTGGTTTCGCTTCCCTACACCATCACGACGACCCAGCCTGCGGCTACCTACCAATGTACCTATGGCTGCAGGCCCAAGTGCCGACCAGCTAACATTAGTCTGAGTTCGCCGTAGGAATAGTTGGCCGTTTGTTCCTGCTCTTCCCTTCACCCTCAATTCCTGATGTGACGGGCAAAAAATCGATAACAGGTACCTAGGCACGTCTCTGCTCGCGTTCATTCCTACCTGACTAAAACTACAAATTACCTGTGTTACACTCACCCGTCAATTCATAGGTACATAGGTAATCCACTGTAGAGGCGAAATCAGCCCTGAGTCTCATTGCTTCCAGAGCTCGACAATGAATAGGAGAGAGCAACAAGCCCCTGCCCTGCCCCTGATGTGCAGCACCCGTCGGTCCAATCACTATCGACTTGCCAACTGCATTCATTAATAATCTGAGCACCACTCACACTTGTCACATCACCCTCACACAGCAACACCGGTTTGATCACGTCAAATTCTTATGCACCCGTTATTCAAAAAAATCTTGCTTTATTATACTATTGCGAAGGTCGTACCACGGACCACCGCAACGCTGACTCGGGTTGAGTGTACGCCTCAACTCGCCTACGCTATTTGCCGCCATGACACCCCACGTCAAACGGTTGCCCGTCGACAGTCTCCATCTGGTTGAACCCAGAACCAATCCTCATTGTAAAGAGGATAGTAACGAACCGGGTTTTCGCCTCCCTCCAAGTTATTATCGTGCTAATAACTAGACTGCCGTCCCACAGTCGACACGGCGGCCATCCACACGCTGTCTCACTGTCAAGCCACACGTTAATTAATATCAATGCCGTTATTCCGCCAAGCCCTGTCCAGAAGAAAAAACGGACAAATAAGTCTGGCTTTGCTGGCAACAGGCCCCGGCCCCATACCCGGGCTGCGTTGTCACAATTATCGACATGGCGCAAGCCATATCGTCAGCTCTTTGCTCACCAACAACATCCTGGACAGAATGCTCCTTGTTACATACACGCATGGAAATGTCTAGTTAGCTTATCTGATTCTCGCGGCCCATCAACCCCCTCTGCCACGTCGCGGAGACCATCCAGCTCCAATTTAGACAGCCTGGCTGCTCCGCCAGCCCACGCTAGTCAGTCGCGCATCACACATTAGCCAATCGAGGAATTTCGGCTCAGACTTTCCATGATCTTTTTGTTGTATAAAAAGTCTGATGCCGTGGCACAAACGCAGCTGGCTCGTCACTGCGGGGGGGCGGGCGCATCTTGACAACGCAAGCTATGGTGTCGTGGTACATGAAGCCGACATAATGGAAATTGCATAACACACACAGCGCTTCTGCCCATGCTGAAATTATTCAAGCTGACAATGCAAGATCATGATATCAGAACCCTGCTATACTATGGCTTGGTGGCTTCTTCTTCCGCTGCCTTGATCGCTTCCTCCAGCGCCTCCTCGTCATCCGACCCAATCTCGTCATCCGCCTCAACGCTCTCTTTGCCCTCCGCAGCCTTCTTCTCCACCTTCTTTTCGACCTTGGGCGCACTCAGCGTCGAGTTGCCTGGCACCAGTGCCCAGTCAATCTCGCCCTCGCTACCGTACCGCTCAACCAGCCACTCGTTGGCCTTACGAAAGTGGCCGCAGTCAAAGAAACCCCTAGACGCGCTCAGCGGGCTCGGATGCACGCTCTGTAGCACCAAGTGCCGCTGCTTGTCCACCTTCATCACGCGCTTGCCCGCCGGTGTGCCCCAGGCCACAAAGACGACACCTCGTGTCCGCTTCTGCGCGATCAAGTCAATAATCTTTTGCGTCAGCCTCTCCCACCCGCGGTTCGAGTGCGAGTTGGCCTCGTGCGCTCGCACTGTCAGGCAGGTGTTGAGCATAAGCACGCCGCGATCCGCCCACGGCGTCAGTAGACCCGCGTTCTTCGGTGGCTTCTCAAAGGCCGGGTAGTCTTTGGCGAGAGCAATGTACATGTTTCGAAGCGAGGGCGGCGCCGGCGTCGGTGGTCGCACCGAGAACGCCATGCCGTGCGCCTGGTTCACATTGTGGTACGGATCCTGGCCCACAATGACAACCTTGACATCGTTGAAGGGTGTATGTCGGGACCTGGATCACACAAGTTAGAGACAACTTGTAGCAGTGTGCGTAAATTGGAGTGAGAGCAACACACCAAGAGTAGACATCTTCCTTGGGAGGAAACCATTTTTTCCCAGCCGCCGTCTCTCTGTCCAAAAACTTCTTCAAGTCGAGGAATTCTTTTGTCGTAATGTCATCCTTGAGCAGACCTAGCCAGCTCTCGTGCATTGTCTCAATCTCCAGCGTCAGAAGCTTCCTCTGCTCCGGCGTGAGACTGGCAAGCCACTTCTCCTTGTCGAATTTCGTCGGCGGCGCGGGAGCCGCTGCTGAGGATGCCGCAGCGGCGGTCTGGGCCGGCTTGGGCGCTGCTCCAAAAAAGGCGGCAATGTTGCCATTGGCCTTTGGTTTTTTTATCTCTGGTCCGGGTCCGGAGCCGCTTGCCTTGCGCTTGAGACTCGACATACTGTGTGATAATGCTTTGGCGACGAGGCGGCGTGCCGGCGGCGTTGTCAAAGCTCGACCAAGTAGTGCGAACGCCGTGGCTGCGAGTTTGGTGTAAAGGGAGAAGAGTGATTCAGACGCTAGTGATAGAGGTGATGACTTTCTGAAATTGAAAGCAACCGGGAATTGGTCTAAAAAGGAAGAGTGTGAGGCGTGGCGGCAAAGGGGATGTGAGCTGAGTGCAAGACCCTGTTGCAACCAGCAGCTGCACCCAGAACGCGGTCTCGCTCGCATGGCCCGACGCGAGCCCTGGCTCCCATCTACGCGTGCTGTGGCCGCCACTTCGGCCGCTGTGGGGTACACCCAGTGAATTCAGCCGGGGCAACTTGTCCTCGGACTATATGGTTGAGTTCAAGCGCGAGATAATGGATAATGGATAGGTTTTAAAAACGTTTACGTGCAATCGATTCCAATTCTTGGAGCTACTAGCAGAGTCCTTTTGCGCCTCAGAAGTGAAGCTGCTAAATAGGTAGGTAGATACCGCCCAGAACGGTTGGCGGCAGAGGTTGCTTAGTCACCCCTGTAGAGTTACCAGCCAGTACCTTCCGCTCTCGCAAATGGACAGCTTGTACACAACGGGCCAGCGTCATAAGCTGTCCTCGTGTCGTCAATATCCCACCTCACGCAACATATTAATACACAAGCACTGCGTGCACAATCGCCATGCACTTTGCTATCTACACGATTCGCGTGTTATAAAAAGTAGCCGAGTATGAAAAGCTCGGCTGTGTGCTTGCTCCGTACGTCGATGGCCCGAATGCCCCATGAGCTTCGGGATCCTGTTACTGACAATATTTCAGTGCTTTGGCAGGCGGCAATTGGCGCTACCTATACTGCGCAAAAGCCTTTGAAGAACAACCCGACCGTTGCGAAAGTCAGAGATGCGAATGAACCAACTACTGACCTGGCCGCCGGTGCGGATCAGCCGGTGGTCAAACAACAAGGTACGATGCCTGCATCACTTCCCGGAATCACGTACTGACGCCGTTCCAGGTGCCGAGTTAGTCGATGTTGCCTTGTCAGAGCTTCGAAAAGTGCCGCTAGCGACCCGAAAGAAACATAAAATGGCCTCGGGCTTGGTCAGCTTCACCGCGCGATACCTCCTCAGAGCTCTGCCGACTATGCCGGTCACGGGCCCGGCACAGAAGCCGTCCTCGACCGTCAGCGGGCCGGTCGCTTCTGCAAAGGGCTATCTCGAGCAAGCGGCAGCGAAGAACAACTCGGATGCGCTGTATCTGCTCGCAGAGCTAAACTTCTTTGGATACCACAACTACCCCCGAGACCTACAAGTCGCCTTTGACTACTACCAAAAACTAGCCCTACACAATGGAAACACGACTGCGCAATATATGATGGGACTGTTTTACTCTACGGGTATCGGAAGCGTCGTGCGGCAAGACCAAGCCAAGGCGCTCTTGTATTACACACTGGCGGCCGAGCGCGGAGATCCCAAAGCATTGATGGCTATTGGTTACCGTCATCATAGTGGTGTTGGCACTGTCAAGAACTGCGAGACAGCTCTTGGATACTACAAAGAAGTGGCTGACAAGGCTGTCAACTGGTATAGAGACGCTCCTCCGGGAGGCAGGTCCTGGATCCAGGAATCATGGCGCATCTCGGATGACGACGGTGGCATCTATGGCGAGGGAGCTAGTGCCTCGAGCGCGGGATTAAATGCACTGAAACGCAATCTGCACTCTAACGACAATGCGGATATAAGCGACGTCATCGAATACCTAGATCTCATGTCGCAGAAGAGCGATTCCAAAGCTTCATTTAACCTCGGACGACTCTACTACGAAGGGCAGCGCGGCTTGGAGAAGGACTTTGAGAGTGCTTTGAAATACTTCTTTTTGGCAGCTTCGAGATACTGGAAGCGTGATGGACGTGCTGCCGACGGTAACAAAAACGGCGCAGACAAGACGGCCGCCGAGGCGGCTGGCTTCATTGGGAGAATGTACCTGCGCGGAGACGGCGTCGCGCAAAACTTTGACAAGGCCAAGGCGTGGTTTGAGCGTGGCAAGTCGCACGGTGATGCACAATCGCAATGGGGTCTCGGCTTCATGCTGCTAAACGGCATGGGCATTCGACGAAACATCAAACTCGCCACGGAGCTGTTGCGGACGTCGGCTGACCAAGACTATGCGCCAGCTCAGGTGCAGATGGGCCGCCTGTTCCTCGATCAGGGCAATCCCGAGGACGTCAAGACAGCCAACTACCTCTTTGAGCTTGCCGCCCGCTACGGCAACATCGAGGCCTGGTATTATTTAGCAGAAATGACGCACCACGGCGTCGGCCGCGAGCGGCAATGCCATCTGGCTTTGAGCTACTACAAGACTGTTGCCGAGCGCGCCGAGCCTCTGGTCTCGGGCTGGTCGCAAGCCAACTTGGCGTACGAACTAGGAAACCATGACCTGGCATTCCTCCATTACCTCATGGCCGCCGAGCAAGGCTACGAAAAGGGACAAACAAATGTAGCCTTTATGCTGGATGCTAAATTTGGCAAGCTGTCCTTGGTCGAGATGCTCGTTGGGCGTCAGGAGAATAAGGTCAGTCCAATGGCCAACGCCAATCTGGCCCTCATTGAGTGGACCAGATCGTCTCGACAGTCCAATGTGGACTCGCTGGTCAAGATGGGCGACTATTACTTTTACGGCATTGGCGTCGAAAAGGACCTCGCCAAGGCGGTTCAATGCTACACAGGTGCTTCTGACTACCAGCAAAGCGCCCAGGCGCTATTCAATCTGGGTTGGATGCACGAGAATGGCGTTGGCTTGACGCAAGACTTTCACCTTGCCAAGCGATACTACGATCATGCGCTGGTAGTCAATGCGGAAGCATATCTCCCTGTCACATTGAGTCTGTTGAAGCTTCGCATGCGTAGTGCATGGAACACCTTTACGCATGGTCCGATCCACTCCATACAGGATGAGCCGAGTAAGTGAACATGATGCTGCGATGGCATGGGTACGTATGCTAATAGAGGTTGCAGAGAAAAAGAAGGATTGGTCACTCTCCGAGTGGATAAACAACTTCATCGAGGGAGACTTGCACTACGAGGACGACTCTTATGAGGACTACTACGACGCCAACACGATTGAAGGCGGGGAAATCTTTGACGACTCCAACGTGTTGGAGAGCCTGCTGATTATTGGCGTCACGTTTGCCCTCGTCGGCCTGGTCTGGTGGCGACAGCGATTGCAGCTGCAGCGAGCGGAAGCTGAGGAGCGTCGGCGGCGCGAGCAGGGCCTGCCGCCGGCGCCGGCGCCGATGATGGACCCGGATCTGATGGGCAGGCTTCCGGGCTGGGCGGCCAATGGCATGGGGTTCTGAGTTTTTTTTGCATCTTAGCGAGGGAAGGGGGCTATGGCTTGAGTGTACATAATGAGGACGGCGCTGGTTGGAGGTATGACATCTGTACATGATTAGGCACTAAAAGACAAGAAAATACATTTTTTATATGACGCTCAGGGTCACTGTGTGAGCCGCGTGACGGATTACTGTAGCACGTTCTGAATTGGCACTGCTACGGACGATGGCTTCGACAGCTCAATAATAATGGGGGCATGCCAAAATCGACCGAAATTTACAGCGCACGTCATGTCACCAGCGCCGATGCTCGAGGCAAGATCTGGTACGAAATCAGCGGTGTCCGCAATGAACAGAATGATGGGCCTGAGAGAGCTTCGGCCACGGCAGCGTTTCGTTCCGGGAGACGAGGGGCAACGATGAACCTCGCATGGAGCTGTCCGGCCCGGCGTTCTTTCGTGTTACAGAGCGTGTAATGGACCTGGGGTACGCGGGAATTTCTGGAGCTTTTGGTAGGGGCGGTGGGTTGTTTTCATGACGGCGAACCGGATGAGATCTTTGCAAGAGGTGCTCGCCGACGTCTCTGAAGGCTGATATTTTGGCAACAAGAATTGGTCAAATGACAACAAGCTAACCGAATTGGTAGCGATGCAGAGATTAACGATTCAGACGATACGGGCGATACGGGCGATACAGGCGATACAGGCGATACAATAGGTGTTATTATCGCAGATTCAGGGGCTAGAACGACTTAACAATCAATGCCGCCGGCTTTATTATAGCGAATTTATCAATTACAGCTATAAGAGATACAATGAATACTCGTTTATCCCCTATAAAACTTGGTGGCTACGTGGGTCTATACCAATTCGGTTTAGCTTGTTGTCATTTGACCAATTCTTGTTGTCAAAATACCAGCCTTCGACGTCTCTTGGCAGATGAAACGAGAACTTGCCATGCTATCCGATGATGCGCATGAGGAGAGCCGAGTTGGCGACAGCTGGGCGGGTGACCTGCCTCGTCTCTAACAGTTGGCTGCACAATGGCCGGGAGAGTACGTAGCACGTTTCGTCCGCGTCTGAAACCAGACGCCTTCCCCTTTACGGGGTTTGTGATACGGACTGCGTATTAGAGGGTATAACTGCGACGCAGGGACGGTAGGGGATGGAGGTGACGAAAGATGCAAAGGCAAGAGAGAATAAAAAGCAAAGGAGGGAGGTTGGCCGACGACAAGTTGATTCCTCATGTTGCTCACAGTGGCTGTGCAGAGCCTAGCGCCCAGGACAAGGCTCTTCTATTAGGCATACGGGACGTTGAGGTCGTTAGTTATTCAGTCGTGGTTTCTTTGGAACACCCAAGCTCTGATTTAATTTATAAAGAGGATGGAAAAGGGAGTTGTTCGACGGAAGTTCTTTTGCACAGCCCACCAAACGGTTTGATTTGAAAGAAGAAACAACCACTTCCATTGTGGTACGAATTACGAGTTACTCCGTGTCTGATTACCATGTGTACCTGTGTACAGGACACGGCGTGCGCCACATTAGTCGGGCAGTGCAACGTCTCGCCCTCGGAACAGCCTTTGACTCCAGCCACCGACCCCAAGGTACCCGTCCCGTAGTATTTGCACTCCCAAGGTACCTCCCTTCCGACCTGTTGACGCCACCTGCCCTTTTCTCCGTCGCTATATCATCTTCGCTGCCTCCCCCCCCAGAACCTTGTTGACCCTTTCACCTCATCAAACATATATCAACCAAAACCTTGTCGCCATCCTCTCTTCCTCTTGTCGTCCGACGCAAAGAAAAAGAAACACCTAACGCTCATCTCGCATACCCTCAAACGACGCAACGCTGTTACGTATCGATTCTTTCGAAAAGCGCTAGAAACCCAAACGCCTTGGGAGGCAAATTGCGCGGCGCGACGTTTTTTTTCTCAAGTTCATACATCAACCTACCACGGAACATGGCACCGCACGCCAGCCTCGTCGCGCGCTACATTGACGACTACGGTTATACTAGCTTTTGGTATTCGACAGTACGTCTTCGCGAAGCACCGGACTCAACTTCACTTTGGCGTCGGCGTACGGACATGCTAACGAAACCCACAGGCGGGGTACGCCATTCGATGGTCGCTGTTTGGCCTCTTTGTCCTCATCATCCTTCTATGGGTGGTTGGTGGTTATCTGCATGCCAAGCGCCTGATGAAGAAGGGCCTGCCTCTCAAGTCGTATCACAGCGTATGTTAATCCGCCCCCATCCTCGTCCCGCTCTGCATCGCTGACATGACGACGTTTCTAGTGCTTCTTCCCTAGACAACCGCGCGCGGCGCAGGCCGGCTGGTACCGTCCCTACAACCCCAACCCATACGGCGCGCAGGACGGATATAACATGAACTACGTGCCGCCCCCCCCGACGTACGATGCCACCCGCCCGCCCGAGTACCACCAGCAAGGGCCGCCCGTCGGCGCTAGCAAGGTTGATCCCTCGCAGTGGTCCGGACAGCCGGCGAACCGCCCCGCCGAGTCTAGCACAACGGGTGCGGGTGGTGTCCCCGAGTACGCGGCGCCGTATGGCCCGCCCCCGGCTGTCACGAGACAGTAGATGCGGAGCTCGCGTCAAGGAACTGCGGCGAATCTCTGCTGCTATGGATATATTCGTGCTGTACGGACAGGCAACGGCGACGGCTTGCTTGCTGACTCTTGCGGCGCAGATGCGCAACTTTCTCTCTCTTTCTCTCTCTTTCTCTCTCTCTCTCTCTCTCTCGCTCATGGTTATATCATTGCATACGGCGTTTCATACTTGACGGAAACTGTATTTACTCTACTGTACTGTACTTGGGTTATGGATATATGCTACTAAGCGAACATTCGACCTCATGACCAATTGCTCATGCTGCCTAAGTTCTGTTGCGAGAACGAATTAATCAATATCCATTTCTATATCATCCGATGCATCTTGACCTGTTGTTTGGTTGTTCTTAGTGCCGGCGCCGACGGCGGGGTTTTCTGCTTGTTCGGCGTCGTCGCCAGCTTGGCGCGCGCGATGCCGTCGGCGGGCATCGAGAATGGCCTTGCGCACGCCGTCCTTTTCCTCGGGCACCGACAGTGACGCAGGGTCGCTGTAGAGCACGAGCTGCATGCCCGCGAGCTCGCCGTCACTGTTGGCCAGGACGTGCGGCGGGATGCGCGACTCCCGCAGGCGCTTCTCAATGTCGGGAAGGAAGACGAGCTTGGCCTCGTCGGGCTCGCTGTCCTCGGCGAGCTCTTCGTCAATGTTGTATATGTAGACCTTGTGTTTGGTGTCGTCTAGACGCATAGCTTCGTTGGCGTCGTCGGCTGTCGGCGGAGGTTTCGAAGGCCGTGATAGTGGGCTCTCGACGGGGACGTAGATCTTGGTGCCGTCGCGCTCTGTGACAAAGGGAATAAGTATGAGCGGGATAGCGAGGAAAGTACGGCGGGGGGAGTGGCATGGTGAATTCAATAGAGAACAGAAAAAGAAAGAGATCATCAACATACCTAGATTCAAGAGACTCAGCCTCTTTGAAAGGCGCTCATTGTCTCTGTGCGGTTCGGCTTTTCTCTTGCGACGTGTGCCACTGGCCTGAGGAAGCGGAAGCTGGTTGGGGTCCATGCCTGGCGCGGCGCTCGTAGGAGATTGCGCTGGCAACATCACCTTTGCATCAAATCCGCTCTCTTGCGAGGAGACCGCGTCGAAGCGCCAGGCATCCAAAGCTGTGTCGCGTTTGTCTCAGAATTGCACTGTTATCTTGTGCGAGGCTGCGAGACTAGAGGCTTGAGTCATTGGATGCTGCTGTTGTTGCAACGGTGTGGTGGTGGTGGTGGTGGCGGCAGAGGGCGGCGGTCATCGGCGCTGGCACGGGCGGTGGTACAGCTCCAGTTGACTCACGCTGGTTGTGGAAGATTCTACTACATAACCCACCGCGGCGACACCCACCAACACCACTCCCCTCCTCCACACTCTCAACGGCACCTCTTTGCAAACACCGCCGCCATACCCCGAACACCCTCGATACGTGCCTTTGCGTCCGTCCATTTCCTCTCCCGTCACTTGCAGCGCCGGCTGTACTCTGACTTGAAAATGGCAACGGAGACGACCTGGCCCGCCGCCAAGGTCCGCCAGACCTTTCTCGACTTCTTCGAGAAGAGGGGTCATACCATTGGTGCGTAGCCTGCTTCGTCTGATCTGCGACAGCTCCAGCTCCCTGTCAGCACTCTTCCTTCTTTGTTTTTCTCAATGTAGACATGGCGTGCTCGCGACCAACGACACGCTTCGCATCCATGCTAACTACCCCTCCTCGCAGTCCCCTCGGGCTCTGTCGTCCCTCACAATGACCCCACCTTGCTCTTCACCAACGCGGGCATGAATCAATTCAAGCCAATCTTCCTCGGCACCGTCGGCAAGACGGATCCCATGGCCAACCTCAAGCGTGCGGCCGATACCCAAAAAGTCATCCGCGCCGGCGGCAAGCACAACGACCTCGACGACGTTGGCAAGGACTCGTACCACCACACCTTTTTCGAGATGCTCGGCAACTGGTCCTTTGGCGACTACTTCAAGAAGGAGGCTATCGAGATGGCCTGGGAGCTGCTTACCAAGGTCTACGGCATCGACCCCGAGCGCCTCTATGTCACATACTTTGAGGGCAGCGCCGAGCTCGGCCTCGAGCCTGACCTCGAGGCCAAGGAGCTCTGGCACGACCTCGGCGTCCCCTACGACCGTATACTGCCCGGCGACATGAAGGACAACTTTTGGGAGATGGGCGACCAGGGTCCCTGCGGTCCCTGCTCCGAGATCCACTACGACAAAGTTGGCGGTCGCAACGCCGCCAGCCTCGTCAACATGGACGACCCTATGGTGGTGGAGATTTGGAACCTCGTCTTTATGCAGTTTGACCGACAAAAGGATAGAAGCCTCAAGTCGCTTCCTGCTAAACACATCGACACTGGTCTGGGCTACGAGCGTCTTGTTTCTGCCCTGCAAAACACCATTTCCAACTACGCCACCGACTGCTTCACACCTCTCTTCCAGCACATTGAGTCCGTCACTGGGGTCCGTCCATACACCGACAAGTATGGCAAGGACGATATTGATGGCGTTGATACTGCCTACCGTGTCGTTGCTGATCACATCCGAACACTCTCTTTCGCCATCATCGACGGCGCCGTGCCTAACTCTGACGGCCGCGGCTACGTTGTCCGCCGAGTCCTGCGCCGTGGTGTACGATATGCCCGCAAATACTTGAATGCCGAGATTGGCTCCTTCTTCTCCAAGATTCTCCCCGCTCTCGTTGAGCAGGTCGGTTCTCAGTTCCCTGACCTGATCAAGAAACAAGAGGACATCAAGGAGATCCTCAACGAGGAAGAGGAGGCCTTTTCGCGCACTCTGGACCGTGGCGAAACCCAGTTTGAAAAGTATGCTACCAAGGCTCTCAAGGACAATGTCAAGAAGCTCGATGGCGACGTAGTCTGGCGCCTGTACGACACGTTTGGTTTCCCCGTCGATTTGACCAAACTCATGGCCGAGGAGCGTGGTCTCGACATTGATGAGGCCGAGGTGGAAGTTGCCAAGGACAAGGCGCGCGAGGCCTCCAAGGCTGTCAAGGACGCTTCTGCCACTTTTGAAAAGCTTAATGTTCATCTGATTGCTGAACTTGAGCAGCAGCACAAGCTTCCTCGCACCGATGATGAGGGCAAGTTTGTCAAGGGCGACAGCAAGGGCAACATTCAAATTATTTTTGATGGTAAAACTTTTCACAAGTCTACCAAGGACCTTCCTCCCAAGACCGCCGTTGGTTTGTTGCTCAACAAGACCAACTTTTACGCCGAGTCTGGTGGCCAGATTGCCGACACTGGCCGCATTATCATTGATGACGTTGCCGAGTTCAAGGTCATGGACGTCCAGAACTTTGGTGGATACGTCCTGCACAGCGGCTACATCGAGTACGGTGCTCTTTCCTCTGGGGATGAGGTCATTTGCGAGTATGACGAGCTCCGCCGCTCGCCTATCCGCAACAACCACTCCGGTACTCACGTTCTGAACCACGCCTTGAGAGAGGTTCTAGGCGAAGACATTAACCAAAAGGGCTCTCTTGTCGACGACGAGAAGCTCCGATTCGATTTCTCACACAAGGCTCAGGTCAAGATTGACGAGCTGAAGAAGATTGAGGATCTTTCAAACGCCTATATTCGCCAAAACGCCAAGGTTTACGCCAAGGACGTCGATCTGGACCTCGCCCGCGAGATTGAGGGTGTCCGCGCTGTTTTCGGCGAGACTTACCCTAACCCTGTCCGCGTTGTGTCGATTGGCATGGACATTGATACCATGCTTGCTGAGCCCAAAAAGGCCGACTGGCGCAAGTACAGCGTCGAGTTCTGCGGTGGCACGCACGTCGAGCACACTGGTCTCCTCAAGGACCTGCTGATTGTCGAAGAGAGCGGCATCGCCAAGGGTATCCGCCGCATCATAGCCTACACCGGTGAGGCCGCCCACAGAATTCAGCGTGAGGCTGTCGAATTCTCCAAAACGTTGGATGCCCTCGACGCCCTTCCCTTTGGCCCCGAGAAGGAGGCCCAAGTCAAGACCGTCTCGCAGGAGCTGAGCAAGCTGGTCATTTCCACCTTGACCAAGGAGGAATTCAACCAGCGCTTCACCAAGATTAGCACCTCGGTCATCAACGAGCAGAAGAAGAAGCAAAAGGCCGAATCCAAGACTGCCCTCGACACCGTCACCAAGTACTTTGAGGATAACAAGGAGGCCAAGTGGTTCGTCGGTCGCCTGCCCATTGGCGCCAATGCCAAGGCTCTCGGCGATGTGGTCAAGCACTTCCAGAGCAAGGAGAAGGAAAAGACTATCTACCTGTTTGGTGGCAGTGAGGAAGCGGGCGGTGTCGTGCACAGCGTGTACATCGGACAGGTACGAATTCTAGCCGCATTTCTTTCTGTCTCTATGTTCCATGTACTAACAATATTGTAGCACCTCGCCGAGCAAGGCGTCACCGCCGAGCAGTGGGCTGCCAGCGTCTCCGATGTCATTGGAGGCCGCTCCGGCGGCAAAGAGCCCACCCGTGCGGGCCAGGGCACCAAACCGGAGAGCATTGACGACGGTGTTGAGCAGGCCACCAAGTGGCTGAGCGAAAAGCTAAAGCTGTAAAGGGCTTCGAGGGGAGGGGGATTTTTCAATTATGAAGATACATGTGTATGAAATACCGATAGTGAAATGTTATAACGTTGGTGGGTTGGTAATGTGAAAGAAAACCAAGTAGATTTGGGGGACGGTTAGTTTACGATTCTTCATAATGCCGAGGCATGCATGATACGACACGTTGATCCAACCGTGCAGATTCGAGTGTACATGTGCTTGTGTTATATATATGTATGCCGATGTCTCAGCTCTTATTGATAATGTACAAGGAATATCCGAATGCTAGTAGTACAGAAGATGTAGCAACACACGAGTTGCTTCGTCAGCAAATGCAGCCCTTGCCTTCTTCATACCGTCACCATGACGCTCGCATTCTTGTAATGCGACAGCAGCGGGTTCTCGCCGCTACGCGTCTGCGTGTCCTCGACATAGGCCCAGCGGCGCAAAAAGTCGCCGTGGGACATGACGCGCGTGAGCTTGCCGGTAAGAGCCCTGTACATGGCCTCTGTGATGCCAAAGTCTGTGGGGAAGAGAATGTCAAAGTAGCCTTGGTGGACCTGGATGAAAGCAGTCAGTCAGCAACGAGGATTCAAGAACCTGGGGGGGGGGGAACGTACCAGCGGCGTCGTGACGGGCACCATGCGGCGGTTATAGCGCGTTTGCACGACGGGCGCGTTGAGACCCTTGACGGCCTGCGGGAGGGTGTCAAAGTCGCTCGTGACGAGGCGGTGCGCGGGAAAGTAGCGCTCGAGCACATCAAAGAATTGCATGAGGCGGGTCGGAATGTACTCGGCCTGGGAGAGATTAGGCGCAAAAGGCCGGTTGGCGGCGAGCCAGCGCAGGGCCGCGTTGGCGGGGTACGGGCGGGGATAGGCGCCGCCGGTGGCGGCGTGCCGGACGCGAAAGAAGCGGGCGGCGACGGGGTCGAGCTCGTGGACGTAAAACTCGTAAAAGTCGCCATCGCCGTCAATCAGCACGTGGCCCTGCAGGGGGGCTTCCGTGGCGACGTCGTAGCGGATGCCGTCGTGCGCGAAGTTGTCAAAGACCTCCATGGCGAGGAAGAAGCACGGGCTGGGCTCGTACTGGTCCCACTCGAACACGGAACGGTTGATGATGGTGACCTTGTCCGCGTGGCCGCGCGAGGCGGCCGTGGCCTGCAGGTGGTGGTCCTGCATGGCGGCGAGCGCGGGAGAGATCTCGATGATGTTGTAGCGGGTGCGCGCGTAGACGTCGGGGTCGACGGCGCGAATGTAGTCGAGAATGTTGAGCATGAGCGTGCCGCGGCCGGCGCCCATTTCGTAGAGGAGGAGGTCGTGGTAGGGGTAGGCCGTCAGGCGGTAGTTGGCGACGAGGTAGCGCGCGATGGCCTCGCCGTAGAACGGGCGGAACAGCTCGGTGGGCGTGTGCCAGAGCTGCCGCGTCGGGTTGACGCCGCCGTCGGCCTCGTCGAGGGCGTCTTCGAACTCCGTGTACCGCCGGCCGACCTCGCCTTGGAACTCAATCTCGTCGCGCATGGCGCTAAAGTCAAACGGCGCGCCGGGGCTGAAGATGACGGCCTGCTTGGAAAAGTAGCCGTACGAGGGGTTGTAGAGGGAGTCTGGTGGGAGGGGGGCCATGTTAGGGATTGCTCTGTAGCGTGGGCAAAATTGGGCTTGGGCAATCATGTACCTTCGATAAAGTCGCGTAGTAGCATCTTGACTTTGCGCGGGCGCTCCGTCCGCTGCTTGAGCTCCGCTGCGGAAATGTACGGGTACTTGGCAAACTCGTCGCTGCGGTCCTCGGGCAGGATGTGCGTCCGCTGCTGCCAGCGGCTCTCATTCTTCTTCATGCCGCGGTCGATGGACGCCCTCGTCGCGTAGCTGCGTGCGTTGTGGTTGGAACCGCAACGGGCAATCGGTCGATGGCTCGGCCGGCGGAGCATCGTCGTCGCCGTCGTCGTCGTCGTGGGCCAGTGGCCCTGGCATCCGCGCGGCCGCTGTCGGAACAGCTGCCGGAACAGCTGCGTCACAATGGGAGAATCCATGGGGCCACAGCGGCACACTCGCTTGGTCAAGGCGGGCGGTTGGGGGGAGGAGGAAAGAATGGCGCGTGATGGAACTGGTCCCTGGAGGTTGTCTGAGCTTCCAACACAGTGCAAGTAATTGGGGCTCTCAGGCGGCAAGGGAAGAGCATTGTTCCGGTTACAGGGGCATTTCGGCATTTCGCAGGGGACCTGAGGCGCTAAACCTTGCTGCACAACCGCCGTGTGGAGAGCTCGCTCATGCATGACGTTTTTTTTGCACCAATTTGCCATGCCTTGAATTTGATTTCCTCACCTCGCTAATCCGCAGAGCGATTGCGCGCAGTAACACGGCCTCACATCATCAATTCATGGCAGCATGTCGCTAAGCGACCATCCCAAGGCCTATGGCACCGCCGCGCTGGTGGCCGCCTTTGCCGCCGGCATCCTGGTGACGCTCGGGTTCAAGGACGCCTACCCCGAGCTCGAAAGCCGCTTCCAAGAGAAGCGCCGGCGACCGGGGGGCCCTCGCGGCAAGGGGCCGTCCGGCCAGCGTCGACGCTCCAGCATCTTCTGGGGCACGCCCGTCACTCTCGAAGACCACGAGCAGGACTCGCCGCCCCGCCCGTGCGACGGCATCGTCGAGGACGGCATCGCGGGCTGTATCGGGCACACGCCGCTGCTCAAGATCCGGTCGCTGTCCGAGGCCACGGGACGGACCATCCTCGCCAAGGCCGAGTTCCTCAACGGCGCCGGCAACAGCCCCAAAGACCGGGTCGCGCTGGGCATCCTCCGCGACGCCGAGAAAAGGGGCCTGCTGACGCCGCACCGCGGCGACACCATCTACGAGGGCACCGTCGGCAGCACGGGCATCTCGCTGGCGACGCTGGCACGGGCCATGGGCTACCGCGCGCACATTTGCATGCCCGACGACCAGAGCCACGAGAAGTCGGACCTGCTGCTGCACCTCGGCGCCGCTGTCGAGCGCGTGCCCGTCGCGCCCATCACGAGCCCCGGGCACTTTGTCAACCTCGCGCGGCGGCGCGCCGCCGAGCACGCGGCCGCCCACGACGACGGCAGCCGCGGCTTCTTCGCGGACCAGTTCGAGTCGGCCGCCAACTGGCAGGCGCACGCCGCGACCACAGGCCCGGAGATCTGGCAGCAGACGGGCGGGCGCGTCGACGCGTTCGTCGCGGGCGCGGGCACCGGCGGCACCATTGCCGGCGTTGCGCGGTACCTCAAGCAGCAGGCGGCGGCGGCGGCGGAGGAGAGCGTGCGCGTCGTGCTCGCGGATCCGCAGGGCAGCGGGCTGTACAACAAGGTCAAGCACGGCGTCATGTACGCGCCGACGGAGCGCGAGGGCACCCGCCGCCGCCAGCAGGTCGACTCCATGGTGGAAGGCGTCGGCGTGAACCGCGTGACGGCCAACTTTGAGGCCGGCCGCGAGCTGGTCGACGACGCGGTCAAGGTGACGGACGAGCAGGCGTGCCGCATGGCGCGCTGGTTGGTGGAGCGTGACGGGCTGTTCCTTGGCAGCAGCAGCGCGGTCAACTGCGTCGCCGCCGTGGCCGCGGCGACGGCGCTGCCGCCGGGGAGCGTCGTCGTGACTGTGCTCTGCGACGCGGGCACCCGCCACCTGAGCAAGTTCTGGAAGCATGTCAAGGAACTGGGCCTGGAGGAGCACGAGGCCACCGACCTCTTTGCCGAGCTGGGCCTGGAGAGGCAGCCGTGATGAGGGATCGATTTGCTGTACTATAACCAATCAATATACCCCTGTTTTGCATTTGACTTATACCTGTCGAGAATAGGACGATGTCAAGTGAGACTAAAATTGATGTATAAAAGTGTTTTATGCATACATGAAACAACTAGCAAGCCTTGTTCTTGTATATCACGAATCCCCAGAAACTCCCCGAAAGAGAAAAAGAAAAAGAAAAAAGAAAAAAAGAAAAACACCCCCTGTTGTCGATTTACTCCTCTGTCGGTGTGATGAGTAGCCCGTGAGGCCGTACTGTAGAATATGTAGCTTTGAAAAGAATTAAGGAAAAACACGCAGTGGCCATGATCAAGCTCGGTGTCACATTTAGGAAAACTACACCAGCAATGGTTAGCCATGTCAAAAACCCTTGGGGGGCCGCCGTCGAAAACTCACCTTCCATCTGTTGCCGCAATTCATGCACTCGCAAAACGTCGTCATCGGCTCATCCGCACTACGCGTCTGCGCCTGTGTGTAGCTGACCTTTTTCTGCTTGCACTTGCCGCACTCGAGGCTGTCGCTGATGCTCTTCTCCGCCATGGGCACCTGCGCCTTTTTCATGTTTTCCTTTTCCAGCTCAATCTCCTTTTTGCGCTGGTCGTCGCTCTTCAAGTCGTCGTCGGTCATGGCGACGAAGCGCTCCGGCGGGATCTCGCTCCCCATGACGCTCACGCCCAGCGCGCGGTTCGACTTGTTCTTGAGGTTGGTGAAGAGGGAGCGAATCTTCTTCTTGTAGTCGGCGCCCTCGCCCTTGAAGTGGGCGAACGCGGCCGCTTCGACGGCCACGGCCTTGGCCAACACGTCCGACTCGGAGGCGGTGGAGCGAAAGGCCAGGCCGTTGTAGATGAGCCCGATGCAGCTGTTGCGCACGGTCGAGTCGGTGCGCTTGGTGTCGACGCCGTCGGCATCGTACTTGCGCGTCTCGGGGTCGCCGGCGAATTTCTTGTTGGCGCCCGCAGGCGTGGCGGTCGCGGAGGTGGTCGTCGTCGGAGGGGAGGCGGCGGTGCCGGAGGCGGGGGAGCCGAGCTTGGACTTTTGCATCTTTGTGTACTTTTCTTGCTCGACGAGCTTCTTCCACTTGTTCACTAGCTCGGCCGCCGACCGGGCAATCTCCTTGTTGGCGTTGGAGCGCAGCTTGCCGACAAAGACACCGGCACGGGTCGCCTGGAATCGTACAAGGTCTGGTTAGCGGAGAACAGTTCACGTAGCACTGCAGCACTGCATATTGGGCAGACATGAGGGGACCGGTGAGAGTAACGCGCTGCAAATTCATTTGCGACGAGCACGACGACGTCTGCCATGCGCGTCACCTTTCCCCCCTCCCTCCCTCGTGCAGGTCGAAGCCACGAGCAGGTTCCACCCGGCGCAGGCGCAAACATGCAAAACGTACCCGAAGCATTTCCTCAGTTGGCGCCGCGTCCTTCTTCAGCAGATCCAGTAGGCGCAGCGCGTTTTCCGGCGCCTCGTTGGCGGCCACGCTCTTGGTGAGCGCCTTGATGCGCATCTCGAGCTCTCTCTGATCCATCGCGTTGTTCGTTCGTTCGTTCAAGGAAGGCGGGGAAAAACAAAAACCCAACAAAATCAAGCAAGGCCGCGTTTTCAGGGTCGAGAAAAACGTACGTCGCTCCTCCGGGTTTTGTGGAAGAAGGAAAAAGAAGAAACAAGTACACTGCGCTGGAGGGGGGGGGGTTCGGTAATACAGGGTTCGCCCCAAAACATACGGGAAAGAAAATGCGCCACCGGTTCCTGGCCGAGTTTTAGCCGGGAATCGTCATTGGTGGGGGTGATCTTCCTCATTCTGATTATTTTCTGAATTATTATACTTCTTATCTTTATAGTTCTATTTAACCTTCTTGTCCTTTTATTCTTTCCTATTTTATCTGTTTAACTCTCTTCCCTTAAACTTTTTAACAGATCGTATAGACTGTCTGCTGGCTAGTCTTTTTCTCACCCTTATGCCGTGTAAGTCGAGGTTACCTCGTGAGGTGGTCGCGTGCCAAAATTCTTCTTTGGTGTAAGCATGATTATGGTGAATTTGATGGGATGCGGTGTGAATCACTGTCGCAAGACAGTGAATCAGTTGCGGGATAATGCATAGACTACTCCGTTGAGCGAGTCAATATATCCGTACAGCCCCATTCACTTGTACGACGTCTCAAATCATATATGTTTTCCAAATATTCTACCGCTTCTGTCGCTTATTGGTCTGCTGAGATGCTTCCTCTCCCCCTCCCGCCGTATTCTTCCTCAATTTATCCACTGCCGCCGCCATTCTCTTGCTCGTCCCCGCCGTCTGGCGCGGCGCAAACGCCTCGCCGCCCCGTGCCCCAGCCCCCACGCCACCGCCAAAGAACCGTGTAATGTTACTCTGCGTGCCCTCGACCTCGCGCTTGTTCATGTCGCGAATCACAGGCACCAGCACCTCATCCGTGCGCTCCTTGCTCCACCCAATCGTCGCCATGAGGAACCGGCGCAGGCCCTCGACGTCGGGCACGCCCCACTGGAACGGCTCGGTGCTGCCGTCGACCACGGGATGCAGGTAGGCGTCGTCGACGGCGTGGTTGGGGAAGCCGGGCGGCAGAAACAGCTTGGCGGCCTGCGCCCGGCGAAATTTTTTGCGAAACGGCGAGCTCGCGTCCTCGGCTTTGGGGCGGGGGGGTTGGGACGACTGCACCGCGTCCCACCAGGCGCGAAAGTGGCCGAGGCCGTCGCGGCCGGGGAACTCGGAGAGGATCTCGACGGCGGTGACGGGGCCGACGCCGGGAAGGCCCTCAGTGTAGTCGGAGCCGAGCAGGTGTGCGAGGGAAATGAGCTGCTGTCGCGAGAGGGAGAGATCCTTTTCGAGCTCGCTGCCGATGTAGCACTCGACAAACTTGTTGCTGTTGAACATGTTCTTGTAGACACGGGTGCCCCCAAACAGAAACGTGTCGGAATCATCAGTGACAATGCCGTCCACCATTCCCAAGCGCACAAGCTCGGCGCACTGTGCTTCAGCTTCCATCGGCGCCGTGATGTACGGAATTCCAAAGAGACGCAGCAGCGACTGGCATTCGGATACCATTACTTGGGTAACCTCATCCGCATCACGGCGGTCCTTCTTTTGTTGGGTACGCAGCTGTCGAAGCTCCTGTTCGTAATCACGTCGGTTCTGCTCCATGGACTTTTGATTGAGTTCAGTCGCGAAGCGCGCATGCTCCTCTGCCTCTTCCGCCATTTGAACAAGAAGCTCCTCTTCTTCCGGGTCACTATACTCATCCTCCTCTGCATCGCCAAACAGCTCCTCATCATCGATGTTGACAACTGTAGTAGCATTCTGCTCGTGGATAGACACGGCATCGCCCGCGCTTTCTAGCTCCGGAACCACCAACTCTTCGGAAGCTTGGGGAAGCTCAATGTCTTCAAGTTCTGGTTCAGGGGACTCGGCATCTTTCGGGGGCGTGGTTGCTAGAGTGACACCAGGCGCATCAGAGAGCTGTGATTCTGCTAGTGCAGATTGCAGCTGCGTAGACCGTTCCGCTTGATTCTCCAGCTCCAGCTGTTCTGCTTCTGTTTGTATACTGTCCGTCTGCGGCTCTTCAACCGCCAGCTCTAGTGCTGGAGACGGCGGCACTTCGATGATTTGTATGTCGCTGTCGTTATCAGAGTCTGAGTCAATCTCAATCAGCCGATCTTGCATTTCCTTCATTCTTCTTCGCCCCACCTCTTCTGCATCCTCTCTGTCCTGCGCATTGATTTCTCGCTCCGCATCCTGCTGCTTCTTCAGAGAGTCTCTGATATCCGAGACATCCGCCAACCATGGTGGCAGTTGCAGCGTTTGGTCGTCTTGTCCTTCGACCGTAAACCCACCCGCCATATCGTCGTGGGCCCCGTTCTCTTCGACATCAGCGGCGGCAGCTGAGCCACGTGCCGTGTTTTTTGCCGAAGTGTCACCCATTTTCGATGTGCCGAAAAGCGAGGATCCCCAACTAAGCTTCGGGAACGGGAGTGGGCCATCGAAAGGGTTCTTCGTATTTTCCGGAACGGGACGCGGGGGTGGTGCAGCCTGCTTCTTGGCCTGGCGGGATCGTGCCATGATGGCCTGCATATCCTCGTCGCTGTCGCTGTCCTGGGTCTCTGGCTTTTCCTGACGCTTGGTCACTGCGGCGTTGGATCTGTTGTTTACAATATGTGCAATCATGGAGCCGCTGTGAGTTGTGAGAGGTTTGGCAGCTTCCACCGCCTTCTGCGTCCACTTTGGCTTGTCCCCGATGGGCACATCTTCAAACAACTCATCGTCGGTCGCTGAGTCTTCCCCAACTACATGTTGGTTTTGCAACGATAATGCAATGGCGCGGTTCAGGTCGTCTTCTTCCTCTGGATGAATGCGCTCGGCCTCTTGAACTTCATTCTCGGTTGCAGGTGCATCGGCTGGTCCTCCAACAAATAGCGAGTCTTCTTCATTATTGGGTCTTTCCTTGTGACTGCCATAAAATTGTCGACGTCTTGAAGCAATATCAAGAGCAGCTTCAAAAGTGGCTGCAGTAGGATCGGACTTGGGCAGGCGATTGAGCCCTTCAATGGGCACATCTTCGAACCCATCCACGTCATCTTCGTCATCTTCCTCCTCTTTGGTTTGATATTGGACATCTATAGCATCAACATCAATAGGCTTATGCGCCTCACCAATATCCTTTTCCTTGCTGACAACGCCCAGTGCCCAACCGCCTTCGGCACCGTCATTTTTGACCAGAATGTACTCCCTATCTTTTTCACCCGCCACTCGGGCATTGACTGGAAGTGTTAAATCGAGACCGGTCATACCAACTTCGTACATGAGTCGTTGTGTAAGATGATTTCTCTCCTGGACACGCTCAATCTGAAATCTGGAAAATGCCATGCGGTCCGGAAACATTTCGTCAAGTTGCTCCTTGCTTAATCCCAGTCTCAAACGGCTTCGTAGCCTTGCTGCATTGAGAATGTTGTATCTGTCGGGGGCCGGGAGGCTCTTGAAGAATTCGCCATCAAAATCAATCTTGCTAAAGTCATATAGATTGATATCCTCGCCATTGTTGAACTGGCGCGCATACTCTTCCAATTCCTCAACACTCATAATGCGGGGATCGTCAGCCTTGCCCATGGATGCAATGCCGCCGTCGAGCTCGGGTAGGTGATAGGCGTCCTTTTTGTGAAACTTGCGGTTGCGCTGACGCTCCTGATTGGACATGCCAATCTCGTCCACGTAGATCATGTCCTTGGGATCCGGCACTGGCTCTTCCTCGGCCTCCTTCGCTACTCGGGGACGCTCTCTTTCTCTCTTGCGCTTCTGTTCCTCCTCCTCAGCCATGCGCTGCATCTGCACCGCGAGCAGCTTTCCCGCGGTGCGAACGGCATCGTCGCGGCGGCCCTCACGACGGCGCTGTCGCTTCTGGATAGTGGCGCGCTTGAGCGCCGGCGCGCCGCCGTCAAAGACGAAGATGGGCTGGATGCCAAACCAGAGCAGCTTGCAGATGCGGCGGAAAAAGCCGACGACGTGGGAGTTGCGGAGCGCGTTTCCCTCCTTGTCGCGCACGGCTTTGAGAAACTGGTATATCCAAATCGAGGCGTCGACAGCGAGTCGCTTTCGATTAAGCGTCGCCAGGTTTGTAGGCCGCGCGCATGGCTGCACCACAGTCCAGAGACCGTTTACACCCATGGCGGATCGCTACGGCGCTGTAGTCGTACTGCTGTCAAACGGAGAGCTCCTTTCAACAGATGAATTGCTTCACGTCATGATTAGAGACGACTATGCGAGCGCTGTTATCCAACGTCTCGTCTGTCAAACTATGTAGGACGATGGCGATGGTGTGGATTGCAAGTGTGAATTAGTTCACGGTTGATGGTTGATGACGCACATGTTGTACCAAGCCTACCCTACAGTGGGGCTCAGGCTGCCCACCACCAAACCACCAGGCCAGCAAAGCAGTTCGGAAGCCGTTGGCGGGCTCTTTTCAACTTGACCAAGAGCCATTATTTCTTCGCTCGATACCGGAATCGCTACGGCCGCGGCGCCTTTCATGTTGAGTCCATATTCCGGACAGCCGTAGACATGGACAAGGACGCGGCAAACGAGTTCCTGTCGTCGCTGCTGAACCAGAATCTCGCAGTCACCGCAACCGATGGCCGCCTGTTCTGGGGCCAATTCAAGTGCACCGATGCTGTACGTCGCCTCGATGAGCCCTCTTATGCTGCACCGTAAGTGTCCCTACTGACTGCGTCCTTGCCGGCTGTAGGAAAGCAACATCGTGTTGGCACAAACCTACGAATACCGACCGCCAAGCGAGGAAATGCGGGCGCAGGCCGCGACACAAGCTATGGGCGCCGCCAGCGTGACGCTGGACATGACATCACGATACCTGGGCCTGGTTGTCGTTCCCGGCCATCGCATCACAAAAGTTGAAGTTGAGCGCTTCGCGAGTCAGGTGCGACAGCAAAAAGGCCAAGCTGTCATTTAGTAGAAACGCCCTCAGTCTAGACGAGCCACAGGCGTCAAAATACACGGAGAAATTGCTGTCATGTTCTAAACTTGTATTAAGCACTAAGAGTACACCTGATAAAAAGAACTACTTTACTTGCAGATTGAAGCGTCAAATCTAAGCCACGAGTTGCCTCCTTTGGGGTATGCCTTCAACCTCATTCTTCCGTAAACGCGTTCATTAGCTGCCATTACTGCCACGACAGAACAGGCAGGTTGTATTTCTCCAAATAATCGCTGACCCTTTCCCGTCATATTAACCCACTATATTTGTATCTCATTTTCGATTCCATGGTCTTATATCGTTCATGATAGCAGCCAATTAGGCAGCGACAGCCTCCTGGGTGCGGCCGCGGTGCTCGCCGCTTAGGCCGGCGTCAGAGTCAAGATCCTCCTCTTCCTCTTCCTCCGACTCCTCTCGCCAAGAGCCATTGTCGAGGGGAGCGTCCTGCTTGGAGAGATCATGGCCCTCGCCACGGTTGCGGATGTTGTTGCGGCGGCGCTGGGACAGGCCGCGGGAACGGGTGGAGAGCTTGGAAGAGACGGCAGCGTTGGAGGTGACCCAGCTGGTGAGAGCATCCTCGCAGTCCTGGATGATGGCCTTGCTGGCCTCGTAGCCGTCGTAGGCGGCGCGGGTTTCGCCAGGGGTGACGGGGCTATCGTCGATGAGTTCGAGAAGGTGCTTGCCGTAGCCAGCGATGATGGCGACCTTCTCGCAATGCTCGCGGAGCGCGTCAAACTGGTAGGTGTAGGCAGCCTTGACCTTTTCGCGGGTGATGTTGGAGAGCTGGGCCTCGGCGACAAGAGACTCGGCCTCAGCACGGACAAGCTCCTGCTCAAGGACAACAATCTTGGGGGAGTTGGGCTCCTTGTACTTGAGCTGAGCAATCTGGTCGGTGATCTTCTGCTTGCGGTCACGACTAGGCTGGACAGAGGCCTCGATGTTGCGGATGCTCTTCATGGTGATGCGGTACTGGTCATAGCGGTCGACGTACTGGTCCTCGAGCTCGCCAATCTCGTACAGCAGGACACCGAGCTTGTCGGTGACATCGGAAACGTCTTCGTCGGCAGCCTCACCCCAGACGGAGAGTTGTTGCTAGCGGAATGTTAGAGGTGGCTGCTGCAGAGCGATTGAGAGGGTGGGCGGAAACCTACAGCAACATCCATACGCTCCTTGGCGACGGTTTCAAGACTGCGCATGACGTTCTTCTCCATCTTGACAAGCTGGGAGAGCTTCTTGGCCAGGTCAGGGCCGAACGCGCCACCAGCGTTGCGGCGGAGGGCATGGCCTGAAAATGAAGCCGTTAGCTTCCGATGGTATCAATTGCGAGGTGTTGCGGTCATCGAGCTTGGGGACACTGAGAATGGCGCCACTCTCGTGATGCGGCGACTTACCGAGGCTGGATTTGCCGAAAAAGCGGCCCGACTTGGTGGAAGAGGGAGGGGGAGGGGGAGTCTGCGAGACGAGGTGGTTAGCTTGTCAGAGCCAACAGACGAGCGAATTGGTTGGTGATGGCGCATACCTGCAGCTGGGAAGCAGTGGGAGCGCGCGACTGGCGCATAGAGTATGTACGATGCATCTTGGTAGGGGGTGTTGTGGTGAGAGTCTAGAGTTGAGGTAGAAGCGAAGCTGCAGTAGGGGAACGGAGAGAAATTTGCGACGAGTGATTGAGGTGCAAATCGGAGAGGGTATCAACAGGGAAAGAATATCGAAACAGGTTGCAGGGACGGATGGGGCGGGTGCGGATGGTTTTAAGAGGAGCGTGGTGAGCTTGGTTGCTTGCAGGGAAGAGGAACCGACCGTGGAGCGATGGCCGTGTTGCGGCTGGTTTCTACGGCTACGTCATCCTTTTTCTTGCGAGTGGGTCACCGGCCCAACCCTGCTTTTGGCGCTCTTGGGGAGCAAGACTGGCTGTTTTGAGGAGCTTCCAGCTGTTGTAACCGCTGGAACAACACCAACTGCCTGGTGCCGCCGGGAATCTCCAGGCTCCAGGGCTCCAGGGCTCCAGGGCGCCAGTGCGAGGCCCAATGCACACCTCCACCGCACCAGCCCCCGGACAGCCCGCGCCAGCCCGCTTTCACAATCACCCTCATCAGCTTGCTTTGTCCTCTTCCTCCTCTCCCTCCTCCACATCGTGCGACACGCACCTCGCCCTCTAACTAAAACCTTGCCTGCCCAAAACCGCTCATTCGGCGCCTACCAAAACATTGGAGCCTGCATATCTATTTCTGCCGATTGAGCCCAGAGCTGCCCCGATCAGGTAGCCCTGCCGATATTGAACCCAGGATATGCATGACAGGGTCGTCTTGTTTGATGCTCGACGCGGCGTTGCAAACTGAAAGTAAGGAATACCATCACCTATCAACCTCATCAAGGCATTCACACCAGAGCAGCTGCATCCTCGATCAGCATAGTTACATCTATCCGGACCTCCCGTTACAAAAAAAAATCGTCGCGACCCGTCCCCTCGCCGTCGCCGTCCGTGGGGCACCCTCCATTCCAAATGCGGCCGACTTGATGGTTGGCTCCCAAGCTTTCGCTACAGTAGTTTCAGGCTAGGCTCAAGAATGACGAAACTTCGAAACTTGAACCAGGGCCCATTTCACATCATCTCCCGCGCCTTGGCCCTTGGCCGTCCCTTGCCAAGGTGCATCTGCCATGGTGTTCGAAATCAGGTTTCTACGTCACCACTCTTTGTGCTCGTTGCGCAGGTGACCGACGGCTCGGCCAGCTTCTCCAAGCCCCAGATTAGCGATGCGATTTGTTAGACTTGATTGCTGCACCGCCACCTTGTTCGGTACCTGGTGATCGTGCTATCGCCATCTCCGTAAGTTAGTCTTCACGCACCATTGTCTACCGTTCTTGGCGCCACATCTTCCACCAAGTACGTCGCAGATGTACTTAGTGAGGTCGTGGCCAAAGCTGCTGCCGAATGCTCGCTATCTTAGGCAGCTCGTCTCTTTTCGTTGCTACCATTGGGTCCTGAGACAAACGCGCCGGTGTTCCTATTTACTAGGGCGCGCCAAATTTGCTTGGCTAATAACGGTTCCCATGATGAAAACTCGCGGATGGCAGCTCGCCACCAGATGGGCATTTTTTGGGCCGTAATAAATAATAACTAGTGCACGGTTGTAACAGCAACGCCTGGAACAAAAATGAACGTGAGCCCCAAGAACGAGCCAAAAAGTTGGATCTCCGATGCGGGGAATTGAACCCCGGCCACTGCGGCACTCAAGCATTATGAAAGCGCAGGATCCTAACCACTAGACGACATCGGATGCGCTAGTGCTTTAGTTATGTTCAGAGGCGTTATTTGGCACTATATACTTCTCGCACAATGAGTTTACATTGGTTGCCAATCGTGACAAGTTTCTGCCTCCTTTTCCTACTGCTCATGAACAACTAAGCCGCAAATAATACCAAGTAGACGAACAGGCTCTACCAGATTGGAATTGTTCAAATATATACGGCATAGCAACGATACAACTGGCCCGGTATCTCGGCAAGCATCGACTTCAGACTATGCAAGATTTCAACAAATTCAATGAATCAGAGCCCCGACAATTAACGAATCCCAGGGTAGTCGTCTGCGGGTTCCGCTGACGTGCGCCAAGTGGGCTTGGTGACCTCGAAATTATTAGACGCGCGACCAAGTGGGCGCGCCCGTAACCTCACTACCACACCAACAACATACGCCTCTGCATCGCGCGACCTCGTCTTCCCGCTCTGGAAGCAGCGAGAGGACAGCTGCGGTTCTTGCACCCCGAAAACAGCTGCTCTAGTGTCATGCGCTCGTTAATGGCCTGCGGAAGGGGATGCTTTCTGTGGAACGAACGGCACCGACGTTTGCGCCATGTCGAGGCGTGACCACGACGCCGTCTCGCGACCGTCGTATCCTGACGGCTTCCACTTACGGTCTCCTTCTCAGCCACAATACACATCCCTCCTTTTCAACCCATCTCCTTTATATAGCCATCCACAAGCCGCAATCCCCCCACCATCTTCTATCCTCGCGGGAAATGGTCCGCCTTCCCACTTAGTTGGCGGCGGCGCCAAAACTTTCACGCCAAGATCTGGCACACCGACCAGCTCGATAGTATCAGTTAACGACACGTTCAAGAACGCAAAGGACATCAGTCCGCCGCCCCTTCGACGGACACGAACCAACACCCCAATACCAAGCAATTCAGCGCTTTCCACCGGACTACAGCGTTACGACTCTCCGATGCAAATACGACAGCTCGCCACACCGCCGTCAAGATCATCTCGCACCAGCACCGCTCAAAGGCAATGGAACCAGGCCGACCTCGCCAGCGCTCTGCAAGAATTGCTGAGAGGTGGGCGCCAAGATCATTCGCGACTGGTCGCACAGGCAATCGAGGCCACCACGCCTACCGAATGGCGCATCCACCATGGAGCCAACCTCTTTCAGGGATTGGGATCTGGGCCTGTTCCACACAGGAAAGGAGAGACTATGCGAATCAAGTTCAAAGTATGCCCTGTATTCAACGACCAAGATAACCTGTACTGACGTTAAGAAATAGCAACATTTAAAAACCCGTAAGGATACGCGCGAGGAACATCACGATATAAAAGCAATCAAAACAACCAAGGACAGAGTTCCGCGGTATCGGTTTCATCATGTCGATATAAAAAAGAACGTTCTTACGCCAAACACGATGCTTACTTTTGTCCCACACCTGCGCGATCTTGACAGCAGCGAAGAGCCGAAATACAATTTGTGGCTGAAGGAATTAGAAGATATCGACACCAAATCCGGATTTAAACCGATGAACCGCGAGGAGAAGGTCATTCTCACAATCCAAACTGAGCGCGCAGCAACTGTGTCTCTATATCTGGATACTTGGCTAGAGAAGCTGGGAATACCAAGCTGTACAAAGTCCGCGCTAGTCGCCTATATGGCTAGCCAAGAGTCAGATGATACCATCACGCCTCAAAAAAAGACGGACATTATTCGATCCAGCCGCGAAACAGCTGATGGCAACCCGACTAGCCAGGAATCGAAACAGGCTGCGGCGTTGTTCACCGGCGCATTTAAGCAGGCCTTCGATAACAATGATATGCCACTGGCGAGTAAAATCGAGCTTCGAAGAATTTTACTGCTCGAGGAGTCCGTTGAGGGCATTTTGGATCCCAAGCCGGTGGCCAAGGATACAAACCCTCTACCACAATGGGATGTGGATGAGATCACTGAAGCGCACTTGGCTACTTATGGCATTCTGGGTTGTCTCATTTGCTACAGTCATTCCTGCGACCATGGCGAATATGATAATAAGAACTTCAAGCGCACATTTTCCTTGGCGGCAGTGATGCCCCTGGCTGACCTTCTTCGGCAACGGCGACGAAGGCTGTCAACAGAGAATACGGATGCTCGTGAAAATGAGCCGCCTTGCCGGCGCGAATGTTATTTATCATCAACCTCTACTGTGGGCCAAAGGCGGGATGAAAGAGATTGGTTAGAAGAAGAAGTCGTGCTTTTGAAAGCGATATTTTCGACGCTCGGCCAGAGTAAGCTGCATCGGGACCCAATCTGCTTTGCTGCAGAAATTCTGGATCGCGAGTGCACTTCTGTTTATGCAAAACTTGACTCCCTGGCTGTCAAAGTGCCAGAGGCTGTGCGCCCGGAGCCCACGCGAGTCAAAACACTGTCCTGGTATGACAACCGTCGGAAAATCCTCACCGGTGACTGGCAAGATCACACAATAACACATGAGCACCAACGCCGCGAAATTATTGAACCTTGTTCGCACGAAGGTTCTTGTACGCCACAGAATTGCGGTTGCGTTAAGGCGGGCATACTGTGCGAGAAGTGGTGCAAATGCACCGCAGACACATGCTCCTACAAGTTCACCGGGTGCGCATGCCACGCTACAGGCAAGAGCTGCCAGGCCAAACACAAAGACAAACCATGCATCTGCGTTCAACTCAACCGCGAATGCGACCCGGCACTATGTGAAGCCTGTGGTGTGCTACAGAGAGCGGATCCGCTCAACGCTGAATGCGACATATTGCATGAAACAGGATGTCAAAATTGTGAACTACAACGTGGATGGAGCAGAAAGCTCGTACTGGGACAGAGTCAATTGGACGGTGTTGGATACGGACTGTTTACAGCCGAGGATATTGGGCAAGACGATTTTGTCATCGAATATGTCGGCGAGCTCATCACCCATGACGAAGGTGTTCGAAGGGAGGCTCGTCGCGGCGATGTCTTTGACGAGGGGTCCAACATCTCTTACGTTTTCACCTTGCTGGAGAATGAAGGCATCTGGGTTGATGCCGCAATCTACGGAAACCTCAGTCGTTACATCAACCATGCGTCCGAAAACGACCGCACCGGCTCTAATATCACGCCGCGGATTCTCTACGTCAACGGGGAGTATCGAATCAAGTTTACAGCTCTCAGAGATATTCGTGCTGGAGAAGAGCTTTTCTTCAACTACGGTGAAAATTTCCCGAACCTAACCAAGAAGCTTCTCGACACTAGGACAGGCGAGAAGCCAGTGGCTCAACGGAAAGCAGGGCGACCAGCGCAATCAGCTGCCAGCAAAGGCGTTGCACGGAAGGCACCGAAGCTGGAACAGAAGAAGACGGAAGGCAAAAAACCAATAGTAAAACGCAAACGGCGGCCAACAGCTGTTCACGAGGACGAGGACGAGGACGATGACATTCAAGTGCCATACGTTTCACCACTGAACCGGCCTGTAAAACGCAAACGAGGCTATGCGAGGGTCGACTCGGACGATGACAGCTACCAGACTCGCGGAACTTGTGCGCGGAACCAGTGGCAGGAATCAGCGGCAGAGGACGAGGATGGTCTGGGCGAGGAAACAACACCCAATGGCGGTGTGGGAAATAGGCGCAGCCTACGTGCCAAAGCATCCGAGTCGCCGACAAAGGTTGACAAGGCCAAGATTGTTGGCAGACGCGGTGGTGCGCGGCCGGGAAGTGGACGGCCTAGAAAGCACCCACGACCCGCGCCGAAACCAGTACACGAGACGCCCGAGCCCGTGCGGCGGCTACGGGAATCACCCAAGAAGTCGACATGGCCTGATAATAATCAATCTAGCGAATCTCCACGGACGACGCGCCAGAGACGAACAGAACAAGACGCCTCGGAGGAGATTAGCGACAGTGAAGAGTGGTCAACGGCAGGCGAGGATGGTGCGCCAACGGCGTCAGGCCAGGATTCCAAGGAAGGTGAAGAGATCAAACATGAAGATGGGCCAGTCAATGGTATTCACGTGGACGGGGGCACGGGCGAGAAGAAAGCAAGAGGGGAAAACGATAGCGACGAGGAAGAAGACGACCAAGATGTGGTTGTCCGGAAGCGATTGGACCGGGCGACGAGAAACAGGCGGCCACCGGCTAAGTTCCGCGGAGATGATTTTTAATACTTGTGGCGCATGCGTACTCCAGGTATGGAACGTTGTGAATTGGGGAGTGATGCGTTGCATCTGTAATTTTGGCGTTTGGGGTTTTTGTACACTACGTGAGGCAGGGAGAGCGAACTAAGCCAAGAGTTAATTAGATGGACGGCTGGCCATTGACGGCGCAGTCGTGGCGTTTAATGAATATATACGACATGCTTACCAATTGGCAGAATGACACTTGTTCTCGTCGATGGGATTTGGAACACGTGTCTTATAGATTTGTTATGATTTAAGTAGAGACCACAGTACATATAATTAGCTAAAGACCTACTTATAGTAGAAAGCTAGAAAGGGATAATAGTATATAAATAAAAGAGTTAAGTTTAAAGGAACTAATCTTAATTATAAATAAAATTAGGTAATAAAAAGATATATTAAAAAAGAATAATTAAATTAATTAGTTAAATTAAAAAATAAATATAATTAATAAAATAAAAATAATTATAAGTTTTAATATATATTATTTTTTAATTTTATTATATAAAATTACTTTTATTCTTTAACTCTACTATATAAAATTACTCTTAGTTATAACTAGTTATTTAATATCCCTATTAGTTAGCTTATATAATTTATGAGACTTTGTAATGCATATCATGCAGAATATATTTTTCTCTTCTTAAAAAAAAGTATTTTGTGCCTGCTTGGTGTTGCTTGTCTATAAAATAACGAATGGCGGACATAAAAGCTGAACTATGGAAGAAAATAGACACCGCAGAAAACTGCCAATTGACCTAGATGCCGGCCATTTGGGCCGGGCGAAAATCGGAATACTCGGTGGCATGGACAGCCAGGATGCGGGCGCGACGTGCGGCAACGAGGAGCGGTAGGTAATGAACTAATTAAAAAATGTTAACATGAATAGGGGAGGTAGTGGCCACCCTGGTGCGAGAGGAAACGGCCAGAAGCCACTAGCCAGAGCCCATCAACAGAAATCGCTTCGTTAAAATATGCCAGTCTCCAATTACTACCTTGAAGCTTTCAGCGCAACTCAACCTCCAAGACTCTCAGTTGGTAAATCGAACTATGACCTTACATTACAGGCTGAACTGCCTCAAAATATAAACTAGCGGACTTTCTGACAAAGGCTCCCAGCTGGCTCAGGATCATAAGTACACTCATTCTTGCTCACACAATCGTCGCTCTGCTTGGCGCAGCTGAACCACAAAGACTGGAACTTGGACCCGCCGGACCAGGGCGTACGGCAGGTATTTCTACTCGCGTATCCGTAGCCATACCATGCGCCGGCACAGTCTTCCCCGCCCCAGTAACTGATGCGGATCTCGCCGTCGGGGCAGTCGCCGAGCTCCGCAATGTCCAAACTACCAACATGGCAGTCTGTATTCAGGCAGGTGCCGCCCCCGTGGGCGACAGACACCTCCTTGTATACATCTCCACCACAGTAAGCCCCGGAGCGAGCCTTCAGCGTGAACGCAGCGGTAGGCTCTTTCGGCGGCGCCTCACATATGCCTCTGGGGGGCTCTGGGTCGACTTCGCAGCTGCGCTGACTGACGCAGTCAGACAATGGGTCGGCACAACGCAGGTGCAGCGCACCAAACTTCCAGCCATCCGTCCAGAGGGCTCGGCAGGTATCGCGGCTCGCATAACTGTAGCCGAACCATTTGCCTTGGCAGTTGGCTTGCTCCCAGTAGCTGATCTGGACCTGGCCATGGGGGCAGTTACCTGCAGCAGCAATGTCGAGCGATGCGACTTGACAGTCGGTGTTGATGCAAATGCCTTCCTGGTACATCATGACGTCGTTGCTGTTATGGCTGTCGCCGGTGCAGTCCTTGTGGTATCCCGACTTGACGTGGAACGCCACAGGGCTAGGCGTGGCGGAGGCGCTGGAGCAGTAGGCGCTCTCGTAGGCAATGACGGTGCTGGCAATGACCTTGCCGCAGGCGCCGTTGGCGCAGTCACGGATACCGTTGCCAAAGTCGGCTTTGCCGCACAGGCAGTAGGGGTCGGCGTTGGGACAGCCCAACTGGGAGTGCTGGCCCTCCATGTTGTGGAAGCACGTCCGACCACATGACGGCAGCGAGGCAATGTCGGTGACAGTGGCCGTGGGAACGTGCGTGGCAGCCGCCTGCGAGCAGTACGCGCTGCCATAAGAGATGACTGTACTTGCCACCGACTCACCGCATGCGCCGTTGCTGCAGTCGCGAATGCCGTTGTTGAAGTTCACGTTGCTGCAGAGACAGTACGCGTCGTCTCTGCTACTACACCCCAGCTCGGAATGCTTGTCTAGCATGTTATAGAAGCACGTTTGACCGCACGAAGGTAGCGAGTCGATGCCAGGAATAGTGGTGGTGGGAACCTTGGTCGTGGTCGCAGGAGATGACGTGGTAGTGGTAGAGGAAGTAGTGGTACTGCTGCTGGAGCTGCTGGTGGTAGAGCACTTCCCAAACGCAGATTGGCAGCCTTGGCCGCAGTCCCCTGAGCCATTACCGCACTGGCCATCCTTGTTGCAGCAGCTTCCAAACGGCACGCCGCACTTCCACTGGTTGTGCTTGTTGCCACACGTACCGTCCTCGGTAAAGCCGCCGATCTTAGGCGGAGGCTTCTCCGGGAGAGTGCAGTTGCCCAACTGACAGTTTCCGACGCCGCAAAAGGCTTCACCGGTGCCGCATTTACCAGTGGCGTTACAGCAGTCGCCCCAAATGCCCGCGCACGACTTGAAACCGTGGTCGCGGCCACAATCGCCGTCTGTGGTGAAGACCTTGTCGCCAGCACATGCGCCCTCAAAACAGGTTCCGTCGGCACAGTCTTCTCTGTTTATAGAAACACGGAGCACGATTAGTCTTTTGGTTGCCATACACCAAGCCTTGGGACAGACAAAAGGGAACTCACAGGGAGTCGCCACACCTCCAAGTCTTGGAGTTGCAGCACTGCAAGTCCGTTCCAAGGCAAGTAGCATTGCCGTGAGAAGGGCCACACAATCCGTCGTAGGCTCTCTTCGGCTCGATGACTATTCATAAAGGAATGAATTAGCTTTCTTTGGCTGCTTTTATTACTCCACAAATGTCAAAGGACTGGGTGCGGGAGAGAATGTGATGCACTTACAGCCTTTCACGCAGTAATCGGTGTTGGGCTTGAGGTTATCGCAGTTGCGGTGGACTTCCGGGTTCAAGATGAAGAACTTCTCCACAGGAATCTTGTACTTGTCGGAAAGTGCGGTGCAAGTGTAGTAGTTGAGTTCCATGTCGTCCGTGTTGGTTGTGTATCGGCAATTGACCTCGCCTGCCTGGGTGTTGCTGTCACCGAGGAGCGGGCTGATAGTGACGGGAAGACCTGTAGACGAGGAAGAGGCCAATGAACTGCTGATGCCAGTAATGGTAGGGGGCGATGACGACGTTGCGTCGAGCAACGAGGTGGCCGTTGCAAGCTGCCTCTTGAGCTGAGAATGCTCGCCTGAGGCCCAAGTCCAGGGTGCGCATTCATCTTTGGCCTGCACACTGCCCGCAAGGCACAGTACGATAATGGCACAATTCGTCCAGCATGATACGCCGTCGCGCCGTTGGACGCTGATGGTCATGTTCGCACGAACGCGTTACACTAAGTCCTATGCGAGAAATAGGTCAATGAAAAAGAAAATACTGAAAATTTGTTTCAAAAGCCATAGCACGTAAGGACTCGACACATACATATTCGACTTGCCGACCCTTGGGATATTAAATAAGTGGTGCTACGCTGAAGAGCACAAACTCGCTTGACGGAAAAGAGAAGAAAGGCCGAAACCCGAATAAGACTTTTGTTCGGAAAAGAAGTGACCCGCTCATCTACAGTACAGCTATGAAGACTTTTCAAGCTTTGTGAGCTATGCCTCGCTTAGCCGATACGATACTATTCTGTGTGTGTCTCGTATGGCACGACAGTCAGATGAAGTCTCGGCTATTATTACTCCTGAGATAAGGCTCCGCTTCGGCGGCATGATTCTTACTAATATAGTACAGTACGCGGAATAATATTAATAAGCGTAATCTTAACACTGGAGAAAGAGCTTGAGTCTAGACTTGAGTTTTGGACGAACCTTTGACGGGAAAGGGTCGAAAACGGAGATTACAGACTCTGATGATGGATCCATGTACGGTGGACGTTTACAGCCCCCACCCACCAATAGCTATCCACAACGGCTTTATTTCCCAACAACAGACGGCTCGCATTTCTTCACACGAGCCTTTCCGGACCCTACCAAGCCTCGTCGGAAGAGAGTGGATATCGTGACCCTCATTCCGTTCAGGACATTCAATAAAAGGCGAAAGAAGAAGCATAGCACCTCAGGGTCCAACGGTTAGAGCTAGCCATTCATGGATCGTGGTCCGAACCCTTCCCACAGGCAGTTCGTATAAAGCGAGATTGCCATCCTGGACTTGCTTTTTCGCTTGCTACTATCACCGTAAGTGGCAGCCGCTCCTTACTGTTGCTACTCTTTTGTTGCATCGCCAAAGACATATCGAGGCGTGATGCTGCTGGGGCTACATGTTGCGCTGCTGGCGCAACTGGCCTGGCTATGGTATCCGCGCGTAGCTCAAGCTCAATTCGCGCAAGACTACGAAGTTGATACCACTCGTCCCAATTCCTACCTCTAGTAAGTCTATTAGTTGCTATACGCGATTCCATCCATCACTTTCTACTCTCCGCGCTGTTACTAAGAAAGCACCTTGCAGTCGTCCGCTGCCTGGATTACCTCCCTACCCCGTTCTCAACACAGGCGCCAGCACCGTCTATTTACAGTACAACTGTTACTACATGATAGAAATCTGTGTAAATGCACGGAGGTTTCTGGCATCCCAGCGAGGCCGAAATTTGCACGCTGCAAGCGGAATCAGCAACAGCATCTTCGGTTATGATCTGGACACAGGTAAAGACGAACCCAAGAGCCATCAAGCCTGGCGCCGTGATGCTTCCTGCCCTAGCTCATGGAAAAACAATCATGCATGCCCCGAGCCGGACCAAAGCAAACCATGGAAGACCCAAGGGGAATGGTTTACCGATCTACTGGAGCCAGGAACCAGTGTGAATGCCATCATGAACGGTCCCATCCATAATTCCGATATCCGGTACTCGTGCGACGAGTTTCCACCTGCAACATGGTCTGTCATTTAGCCCACCTCCCATACGAGTCTATTTCATCTGGATAAAAGGAATATGTCATGAATTTTCACTGACATCTAAACAGGGTGGAAGGCGGTGAAGGACTTAACGGAAACGGCCCCTCTCACACGAGATGTGCTGCTATTAGCTGCGAAGGTGCCACTGGCACTAAAGCGGAACAGAATTGTACGTTCTTGTTTCAGTAGTGATAAACTTGCTTGGTAAAGCTTAAAGAAAAGAGAGCCAGGTTTGCTAATGCTATTTTTGTTGGTTACAGGGCAGGGACTGGCGCACGGAGTACTACGTCAACAGCTCGAGAGCTTGACTGACGGTCTCAACGATCCCCATTTCCAAGCCCACAGGTCTATCATCTTTTTCAGATTCTCTTACAACGACGATGGGGCAGATGCAACTCCCGCTCGCATTACCGTCACCAACCATGCCGGTAATTCTGATGACGACGAGGATATGTATTTCGTAGAGATGAGAAAACGCAGCACGCGGACGAATTCTACGCTTACAGGCCCCGGACTTAGCGCCGAGGAGCTCAGAGCATACGTACGAGCCGGCAAGGCTTACGAGACGTTAATCCACGATAACTCTACGGTAAGTCACGCTCCGGACGCGAAAGGTGCAAAAGATGCATAACTCAGGATATGATACCAGTCTTTTCCTTCACCAATCATAGGGGTTGTTTGCGGTCACATTGCTAACACAGCTGATGCAGATCACTCAACCAGATTCAGCACTTGCGAACAAATTTCTGCGCCGTGCCCTGCAAGCCCGCGCCCTCGCTGACATGGAACTGGACAGTACTGGGCTCAACTCGAGCTCGAGCATCGGGTCTGCTGGTGTTGGCGCTGATGCGGCGCTTGGCACGCGGGAGATGGCGATCAAGCGCGGATCGCTGCAATACCCGCAAGCGGTTCGAAACAGTACCACGGCTGAAATCCGCAACATCACGTCGTCAGCTCTGGAAGCGGCTCGTGAGCTCGTCAAAAACGCTCGCGCCGAGGCTGCTAAGCGAAACGCTGCCCGCGTAGCAAATCCCCTCCGCAATAAATACCTTTACGGCCGCGGGAACAGCAACGGTCGGCGAGGCGAGTCGGCTGCTCTAACCACGACGGCGCCACCACCTCTTCTCCTCATTACCGATGAGATTGCTGCTGCTGCCGCATTGGTTGCTGAGGCCGATGTCAAGCCCAACGCCAACGTAACTAGACGCGCAGCCACGGCGGGCAAGGGTGCGTTTTGGATGCAAGACATTGCGCGCAAGGGTACTGTACCATGGGGAGATGATCCTAAATACGTGAGTAAAGCCAACATCACTCAAGCGACATAGGAGTCGGGGCTAGGATTGCACCATTAACCAAAGAATTATAAAGGTCGTGTTTAGAAATGTCATGGACTACGGCGCTGTTGGCGACGGCTCTTCGGTAGGTTGATTATTGTTTTTGGAGAGGTTTCTGTATACTTCGCTAACGCATTTGGTTGTAGGACGACACCAAGGCTATCAACAAGGCCATGGGCACCAACAGCACGCGGTGCGACCGTGGCTGCAACGGATCGACTATCAAGAACGCTATTGTCTACTTTCCGCCCGGCAACTACCTCGTCTCCAGCACTCTGGCTATGCCCTTTGGCACGCAGATCATCGGTGACGCCAACAATCGCCCTACCCTCGTGGCCGCCCCCAACTTTGTGGGCCTCGGCGTCCTGTCCACGGATGAGTACACTGGTGCTCCCGGGCCAGGAATCGACGGCAAGGATCCAGAATACTTTGTCAACACGGCAAACTTTTACCGCCAGATCCGCAACATCCGCATCGACATTCGCAGCATCGACAAGGGAGATGTCATTACTGGCATTCATTACCAGGTCGCGCAGGCGACCAGCACGCAAGACGTTGAGATCGTGGCCAAGCGTGGCTCCAAGCAGATTGGCATGTATGCTGAAAATGGCAGCGGCGGCAGTATCACGGATATCTCCTTTGTTGGTGGTAGCATCGGCCTCAAGGCTGGTAGCCAGCAGTTCACCGCACAACGCCTGGATTTTGACAACTGCGATGTCGGCATCCAGGTCATCTGGGACTGGGGCTGGGTATGGAAGTCAATCCACATGAAGAATGTCGGCACCGGCTTTAAGCTGGTTGGCGATGACGGCGTGGGCAACAGTAAGTATACACATATTTCTTGCTTCCGTAGCACAATATCAAGGCTAACCTTTACTTACAGTTGGCTCCGTCTCCATCATGGACTCCTCCTTCAGCGGCGCCGACAAGGCCATCGTTATCAACCCCATCAAGGAAGCGGTTGGTGCGGGCAGCACTGGTATCTCGCTTGAGAATGTTGCCTTTGACGGCGTCGGCGTAGCCGTCAGCGACGTATCCGGAACCACGCTGCTGGCTGCATCTTCGAAGGTCGACCAGTGGGTTGTTGGTCCTGTCTATGAGGGCTCGGCGGAGAAACGCACTTTCACTAAGGGCAGTAAAGTCGGCGAGTACAAGAGACACCCAACGCTGCTGGACAACTCTGGCAACTACTTTGAGCGTGCCAGACCACAGTACGCCGATGTGCCAGCCTCGGCATTCGTGCACACCAAAGACCTAGGCTGCAAGGGCGACGGCGTCACCGACGACACGGCGGCCTTCCAAAGAGCTGTTGGAGCCAGCACGGGCAGCATTCTCTTTATCGACGCCGGAACGTACATCCTGACTTCGACCGTCACGATTCCCCCCGGAGCCAAGATTGTTGGAGAAACCTGGTCTCAGCTAGCCGCGTCTGGCCCCTTCTTTTCCGATGCCAGTAACCCCAGGCCCATGCTTCGCGTCGGCCACGTCGGCGAGGTGGGAGACGTGGAAATGCAGGACTTGATTTTCACCACGCAAGGCCCAACAGCAGGCGCGATCCTCCTCGAATGGAACATCAAGGCCGCAAAGCCCGGCTCCGCTGGCCTCTGGGACTGCCATGCCCGTGTCGGAGGCGCTCTGGGCACGAAGCTAACTCCCAAGGAGTGCCCTCCTTCAACGAGCGGCGTCAACTCGGGATGCTCTGCGGCCAGCTTGATGATGCACTTGACCAAGGAGGCTTCGGGCTACTTTGAGAATATGTGGCTATGGGGTGCCGATCACATGATTGAGTGAGTGTCGACTACCCCAAGCTTGGGTTGCGATTGCAAACCTCAACTTCAAAGAAGGAAGTCATGGCTAATTGTCTGGTCGAAATCTAGTGATCCCGATTTCAAAGACGCGGCAAATGACATGGAACAGACGTCTGTCTATGTTGCGCGAGGTTTCTTGATTGAAAGCATAGAACCAACCTGGTACGCTTCCGTTCTCTATTCCAACGAGGGAAAGCAACAAGCCCGTACTGACTGACCATCGTAGGTTATATGCTACTGCCTCCGAGCATGGCGTCTTCTACCAGTACAACTTCCACAACGCAGCCAACATTTACGCTGGCATGATCCAGACCGAGTCGCCATACTATCAGCCCAACCCTAAGCCGCCGGCTCCATTCACAGACGTGGTGGGCAAGATGGTCGGTGACCCCAAGTACGATTGTGCCACCAACGACCCCTTCAACGGCTGCGATGAGTCTTGGTCCACCATCGTGACGGGTTCCGAGAACATCTTCATCGCCGCCGCCGGCCTCTACTCGTGGTTTTCCACGTACAGTCAGTCCTGCATTGACACGCAGGAGTGCCAAAAGTCGCTCCTGCTGCTCAATGACAACGGCGCTAACGTCCGCATCACCAACCTGGTTACCATCGGCGCCAAGTACATGGCAGTCATGGGGGGTAAGGGCATCGCCGCCGCCGACAACCTCAACGTCAAGGTACATCCCAGCTGGTCGCATATCAGCGTGCTGGATGTGGGCAAGGACGGCCACACCAACTTTAACGAGTACATTTGGGTTGATCCCAAAATCTGGGACATGGACCAGCCCCAGTTTACCTGCATCCCGCCGTGCCGAGCCAAGATACCGCCTTGGAAGGGTGCTACTAGCACTGTCAACTATCCTTTGGTTACGGTTAGTGATGGATCCTGGACCAGCACAATTACGCAGCCTCCTATTACTATCTCCGAGTGGGTGTTCGAAGCTGTCACCATCTCGGCGGAACAGAAGAAGCGCGCCTTGGGCGACACCGTCAGCCTGCAGCCCATGCTAGCGACGACTCCCTTATGGCCTGCCTTTCGCTATCGCGGCGCCAACGGTGCTACCTCCACGACGAGGGCTTCAGCTCCTTTCCCAACGCCTCCGTCGCACATATGGGGTGACGATGCGCCAGTGCCGCCCGAGGGAAGCTGGCCAAATGGACACCACATCAACGCCGTTCTTGGAGAACAGGATTTCCCCATGGTGCCTCTTTGCTTTTATAGAGATTTTGACGACAAATGCATGGACAAATATTACGGTATTGGAGGCTCTCGCGAAGGCGTGCAAGACACGTATGACGAAGAAAACATTTTCGATCGTACAGCGTGCCCGCGGGCCACCACCACCACCAGTACCACGCTTAGCACGTCCACCAGGAAGCCGCAACCTACCACGTCTATGTACGAGCAGGGCCATGCTAGCAGTAACAAAGGCCACTGCTATAACAAGGGCTATGTGGTACACCGAGACCGCATGGTGTATGCCATTGAGAGCTACTGCGAGGCAGTCTCTAAGGAGCTTCTCATCCCTGGCTTCTTCGACGAGGAGTCGTACTCCGTTACTAACAAGGGTGTCTTTGGAACATATTGGATGAAGATTAACATCTCCCTCGAGGTCAAAGAAGGCTGCAGCTTCGGTACGTATCACATAACAGACCCGTCAGATCTAAAACGCGCCAATGGCTACGATATCGCGCACTTTGACGAAGAACTCTGTGAGTACTACTTGACGCGGATTGCAGATGGTTGTAACTGTCGCGGCGTGGATGGCAAACAGGGCGGTTACTTGGAAAATGACTGCTATAGGTGGAGGATGGATCCTCAGTCGGCTTATTAGTATTCTCTAACATTCTTTAGCATTTTTTTAGTACTATGTAAGTAGATGTTAAGATTATTCTTCTTCTGTTAAATGCAGTGTAAGGATGTGACCAGTGACTCTATGCGCAGCGCACATACGGGAATATGCAGAAATGTATCTGCTCTTTCCATAGAAAAACAGCCTAAAGTGTAAATTAAAGAATCTGGTAAGTGTCTGTTGTCCTAACGGAACGACATCGTCGTCCGCGAAATTAACCCTAGCCCTAAGTTCTCGCTATTTCCAATTAGGCGGCTCGGCCGCATAGACTCGGCCCTACGTTTTGCCGCCCCCAGCAGGAAATCCTCCACCCACGACAAGCTGGTAAAATTACTCATAACCATCTCAATCACCAACTTAATACCGCGTTTCACCCATGTACGCGCCATTCGAAGAGCAGCGGAGCGATGGGCAAAGAGTATTATTCTCTGCGGACTTTAAACGGCTCTGCTGGCCTCTCAGTGGCACGTTCCCAACCGCGCTGTCTGTTATGAAGACCATGCGTGGTGCCTTGCAAGAAATGGAGCCCCTGCAGCGCGAAAATGGAATTTGGCATGAAATTGCGTTTCTACCGCTAACGCAACCGAAGGTCTCGTCTATCAATGCTTATATTCCTATGTTGGATGAGTATGAGGGGAACTGGGTGGCGTGGCATAGGGACCACGAGGCAGCCGAGTATGTGGCAAATTGGAACTTGGATGACCATACGCGGCCGTATGGCGAGCAAGAAGAAAATTGCACTTCAGAAACAGACTCATTTATAGGTTATATCGCGAGCTGCTGTGGCCAGGATAGACCGGAGTATAAAGCCGGTCTAACTATGCAGGTAAAGCCGGCTGCTGGCAAGGAATTTGTTACGATATATGACTACCTATCTGGTATGTTGGCTATGAGAAGAGTTTATTTGCTTGAGGCTTTACTTAAGACTAATTGGATTAATATAGTGGTACATCCGTGGATAATGAGTCTCCGCGAGGATATTATACAAGCTATGACTGTTAGGGGAGACGGAACGAACATTACACTTGAGTCCGCGCGCGCTATGAACTGGAAGATTTCCGTAAGGGCAGCTTCACGGCATAGTATCTTGACGCATCAGATGTGGCTAAGCAATCATACTAAACCTCCGCCGCTAGATGAGGGTAGAAGAAGGTTGCTCCTAGCGGTAGGCACGTCGAGGGATTTAACTAGGCCATAGACAAGCGGATATAAGATATTTGACGCATGCTCATACTTAATTATAGTTTTGGTGATTGTGCGGCCCCTTGTGACGGGAATACCTGTATTGGCTTACATTTATCCACCGCATAAAGCCGTTAATCCTACCTCTTCTCCTAGCTACTTACTGTTAAGCAGGGCGACTATGTTGGACCTATTACGGGGCCTAGTCCCGCTTTTAAGTGTTTTTTATATATATTTAGCCCCTTTTTCTAGGAGACCCCCTATAAGGGTATCTCTAGTAGTCCCTAGCTATATAGCCTCTTTTCTAGTTAATTAATATTATCTAAATAATTATTAAGCCTTTTAGTATAATAGTTATAAGCTTAGTTAGTAACTAATTAGCTTTTTCTAATTATTTAAAAAGTATTAATTATTTTTATTATATTATTATATAGAGTTACTAACTAGATATTATTATTTATTAGTTTAAAATAACCCTTATTCCCCCTTTTTTATTTATAAAAAGGGAAGAACTTATTAATAATAACCTTATTAAATACTAAAATAACTATCTATTTAGATAGTCCTTTTAATTAGCTAGAATAGAGTTAAAAGCTAATAAAGCTTATAGATTAAAAGGATTTATAACCCCTAATTAATCTAGCTTAAAATAAAAAGCTAGTTATACCTATTAGGCCTACTAACCCCTTAAAGCTACTAATATTTAAAGCTATTCTTTTAATAATAGAAGATATTATTAAGGAAAAAGAAAAAGAGAAAGAAGATCTTTAACCTTAACCTTAAATTACCTCTACCTTAAGCTTAACCCTAGCTCTTTTATCCTTTACTTTAAAAGGTAAAGCTCTTATAAAGACTATAATAGTATAAAGAAGAGTTATTACTACTAAATATACTATTACTATAGCTAAATATTATAATATAATTAAGGTAGCCTTCTTTAAGATAACCTTATATTTAGCTAATTAAACTATATACCTTAAGAAGAAGAAAGTATTATAGAATCTAGAAGTTAAGGTTATAAACTTAATCTATAAGGACTACCTTATTATAATCTCTAATTAATATAGCCTTTAAGAATACTATTATAAGCTTAAAAGATATATTAAGCCTTTTAATAGAGAAATTATAAGATTATTAACTTAAAAGATAAATACCCTTCTAACTAATTTAAAGTTTAAAAATACTATATTAAGTAAATAGGTCTAGAAGGTTAAAAAAACTATAAAGAAGTATTCTTATTTTAAGGTCTAGTAATATATTAACCCTATTTAAATTATTAAAGAGGTCTTTACTATTATTAATTTAAGATATCCTACCTTTATAGCTATTATAAAGTTAGACCTTATTAAGGGTTATAATTTAACCTTAGAGAATATTCTAAATAGGCTTTATTAAGAGAATCTAGATATACTTATTATTAAAGCTACTATAGCTATAAATTTTTAAATTAATAGTAAAAACTTAAAAGAATTTAATAAAAGTAATTTAAAGTTAAAAAAGAAAAACTATAGCTTTTATAAGAGGTAGTATTATATTATTAATAATAATATTTAATAGAAGTTATACTTTACTTATATCCCCTAGATATACCTTTAAGACTTAATAGCTTTTATTTAAAATAAGGAAGTTAATAAATAAGTTAAAAAGGTTATTACTAAATAGCCTAAGTTAGTTTAAAAAGAAATTATAGCCTTTAAGAAAATAGTAAAGCTATAGAAATTCTAAAAGTATAAAGGTACTAACTAAGCCTTTAAAGACTCTTTAAAAGTATTTACTATTATAATATTTATTAAATCTCTATTAAATATAGTAAATAAAATAATATTAGACTTAGGAATTAAGAATTATATCTTTAATAATTTAAGTTAGTTTACTAAAATATAATAAAAAACCTATACTATTTATAAAGTCTTTAATAACTAATAGCTAACTAAAGGTATTAAAAGTATATATATTAAATTAGTTAATAATAATACTTTAATACTTAGTAATATAATATATTACCTAATAGCTATAATAAATTTAGTATTAAAATATTAATTAAAGAATAAAGGTATCTTTTAGGAGTTAAAGAATAATACCCTTTTTAAGTATATAGGTTTATCCTATAAGGTAATTTATACTATTAATTACTATAGAAAGTAACTACTATTTAATAGTATTAAAAGAGAAGCTATTACTATTACTATTATAAGCTTTTCCTAGGCTTTAAAACCTATAATTACTACCTCTTTTAATTTATAATATAACTACCTTAACTACCTAGGTATTAAGACTATAAAATAGGCCTTACTTTATACTATTAGTATTAAGATAAATAAAAAATCTTTATTATTAAAATATAAGGTTTATAATATCTTTAAGGCTAAGAAAAATATATTTTAAAAGGAAAGAGAATTAACCTTTTTAATAATACTATTTATAACTATTTCTATTAATATCTTTACCTTTAGGGTAGCCTTTAATTAAGACTATTATATATAGCTAGTAACCTATTAGTTTATAGGATACTATATTATAGTTATAATAAAGGAGAAAATAGGCTTTAATAATATAATAACTACCCTTATTAATATAATTAAGAGATAATATAGAATTAATATTAGGATAGTCTTAATAAATAATAAGACCTCTTTTATAAAATAGAAGTATTATAAAATAATAAAGGTTAAATTCCTTCTAAGCTTATTTAACTACTTATACTATAGTAGCTACTAAAAGTACTTTAAAGGGGTAGTTAAGGAATTAGTAACTTACCTCTAGCTTTAAGCTAGAATGCCTTTTAATTTATAGGGGTTAGCCTATTAAATAGCTATTTATCTTCTTAATTACTAGCCTTACTACTTAAAAGACTAGAAATTACCTTTTAAGCTACTTTAAAATTAGCTTTAAGAGAATTAATAAGAGTAGAACTATCTCTTTAAGGATTAAAGGCCTAATTTAAAGTATATTAAGACCTTTAAATATAAAGCCTTTATATTAATATTAAAAAGAATATAAGGCTTAGATAATAAGCTTAAATAATAAGCCTATATAGGCTATCTTATAGGAATTACCTTATTAACTTAATATTTAGTCTAGGTATCTTTATTAAAGGGTATAAGAGTTATTAATTTAAGTTATATTAAATTTAATAAGTCTACTTTCTATAAGGAAGAAAAAGCTATTAATCCTAAGGCTTTTTAAAAGGTAAAGGCTTTTAATTTTTAGTCTTACTAAAAAAGTATTAATAAGTTAATTATTAAGCCTAATTTATAGAGTCTAACTTAGGCTACTACTTTATTATTTAAAGCTAAGTTTAATATACTATTAAACTTAAGGGGTAGAAGGTATATAATAGCCTTATCTTCTTTATTATTAAGTACTATATAACCCTTTAAGCCCTTCTTTTCTTTTATAGAATAGGAAGCTATATAGGCTATAGGTACTAGACCTAAATATATTTAACCTTATAGGTATTATTAACCTAATTAATATAGTAATATACCTTTATAGTATATCTATTTTAAAATTAATAAACCTTTTACTTTTAATTAAGAGTTAGTACTATTATATAATATAAGTAAACCCTTTAAACCTTTAAATAATAGAAATAACCCTATAGGGACCCTAGGTTCCCTAGAAGCCTTATAATTAATTATATATACCTTAGGTTCCCTAGATAATCTATTTTTAACTTTATTAGCTACTTTATTAAATATAGAAGACTTTACCTTAAGGAATATAAATAACTTAAGCTATAATATTATAAAAGCTATAATTACTATTATAACTAATAAGAAGGAAGAGTAGCTATATTATAATACTCTTTCTTTAGCCTTAAATAACTACTATTAAGCTAAAAAATACCTATTCTAGAATTATTAGTTTATAGCTATAAATAATAAATTAATAAAAATTATAATATAAGGTATAGTTTAGAAAGTATATATTTAAAAGACTATAAGAGGTAAAAAACCCTTTAATTTATATTAAATATATATCTATAAATTTAATTTTAATAGCCTATTAATTAAATATAAAGCTTACCTATATATATAAGGTAATTAATAGCTAGCTAGCCTTTTAATAAAGGCTATAATAATATTAGTTATTTAAATATTCTATTTAATAATAGCCTTTATAGTATATTTTAGCCTAGATTTAACTTAAGTAGATTTTATTAATATATTTTATAATTTAGACCTTAATAAAGAGGTATATATAATACTCCTACTAGGCTTTAAGGAATTAGAATACTAGTAGCTTCTTAAGAAGGCCCTTTATAGCCTTTAAAGATTGCCTTTTCTTTAGTATTAAATTATAACTAAATTCTTTATTAAGAAGGGATTTATATTTTACCTAGAAGACCTATATATAATAACCTATAGAGGAATTATTATCTTCTTCTATATAGATAATCTAGTCTTTTTATACTTAAAAGAGTAGAAAAAGGACTTTAAAGAGGTATATTAAGCCTTCTTTAATAAATATAAGGTTAAATTATTAAGTAAACTCTATTAGTTCTTAAGAATTAAGATTCTTTATAACTAAAAAGTATAAAAGGTATAGTTTTTTTAAAAGTTATATATTTAGAAGATTATAGTTAGGTTTAATTATAATAACTTAAAGCTAGTTAATATACTATTATTAATAAAACTACTAGTTAAAAGGCTTAATATAGTTAGTAATACTAAAATTAAGAAGTTTTAATTAATTATTAGTTTAATTAGGTATTTATTAATTATAACTTAAGTAGACTATATTTTAACCTCTTTAAAGTTAGTTTAATTCCTTTTTAACCCTTTACTTAACTATATTATATAAAGGCTTAATATAATAAGGTATCTTAAGTATACCTAGGATCTCTATATAGTCTTTAATAGAAATATTAAGGTCCTTAAGATATTTAGTAATACTAGCTTTATTAATAATACTTATAATTAGAAAAGTATATAAAGATATATATTAAAGCTATTTAATAGCTTAATTTACTATTAATTAGGTAAGTAGAATATAGTTACTATATTATCTATAGAAGCTAAGCTATTAGCTTTCTTATAGGCTATTAAAGAGGTTATAACCTTTAAGTAGTTAGTATTAAATATTAATTTTAAATTTAATAGAAAAATTAATTTCTTTTATAATAACTAGTAAATAATTTAATTAGTTACTAAAGACCTTATTAAGCTAGTTATAAAGCTTTATTATATTAATATTTATAACTATTAAATTTATTAAAAGTTAAAAGTAAAAAGCTTTAACCTTTAATAAATCTTAATTAAAGAGATAATAGTAAATAGCCTTATAAAGCCTTTTAGAAAGTAGTAATTTAACCTATTTATAACCTAATTAGGCCTTTAAAAGCTACCTAATTAATTTAACTATAGATAAGCTATTAAAGGTAGGATAGATATATAGCCTAAAGATAGTAATCTTCTACCTAAGGTATTATATATACTCTTTTTTATCTTAACTAATAAAGAAAAGATACCTTATAGCCTATTTAAAGGTATTAAGGCTAAAAGTAATACTTTATTAACCTCTTATAACCTCTTAAAGCTTTAGCTAGCTATAAGTACCTCTTTAGCTACCCCTAGTATAGTTTAATCCCTTATTAGAAAGAATAAGTACTCTTCCTTATAAGTCCTTTAGATATACCTTTATAGTATAGTAGGTTAAATTACTATTATTATAAAGGTTAGGTAATATATAAGTACCTTAAGTACTTTAGTTAAGGGATATTAAAATAATAAAAAATAATAATATATAGGGGTATTAGTTATTAATAAACTTACTTAGTTTCTTAATAGACTATTTATTATATAAGTTTTTACTCTTTTATTACTTAGTAATAATAAAAGGTTTTTTATAAGTAACTATAAGTAAGGGTTTAACTTTTATAGTAGTATTATTTTTTTATCCTTTTTAATAGGCTTTAAGGCCTTAGAAAATACTATAAATTCTATTTTTAGTTATTATAATATATTTTTATTACTTTATCTACCTAAAAAGAAGCTATAGGGGTGTATTAAATAGGGTAACTATATTAGACCTATTATAGGGCCTAGTCCCGCTTTTAAGTGTTTTTTATATATTTAGCCCCTTTTTCTAGGAGACCCCCTATAAGGGTATCTCTAGTAGTCCCTAGCTGTATAGCCTCTTTTCTAGTCAATCAACATCGTCTAAATGATTATTAAGCCTCTTAGCATGATACTTACTAACTAACCTGTAGCTAACAGTAAGCCTCTACAGTGGGTCCAGGTAATTCCGCTCGCGACAACTTCGAGAGGGCTACAGTACCGGCACGTCCCACCATACATTTCAAACGCTGATAGCACCACCAATAATACAGTAAAAAATGAAGTATTATTTTGCGCAAATGTAGCTCCCGGTGTGCCTAATTTAAGTGCATAATAGGGTACTTCTCGCTACATCGATTTACTAGTGTCTTATATCCAAGCCTAAGTACCAGTAAGTACTGATGCACCTGTACAGTGTGGATAAGGACGTCTACTTTTTGTTCAGCGAGCTCCAGCCACACTGTACACAAGGACCCGACCCTGGCAGCGCTGGAAAGTGATGACGTCGGAAGCTCGTCAGTCAATACAGAGCTTCTAGGCCCGATCCAGCGGGAAGCTTTGCAGCCATCCTTCTGCACTGCCCTCGGCAAAAAAACAGACCACCGTTTGCTCCAAGCTAGCTCTCCCTCTCCTCTCTTCCTCGACAACAATCTCAACGCTAACGTTGACAAAAACCTCGACGACAACGTGGACAAACGGGCATCGCCATCGCAAACACCCACTTGCCCTTTTTGACTCTTTCTCCCTCTGTGGTTTTCCAATCTGGCACGGAATCAAGTTCGACCAACCGCCCCCCCCTCCATCTCATCAACCACCCACGAAACCCCGCAAGCTGGTTCTAGTGCGCCTAGGCACATAAACACCGTTCACGATGACGCTCTACTACACGATTGTGCGTTTGGATTAACGGCGCTGGCCGCGATCAAGACTGGGAAGCAAGAGCCATGATGTACTGACTTGCGAAATTGATAGGTCTTTGCCCTTCTCATGTTTGAGATGGCACTCTTCCTGTTCTTCATCATTCCTCTGCCTCACAACCCCCGCCGCGTCATCTTCACGTAGGCCACTCCTCCCAGCAACGCGCACGCACAAGCACTAACCAAAGGATGCAGCTTCATCTCCGAGAACAAGGTTGTCGCGCAAATCCAGTATTGGCTCAAGATCACCTTCATCTTCATCATCGTCCTGTTCGTCGACTCGGTGAACCGCGTCTACCGCGTCCAGGTGGAGCTCCACGACACAATGGAGAGAGCGGCCAAGAGCGGCGGAACGTATGTTGCTTCCTTCCCCCAAAGGAATCTTGGTTGTCAAAAGCTAACCTTGGCTTTGCCCAGCAGTGTCGTCCTCGGCCACGAGCGTACCGAAGTCCAGGCGCGCAAATTTTATGCCCAGCGCAACATGTACCTCTGCGGCTTCACCCTCTTCCTCTCCCTGATTCTCAACCGCACCTATGTCATGATCAAGGACATTATCCGCCTCGAGGAGCGCATCCGCGCCTACGACAGTGACAAGAACTTGACCGTCAAGCCCTCTGACGAGGTCACTGCGCTCAAGAAGCAGCTCGCCGCCAAGGACCAGGATCTCCAGACCCTCAAGAAGCAGAGCGAGCAGCTGCACAAGAGCTACAACGAACTCAGTGACCAGTACGAAAGCAATCAGGTCAAGGAGTCCAAGAAGGAGAAATAAGTGTCTTGTCCTGCTCGCAAGCGCGACACCACCAACCCCCGGATGGTGTGCCGTGGAGCATCTGTGTTGAAAACAAGGAAGAAAGCAGACGTGAGAAAATGGAGTTGATGCAATGGTGTATGAATACCGGCACATGTTGGCCGTTGTGAAGCAATACGCTTGCAAAATACAGCAATTGATAGTTTAAGACTAGCCTCGTCAACCATATATGTTTTTTTATCTTTTGACCCGTTTTGACCGCCTCGTGCCTGATGTTGGCTCGTCTTCTTGAGCAGCTGTGCGTTTTCTTTGGGCAGGCGGCTGTCGGACAGTTTTGGCGCCTTGGGTCTGTTCCTTGCCGCTGACTTTTGCAGCGGTTTTACTCTTGGCACGCTTCTCCTTCTTTGCCGCTTTTGTAGTCCTCGCCTCTTCAACCTTGGCCGCCTTGGCCGCCTTGTGGGCGGTCCTGGCCGTGGCCTTGGCGTCCTTCTCGGCCTCCTCGGCAGCACCGTCGGCCCCCTCGCGCCTCATCAGCACGTACGCGACCTTTTCCACGTCGGTGGCGCCGACGCGCAGCCTGCCCATCAAGCTGGCGGCGTTGCGGCGCAGCATGCCGTACTCTGCGCTCGTGTACTTGAGTTTGCGCCGGGCGGCGGCGGGGCTGCCGTCGGCGCAGAGCCAGTAAAAGGCCTCGTCCGAGAAGAAGACGACGCGCGCGGGGTCGTGCACGCTCAGCAGCAGCGAGGCGGTGGCGGGGCCGATGCCGCGGAGCTTGGCGAGCGCGGCGAGCGCGGCGGCGACGCTGGCGTCCGAGGACGTCGACGCGCGGTAGGTCTGCATCGCGGCGGCAATGGTCCGGCGCGCGACCGTCGCATTGTTGGACGCGGCGAGGCCGAGGAGCATCGGGCGGAACTTGCCGTGCCGCAGCTTCCACTCGACCAGGAGACGCAGGTCGTCGAGCGTCATCTCCTTGGCCGCGCTGCTGCCAAAGTCGGCAATGGCCTGCCCGTAGCGGTACTCGTCGAGCTGCTGCAGAGATTTCTGGCCCGATTTGGCTTGAGAAAGAATGGCGGTTTTAGTTCAGGACGCCGAGTATTTGAAGGGGGGAAAAAGGGCAGTGATTGGCTTACTTCCTTTTGCTTTGGACATTTTGTCAATGACGGAGGGGTACTCATCGAGCAGGGCTGTAAACTCTTCCAGAGTGATGGCGTCGGGCGACGGCACCTCGGGAGGCGCTATTGGGCCGGGCGACGACATTTTCTGATGGGCGGCAATGCAGGCTTTTTTTTGACTGGGGGGAAGAGACCTTGATGACTATGGGGTGAGAATAGTTGATGGAGCGCGGACTTGAGAGATCTGGTGGGCAAGACGATGAGTGAGGCGCAATGGAAAAGTGAGGCGCGTAAAAGTGAATGTAGTGGAGGAGCCCTGCACGCGCTGGGGCAGCCCCATGCTGGCTTGTACATCGAACGGCTATACTGGTAGGCTGTGCGGTCAGCCCTGTGGTTTGCTAGATGATTTTTTTTTTAATTTACTGCCGAAATGTGAAGAATTTTTGGATTGCGTCTGATTTGAAAGTTATTTTTCCCTGTACCTGCTCTTATAGTGTGGCTGTGGCGCGGCTACTCCAGTATGTGAAAGCTATAGCCATCATCACAGCCACAGTCAATCGCTTATCATGAATCTGTGAAATGTCAAGAAATTGAGTGTAAAATCAGTCCAGCGATTCAGTATTGTGTTTATCACTTCGCCCATCTCACACCATACTCTTGACCATCTCCAGTCTGAAAATTAGTGCCCTAGATATAAGGCCGCACTAATTAAGATAGCCATCGAATTGCTTACACCATTGATCTGACAACTTCCTTGTCCACCATCTCAACTCTCAACTACGTCTCTTACAGCCGACAGAGCACCGCGCAATGGCGCCAGACCAAGTCCACGAAAAGCATACATGCTCTACGACAATGGTTTGATGGCCTGAGACATGTCCCCGAATTCCGCCAGGGCGCGCGGCGACTCCTCCCGCCAGCGCAGGGCCCATCTCAAGTCCAGGAATGGCTGCGCAAGGTGCAAGAGGCTGAGGAAAAAGGTACGCAATATCCTCCATTCCGCGGTGCGCATCCTATGTGCCTGACTGACACATGTATTGCTAGTGTGATGAAAAACAGCCGAGATGTACGCGCTGTCGGAAGCAGGGTGTCCATTGCGACTACGGCACCGCTGCCGACGGCGTTGATGAGGCGGGGAGCAGCAGCGTCTCGGAGCGACATAGTCGGCAGGCGACCGGCGTCCCGGACTCGGCGATGCGAGACTCGGTCTCTACGGACCCGCACTCGGCCCATACGCCGACCAGCTCCCATCCGCATGCGCGTAGCGCCGACGCCGCGTTTCCCGCTGTCGGCACGCGACCCATGCTCAACGCGCGCGAGCTGGCGCTGTTTAGCCACTACATTACGCACACCAGCCACGTGATCCCCTACGGCCGCGAAGACATGTTTCCGCTGCAGGTCGGGATGCCCAACCTGGCGCTGACCGACGCGGCTGTCATGGACGCCATCCTGGCCCTGGCCGCGTCGTGCGAGTGCCACGACACGCTGCACAGCGGCGGCGACGCGACGTCGCCCGCGACGCTCGACGAGGTCGGCGACTTGCTACGCCTGGCGGACCGCCACCACCAGACGTCGCTGGGCCGGCTGCAGCACGACGTCCAGGCGCGGCGGTTCCAGTCGGTGCTGCCCAACGCCGCGCTCATGGTGCTGTACGCGCTGTCGAGCCACCACGCGCGCGTGCTGCTGGCCCGGCGCGCGCGGCGGCTCGGCGTCGCGCTCGCCCGCGACGTGCTGCCGTTTCCGTCGCAGTGGATCACGTCGATTCGCGCCGCGCACGGCGCGTTTGTCGGGCTGCTGCGGCCCGGATTTGCCTCGCCGCGTGCGCGTGTGAGGGAGGAGGAGGAGGAGGAGGAGGAAGAGCAGGAGGCGGAAGAGAGGCTGGCTGCCGCGCCGCTTGGTGCTGCTGGCGACGGCACGTGCAGGTTCCAAGACGGCCCGGCAGAGGAAACGAGGCGGCTGCTGCTGCCCATCATCACGAGCACGTACGGCGCTGCGCTGGAGCGACTGCGGGCACGCAGCGATGCCGGCAACCTCGCGGCCAGCACTGCCAAGTCGGACGCCTGCGGCAGCGCCCTCGCGATCCTCCAAGAGCTCTTCTACGCTGTCCTGGGCGGCCATGACCATTATCCTCGGCCGCCACCGCGACCGCCGCCGGACTTGTGCGCGCTGGACAATGCGCCGCCGTGGCTGGTCCGGTACCTGGCGCGGGTGACGTCGGCGACGCCTTCCAAGCTGTGGCGGCGGCGGATCATGGCCTTTCTGAACCAGGTGCCATTTGAGTTTTTGCAGCTCGTGCAGCGGGCCCTCGACTGCATGCCGGTGGACGACGACGGCCTGCCGCGGCCGCGGCCGCCGCTCGAGGCCGCGCACAAGCCCGCCATGGACATTTTCGCGCACTGGCTGGTGCTGGTGATGCTGCTGGACGGCGTGTGGTGGATCGGCGACGTCGGGCACTGGGAGCTGCGCCGCATCGTCCGCTTCGTCGCGGCGCAGGGCTTCGTGGTGGCCTTGGTCGAGGGCGAGACGTGGTGGCCGGAAACCATGTACGCGATCAAGTCCACCCTGGGCACTGCGGCGTGAATGTGTTAGTCTGGCCCGTCGCGAGTGAAGACATAACTAGCGAAAACAAACAGGCTGATGCTACTGCAAACAATTACAAATTAGAGAAAAGTGATGGTGTTGAATTTTTGTCTGTGCGATACGCCCCGAATACGCCGGCGGGGGGCCAATACGACCGGCGCTGACGGCGAATACGCCAGTCGCCTGGCGCAAGTGGGCGTATTCGACGGTCAAGCCCGCTGCACAGCCCGTGCAGATTTTGTTGGCCTTTTCAAGTGAGATGGACATGATCTTTAAGAGACGCTTGAAACTACCAGTAACGGCAATCAGCGAGCATATTTGGAATGTCTACGCTCTACATTACTCGTCTAACAAAGAGAGGAGCCATGATGGAGACGACACACCCGCTGGGCTGTGCTGCTTACCAGCCGTCACCAGATAATTCATTTACAATAACAACAATGTCGATTATTTGAAATAGTCGAGATTTATATAAACATGTTGAAACCCCGGCATTTCTGACTTGCTCACAGACACGAGCATCACCTCAATACACCACTACACCATCGCTCGTACATCATTCAATCACAAAGCCCCCTTCACCACATTAATTACTTCGAATTCACCAACATCATGATCTGCAACACCTCTTTTATTATCGCAGCCGCTCTGGCCATGGCTGCTACTGTAGTGTCTGCGCCGACTAACCAGACGAGTCCCGGCACCGAGCTCAGCAAGGCTGCTCGCCTGCGCATGGCGGACAGGTACGGCTCTCACTCTTGACGCCATACGCGGGAAAGAAACAGTCAACTAAACTCTCTGCGCACAGTTTTGTCGAGCGCTACAGCATCTTGGCCGACGACAAGGACTTTGTCTTTGATCTGAGCCAGAACAACTACCAGTCCATCGCGAACCGCCAGACCTTTCCCGCCATGGTCGGCACCGGCACCAGCATCGCGGCCGTCCAGTTTCCGGGTACGTTTGTCTTTCCCCCAAACCAGGGCATTCCTTTGTTCACGCCTCCTTGAACACCCCCCCCCCCCCCCGCACTTCTTCCACGGTGCATTCTAACCCCCCGTTTGCTTCGCAAGGCTGCTCCATCAGCAAGCTGCACATCCACCCGCGCGCAGCCGAGATGCTCGTCGTCCTCTCCGGGCGGCTCGTCACCGAGACGATCCCCGAGCTCGGCGCCGGCGGGCGCGTCATCCGCAACGAGCTGGGTCCGCACGCGCTCACCGTCTTTGACCAGGGCGCCCTGCACACGCAAATCAACCCCGACTGCGGCCCCGTCTCCGCCCTCACCGTCTTCTCCCACGAGGACGGCGGCTTCGGCTTCGTCGCCGACCAGGCCTTTGCGCTGCCCGACGACGTCCTCGCCACCCAGCTCGGCGACGCCATTGCCGGCGCTGACATTGACCGCATCCGCGCGGCGCTGCCGCCGGGCGTGGCCGCCCGCATCGACGCCTGCGTGGCAAAGTGCAACATTACGAAGCGTGCGCTGTGAGGGGGAGGTGCTGTTGTACGTGCCGGACTGTGGCAGCGAACCTAGGTTCTCATGACCAGTTACGAATTAGTCTAGAAAAGAATTTTGAATTTTGCAACTCCGACGTGTAGGTGGACTTGGACTATCAAACCCCAAAGCTTGTCTGCGTCTACTACATGTATGTATGCCTCCTGCTCAGCGCCTACAGTTCTGCAGGCTTGAGCACCCAGTGCCCATCCGGTTCGCTCGGCCTCCCGAGCTTCACATATGCCATCCCAGCCTCCAAATCAGCGACGATGCTGAACAGCGTCTCGCTGTCCCTCACCGGACTCCTCTTCCTGTTGATCGCCGTCGGGAACCCTTCCTCATCCTGCAGCATGCGCTCGCAGCACGCCACACCACCACCTGCCTGCTTCGCGTTGGCGCGCGCCAACAGCTCGCTGATACGCGCCATGCGCGCCAGCGAGTCGGGGAAGATGACGGCGTCGGCGACGGGCGGCTCGTGCGCGACCAGGAAATGGTTCGTGTGCGCCAGCCGGCCGTCCGCCATGTCGAGCTGCCGCACGCCGAGGTGGGTGAACTCGAGCGAGGTGCCGCCGGTGCGGTCCGCGACGAGGATGTGGCCCGACGTGCCGAGCGCGAGCGCGCGCAGCCGCGCCACGGCCTTGACGCGGCTCTCGCTGTCTAGCACCACGCGGAAGGCGACGTGCAGCGGGAGCGCGTCGAAGCGCACGCCGCGCGCCTTGATGGCGTTGATGAAGACGCCCACGCCGGCGGAGTTGATGCCGCTCTTGCAGAGAAGGCCCGCCTCGGTGACGAGGCTGGCGCGCGGCCGCTGCGTGCTGCCGTCCGGGGCGGGCTTGATGTGCAGTAGGACAAGCCTGGCTTTTTGGGGAACATCCCACTAACATGGGGTTTAGCTTTTCTCGTAAAGTATATTCAGTTATCTGGGGTGTGGCAGACTTACATCCCAGTTCTGGCCGGCGACGCTAAACATGTCCGTCTTCCAGGCCAGCGATGTGCAGCCGTCGTCCATCATGCCCATGGATATTTCAGTACGCGCATTCAGCGCCAGAACGGCCGCATAAGAGAGCCCAGCACCATTCGCTATGCCTATTTGTCTTGCTGTTTTAGTAGTTTTTCATGAACGGGGCGTTTTGTCTGACCTTGCATCTCCTCGACTAGATGAGGCACATGTCGCTCAAGGAAGGGATGGAACTTGCTGGCAGCGTCTTCGGCAGCCGCCCAGCTCATCTGGCTATTCTTTCGGAAATACTGGATATAAAACTCCACGCTGCCATGGACCAGTGTCTTGGCCTGGCTTCCGTGGCGGAATCCAATCTGCGGAATGTGGTTAGCGTCTGCAGCCCTTGGTCTAATAAGGCTGAAACGGTGTGTTGTACTTCATAGGGTGTTCCGGAGCAGGTGATTTCCAACATGGTGAAGAGATAAAGACTGTTTCTGGCTTTCAAGAGAAAATTCTTCTTGTAATCCGTACTCCGTACATCAGGTAGGATATCAGGGCCTTTTAAACAAGTACATGGCAACGGTTCCCGGTCTAAGTGCGTGAGACTGAGCATGTCCATGGGCGCGGCCGGAGCGGCATGGCTGGAATAGGTTAGTTGCCGAGCACGATAGAGCCGCCTAATTCAGTTAGGCTCCGAACAACACCACCCAAATGAGGCTAGTTGCCGAGCTCAGCCGTTTTCCCGCCATGCACCCCAGACTCTGCTGCGGGTCTTCTACCAATCCCAGCAACGATATTAATCTGAAGCGGCCTGACGATACATATCCGTGCAAGTGGGGAGATGGGGAGACTTCGAGATATGCCCAGAGGGCCGACTCTTGGAACGCATCTCTCAGGTTTATAAAGGCCGCCACTTTCCCTTCTTCCTGCGTCCTGGCTTGGGACTAGAGAGACAGATCCGACTTCCTCGACCACTTCCAAGCCAGCAACGTCACTTTGTGCAAGAATGGACCACCAACTCGAAAAGACGGCGGGCGAGACCACCTCCGTGGAGAATGCCAAACCAGTCGAGCCTGTTGTTCTTGGCCTCTCACCAGAGGAAGACAGACGTATCCTGCGCAAGCTGGATCTATGGTGAGCAGTTGCACCAAAGAGACACACATGTTGGGCTCATCGCGTCGCTGACATTTTCCACCAAAAGCTTGCTTCCTGTCATGGCCATGAGCTACTTTTTCCAGTATCTCGATAAATCGGCCCTCGGCTCCACCGCCATCATGGGCCTTCGCGAGGACCTGCATCTCTCTGGTTCCGAGTACTCGTGGTCCAGCGGCATATACTACTTTGGCTACCTCCTCGCCTCGTACCCCGCGGGCATCCTCATGATCCGCTGGCGCGTCGGCAAGGCCATTACCGTGTCCATGTGAGTGCGCGCGCCGCGACTTCTTATTTCCAGCCGCATGCTATCTGCTGACAAAATAAGGCTCTTGTGGGGAGCCATTCTCATGTTCACGGCCGTATGCCACAACGCGGCCGGCCTCCTCGCCACGCGCTTCTTCCTCGGCGTTGCCGAGTCGGCCATTGCCCCGGGCTTGACGATTCTCATCTCCATGTTTTACAAAAAGTCGGAGCAGCCTCTGCGCCACGCCGCCTGGTTCCTGGGCAATACCTGCGCTGGACTCATCGGCGGCCTGCTGAACTACGGCATCGGCCACATCGATAGCATTGCGCCGTGGAAGGTATGCTGAGCCCCTTTAGGCCTCCTCTTACAAATGACCTCGTCTGATGAAATGAAAAAAAGGCGTCCTTCCTTATTCTTGGTGGCTTGACTGTTGCTTGGTCGTGTGTGAACGCTTTCCTTCTTCCAGACGAGCCATCCAACATATTCTTCTTTAGCAAAGCCGACCGCGAAAAAGTTGTTCTTCGAGTTCAAGAAAACTTGACTGGTATCAAAAACAATGAGCTGAAATGGAACCACGTACGAGAGGCGCTTCTTGACGTCAAAACATGGTTCTTTGTCCTGATACAATTCACGTCGTGTATTCCCAACGGCGGCGTCACAACGGTATGTAAATCATGGCCCTGCAGAATGTGCCTGTCTAATGTGCAAGTAGTTCCGCTCCATAATTCTTCGGGGTATTGGATTCAGCACATTTGATACTCTCCTTCTTCAATGTGTCCCATATCTGGTACAGTTTGTTCTCGTCGTCTTGTGCACAGGAGGCAGCACGTACCTGAAAAATACCCGTACATACTGGATGATGCTCACGTTTGCCATTGCTCTCCTCGGCGCCGCCCTGGTGCGACAGTTGCCCGCTCATGACAAATGGGGCAAGTACGCAGGCACCTGTTTGATGGGTGCCAGCTCAGCCTCCTTTCCACTACTCATGTCCATAGTGTCTGGAAATGTCGGCGGCTTTACCAAGAAGACGACTGTCAATGCCATGGTATGCGGCACTCCGCTGATTCTGATAACGCCGCCCTGTTCTAACCTGGTAACAGAGCTTCATTGCGTATTGCGCCGGCAACATTGTCGGGCCCCAGCTCTTCTTTGAACGGGAAGCGCCATCGTACGGTTCAGGCTTCGCCGCTCTTATTGTATGCCAGACGGCCTGTTTCTTTCTTTGTTTGGGATTGCGCTTCTACCTGACGTGGTTGAATCGCAGCCGTGATCGACAGGACGCTGCCACCGTGGCGACTGAGGAGAACCACATGCAAAGGCACGCTGCCATGGCTATGATGGACAAGACGGACAAGGAAATTGCGGGACTCCGATATGTATACTAGATGGAACCAAGTATTAGTGCCTATTATTCCATCTGATTCAATTTGGCGTGTAATCGTCTATAGTGTAAAATCACTCCAGAGCGTCGAAGCAGCCATGACCAAATCTGGGTCATTCATCCATAAAAAATCCTCGATATCAACGCCCCATAGGTCTACAGATTCTTGCAGCCCACCATCACTGGGAGTTTCCTCTGAAGACGTCCGCAAAAACTTCTTGCAAAGCTCTGGCTGCTCAAGAATGAGACCCGTAATGAGACGGACCTTGTAGTACGTTTCGGTCGGGATCATGGTCACGTCCGGGTATCCGTCGCCATCGCGCAGGGGTATGGGAGACACTGGCACCGACTCGCCGCTTGTCGGAGAGGGAACAGAATCGGTGCTGCTGTTGTTGACGTGTTGATTGCCCCGGCGGTACCTAGATTGGTAGAATTCGTCCAAGAGCCGAACGCAATTGGCCCATGCTCTCGCCAACCGCCACGTCTTGGTCCACGAGTCCAGTATCCCGATGAGATAGTCGACATCATATCTCGCTCGTGCCACCTCATCGTCGGAAAGGCGCACAAACAGCGTGGCGGCGCGGCTACAGTGGTGCGCCCAGAGCAAAACACTCGCCGCAGTGACGATGGGAACACCGGCGCAGACGCCCAGCTGCGTGTAGTTGAGCCCTGCCGTGATGTTGTCCACAAGCCTCAGCATGGCGACGACTGTGTTGGCCCCGTGTAGACAAATTAGGATCGCATCGGCGTCACTGTCCTTGAGTGTGCTCGCCGCCGCCAGTGTGCTTGCCACGTCGCTCTCCTCGACGTGTGGCAGATACTCGTGGTGCGACAGAAAAGTGGCATGCTGCACGAGCAAATGCATGCTGACAAAATGCGCCATCTGCCCTAGAGACTGATGCGCGCGCAGGTTGCGTTCAGAGAACTGCATCTCGTCCGGCAGCGCGTCTCGCCACGCGGCCATGACCGCTTCATAGTCGCCCGAGCTGACGACCGGTTTGGGCGCTCCCGACTGCTCGGCCCCCCGGCCGCCATCCACGTATATCCGGGCCACGGGCGACCACAGCAGAAAGGTCTTGACAAAGTACGCCAGCGATGCCTGTTCCGCCGGCCCGTCGCGGGTTCCGCGCCCCAGCTCGGCCACAGTCGGGCCTGGACTCTCGTGCCCAAACGCAAAGGCCACCTCGTGGCACGGAAGATGGAGCTGGACGAGGGCGAGGTCAATGGTCTGGGTGCGGTGCGTGCAGTAGGCGACCAGGCAGTCGAGCACCACGCAGGCCCAGAAGGTGCGCCGCCGGACTTCGCGCTGGCGCGGGACGTGGCGCCGGTTGTGCTCGCGCCGCATGCGCAGCGACTGGGCCATGCGGATGGCGAGGCCAATGTGCAGCCAGGCCTTGGATGTGGCCATGGTCAGGAGCTCGCCGAGGCCGAGAACGAGGTTGGCTTGGATGGTGATTACTGTTTGGCAGAACATGTCAGAATGAGACCCCGGACTGCGGGCGGGAGGGAGTTACTTGAGGGCTTGTCGGAAAGGGCGCGAGATGACGCTTGGGCCTTGGACCTATAGAAGCACAGGAGGCTCTTGGAATCGGTGAAGCGGGAATCGGAGGCGGCCTCGACATCGGTCAGGTACAAGGACGACAGCGCCAGGATGGACTGAAGTAGAAAATCCTCCGTGTCCGTAGTGGTCGCGCTGTTGACCATGTCCAGGTCGATGCAGCCGCAAAGTTCCAGCATATGATGTGTCTGTGAAAAGAGATGGACGAGTCGCTGCCTCAGCGGCACCGGCAGGGGCTTACCCGCCAGCGGCGCCGGCGAAGGATAGGCATCATGACCAGGCGATTGTCTGGGCCGAGTCTGCTCTGGAATCGCTTCCTCGACATAAACCAATTGGTAGTTGCCTGGCACGAGCCGCGCCGGCCACTGACAGGCTTCGTTCCTCCGCAGGCACACGTTGCAACGGGGCTTGACCCCGTCACATCGGACCTTGCGGCTGCGACTGAATCATTGTTAGCCGAAGTGGCACGGAAAAGGTGCCAGGGACGTACCATTCTTGGCAAGCTTGAAGATTGCGAGGGGCTTTGGGCATTGTACATGACGAGCTTCTTTCGCTTTGATCAAGGGAGATGGTGTTTGGATGTGTCAAGGAGGGCGTGTTTATCCGAGCGAAGAATGAGGCGTGTTTGTTAGAGCGCTACTGTGAAGCCACCATAGCACTGTGGAGTCTCTCATCAGCGACCAACGTATAAGTACTCGAATAGAATGGAGAGAAAAGGTTGGATTATCTCCGTCATCTGGCAGAAAATTCTGATGTCGAAGATGAAAAAAAAAATGATGTAGATGGCTTCATGTTCTATCTGCCTTTTCGGGTCGCGGTGGTGCTACTCAGCTGCCGTTTGTATCCGGAGTAGCCGCCGGCCGCCGGACGCTGAAAAGGCTTGTATAGAGGAAGAGGAAAATGTCTGAAAGAGAAGAAAACACTAAGAGAGACTTTGAGCAGTTGTATCAACTTGGAGTGGTTTGAAGACAAAACTAGAACTTGACTGATAGATGCTGTTTGCGTTGAGTTGTGGCATCGAACTCCCCGTCAATAATAGACAAAGCTTGGCTGGCAAGACTATTTTGATCTGAGATTTGATGCTGGCTGACAAAGTGTTGTAGAAATCTGTATATTTTCTGTTTATTAATTGGCCATCATCTGTCCCCATGTTGTAGTTGGGTAGGAGTTGCCAGCAGCTTCTCAGACATTTGCTGGAGAAACGCCGACCCGTTCTGTCCCCGAGTTTTCTCCATCAATCGGGAAAAGTCATCCATCACCGCGCTCAGGTAATCACGATCCTTGGGCGCAAACCAGTGCACATGCTCCAGATAGAGCGCCTTCAAGACTTGATCCTCGTCCTTGCAGAGACGAAACGCATGAAGCAGGTAGTCAGTCGCGGCGACGCTGACGGGCTTTCCCGGGCGCTCACACCGCGCGTTGGCATTGGCTCCATGGCGCAGAAATGCGGCGAGAATGCCAGTGTCTAAAGCTGCCATGAGCTGCGCCTGCACCTTTCTGATCGTGCCTGTGTGCGCCTCGTCATGCTGCGGCAGGACGTGCTCGCACAGCACACTCCACGGTGTCTTCTCCATCTTGGTGCCCAGCGTTTCTGCCGTGGAGAAGGGCTTGTTAGGGTCCTGTCCTTGCTCCAGGAGACAAGTGACTGTTTGTCTGGTGTCATAGTCCCAGCGTGGTCGGCGTTCGCGCACCTCGCCAATCTCGTAATCGGGGAAGAGGGCCAGCACCAGGGGCGGGACCTCGAGCACCGCAAAGTATCGAGGCCGACGCGCGTCAACACCGGACAGATACTTCCATACTCTGTGCCCAACAACTTGGGCTCGAAGTATCTGCAAGCTTTCCTCAGCGCCCGGTCCCTTGGCGACCAGGCAGCCGTCGAGATGGTCGAGGAGCCGGTGGCAGAGAGCGACGTCCTCCGCGCCCTGCAACTGGGCAGCGGCGGCCAGCAGCGACGTGATGCTTGATACAAACTCGGATCTGGGCTCTTCTGACATAGTGGCTCTACTGGACTTGGCCCACGCGGCAGCGGCCCTCAAAAGGCACAGACTCGGGGCGAAGCCCAACGGTGCCTTGCTGTTTAGTAGGTCCTTGGTCTGTGGTTGATCTAGATAGTCCCTAACGGTGCGGTGTAGACAGTTGACTACTTTGGTCTTTTGATCTACAGCTACAAGACCGCGGCAGAGAGTCTCGAGTTGGTGTGTGGTATGCGACAGCTGACGCCTGTACTCTAGTCTGCTTGGAGGGTCAGGAGACAGTGTCAGAACATAGTCGGGATCACTAAACTCCATCTCGTGAAAGTAGTACATACCAAGGTCTAGAGGCTTTTCTGCTACTTGAGTGATGAGAAACGACGTGGCCATCCTAGCTTGCTTGCTCGTCGGGATAGCTTCGAGGTTGTAGGTGAACAAGTCATCCAACTCTGGTGGATATTGGCGCAGCCTGTTGAGGAGACTGGATAATGAATCCTCCACCATCAGAGTCTCTAGAAGGCATTTTGTAGCAAGTGATACCCAAAGAAAGACCCCTTGCGATCTTTCGCTCATCTCTAGCGCTATGATAGTCAAGTCGTCGAGTGTCAAGTTTTTCGTTATTTCTGGGTATTGCGCGAATCGATCCAAGACAAAATGCACAATATCAGTCTTGGTAACATCGTGCAAGCGTAAATGGCCTCTCTTTCCGTCCTCAAATGCCTCTTCGAATACACTCCACGGCCTGCTCGAAAGACATAGCTTGACATTGTCCGACTTGCTGAGCGCCAGCAGCTCGTGACAGAGCGCGAGATGGTCGCCTTGAAACTCGTCGAGTCCGTCAATGAAGAAGCAGAGTTTGACTGGCAGGTGCGGATGCTGCACAATAGACTCGAGTGCCTGATGCAGATCGGCCAGGGTCCAGACCGCAGCCTCTGGCGCGCGCCAGCGTTCTGGCAGCAACAAGTGTATGGCGTCGGACAGCTGCCGCAGCATATCAAAGAGTAGGGTCTGCAGAAGCCCATTGTGCGATCTCTGCAATAGCGTGCCCGCGCACCAGAAATAGTGGCTGACGATTACGCTTTTTTTCGGTGCGGACCACTTTGAAAGGGCTTCTTGTGTACGCGCGTCGTCGGCGATGTACTTGATCAGCGTTGATTTACCGGCGCCGGGCTTGCCAGACACCCAGAAAATACCGCTGCCTTGCTCCAGCCATACCCGCAAGCCAGGGGAAGACGAATCGGTGTCTTGGCGCGGAGAGGCGGCAAAGACCCAGGCAAATGTCCTTTGATGGGCGGCGGGGATGGTGTCGTGCCGAGCGACATTGCTTCGAAAAGCGAGACTCTTTAATACGGCATGGTCCCGTTGGATGTGTTGTTGCTGGTCTGTGATGTGTTGTATTTGGCTCTGGAAGAGGGCAATGTCATCAAGAGAAGGCGCATTTTGGGACGAGTCGTGCTGCAAGGCGCGGAGCCTCGTCTCAAGAGTGCGCAGCAAGCCGGATATGGACTTGAGCCTGTCAGACTTTCGACATTGAAGCTTGCGGCTATCCAGTTGTATTTGACGCATCTGGTGTTTTGATCTGGCAACATGTGAACTACTGTTGGTTAGTATCGTATGGCAAACACCTGCGTTCGTACTTGCAAGTCACCTCGATATTTTGTTCAGTTGCAAAGCCAGGATGGTTTGCACGTCTTGCAGTCTCTCTGAGAGTTTCCGAAGTTCAAATGCCTGGCGCGAGGTCCTTACGGCGGGAAGCGACGATCTCCAAGTATTCAGTGAGGTACCAACACGCTTGGGTCCTCGGATCGTGTGGACGGCAGCCAGGATACGACCGCACAGAGTCTTGCAACTTGTGGCCAACTCTTTGACGGCAGAAACGTCGTCTTGATGTCGATGTTGCTGCGTGTCACTCATATAGGCTTCCAAGGAGGACTGAAGCTCATTTAAGCTGTCTTGCAAGCGCTGGGACTGTTTGGTATCGCTGCCTTTGTTTGCATCGGTGTCGGTGTCGCTACCTTCGTTTGCATCAGTGTCGCTGTCGTATGTTTGCGACGGTGGCCTGCAACCAACACCAGCTAGCCCGGCGGCCAGGGCGCAGCTGTATGCGACACCGCGCAACAAAGATAAATCATGCATTTTCGAATGTTTAACGAAATCAACGACCAAGAGGAATGATGATGCAAGATGCAAGATGCAAGATGAAAAGACCAGGCTGCGGGAAATGTCGCGTGGCGGAGCAGGCGCGTTTGCACGCTACCTAGTGAATGCAACATGCCGACTTACCCGTCCACGTACTAATGTTGCGCCAGGGTCGATTTCATGATATAAAATTACTGAGAAATACGTACATGGCGTGTACGCTAAATATACACTTTACTGTTTGGACTCGGATTCTCTTATGTCGCATGTGCATTCTTGAGAATCCATGGTACCGTCTTCGGACGGTCTGTTAGCGCTTAGTGACTTCAGTTGCTGACGGAATCGTCAAGTAAACATGGTCAACGTTTGCAGAAAGGTTCCCTCAAAGCAAATATCGATGACCTAAAAGGCATATGAGAAAAGGTGTTTCTCCAGTGGCACAACATGCACCCACAATGGGCTGGACACTATCGTGTGGTGAAACAAGCTTGACAGGTCTCGGGAGCAAGGCCAGACAGATAAAGTCTACACTTTGCTAAAAAAGGTTCAGAGCAAAAGGGAAGAAGGGAGTCGAAAGGAATATAAAATGCAATGAATAGCAAAAAAAAACCAGAACAAGGAAGGTAATAGTATTCCTAACCGGTGGTTTATTTGGCTCCCTGGTGCGCGTCTCCAATTAATACTACTCGAATATGCAAGTATATCGGAGAAGGGGTAGCAGCATCCCGGGGATAGGAAAGAGCTCGGAGGTACTGACACCATAGATTGCGAGATAAAAGGATTGTATAAAAATCAATCGAGGAGATTACATTTGATTTATCAAGTTTGTGTAGTCTGTAATACATCAATCACATGTAAAAATAAGCGCGAGCGTCGCACACACCCCATCGAGCAAGCCGTTGTGTTAGCGCCAAACGGCCTGAGGGAAGCACCAAGGGGACAAAATAACCCAAGTAACGAACCATCGTGGCCCTGCTCCATAATATTATGGTCGCAATCTTTGGACATCCTTTGCCATAGCAGCAGAAAAGAGCAAGACCGATCAGCATTTCGAGGCACATTCGTAGATGGATGGTTGTGTAGCAAGTCGGTACGATTGGCAGAGAAGATGCGTGCCGTTATAAATCAGGCCAAACGGGATAAGCCATGATGTAAACTCTAGAATATTAGTTAGCATTTTATAAATTTAGAGCATAATAAGTACATACCATCATCCACTGTAACGTTAATGTAAGACATCATAACGACGGCGGAGCGGGAGACGACGAGCTTGATCTGGGGAACCTTGGAAGAGGCAAGCACCAAGGAACCTTGGAAGAGGCAAGCACCAAGGAACCTTGGAAGAGGCAAGCACCAAGGAACCTTGGAAGAGGCAAGCACCAAGGAACCTTGGAAGAGGCAAGCACCAAGGGGACAAAACTAACCTTTTCCTTATTCTTACTATTTTCTTTTTTCTCTTTTTAATTTTCTTTATTCTACTATCCCTCTTATTTCACGTATCTTACTTATCTTACTTATCTTACCTATCTTACTTATACTTATTCTACTTCCTCTTATTCCTATTGCTAGTTTAACCTTCTTAATATTTTTTTTTGTCACCCGCATGGGAAGCCACCTACACTCCCCACAATTTTTTTCCTCTGCCTTTTTCCAATCGTAGTTCAACCACGCCATCTTGAAACCTGCACAAAAAAAAGCGACATATTTCTACAAATCGTCTGTCCAATACATACACATTCACAATGGGTAACGTAAGTCAGGACTGCCTTCTCCACGCCGCACTGCAATCCCGGCATGGGCCACCTCTTCCACGACAACTCTCGTTATTAACCCAAACCACCAGGGAGCCAAGGCACAACAGAAGCGCGAGCGCAACGCCAAGGACAAGGCCGGCACGGCCAAGTCGCAGCTCAAGGTGGTATGTTGATACACAAATCCGCTTCTCCATGTGTATTTCTTTTTAACGCCGGCTAACCTCGACTGAGCGTAGAACGCCGCCGCCTGCGACATTATCTGCACCGTCTGCCGTTCCACCTTCCTCAAGACCACCAAGCCTCCTCAGTACGTCCAAAATCGGATTCTGGCGGAAAGCTGTTGTAGGCTGAACCGGACACTAACACAAATCAGACTGCTTGAGCACGCGCAGAACAAGCACAACAAGGGCATCGCCGACTGCTTCCCCTCGGCGAGCGTTTAAGCCCGCCGGCGACGACAACAATGCAGCACAAGATACGATGAAATATACTGAAATTATATGAGATCATAAAAGACGACGAGGACGAGGATGAGGCTTTTCTTTTTGTTTGAATTTTGCAATTTTCAGTCCAGCGAGGCATTCAGAGAGGCGTTGTGGTAGAGAGAGAATACAAGTCTGAACTATTGAACGAATCTAGCCAGCCAAAGCTACCGGTAAAAACAGCACATCCTCCGTGGCATCTAATGAGCCTCCACCTTGGCAACCGGGAGCGACGACACACGCCCGAGGCTCTCTTGTGGCGTCTTGTCCTCGCTCTGCTGCTCCTGCGTCTCCCCTTCCACCTGCTGCTGCTGCTGCTGCTGCGCCGCCTGCTCCGCCTGCTCGGCGCGAATCTGGCGCAGAATATCCGGATACCAGCGCTCCCCCACATCCGGATGACTCTTGACACGGTTCCGCAGCGTCGCCTCGCCGAGCGTCTTGGCCACGCCGCCGGCGCGAAACGTAAACTCGACATCGTCCACCCTGCGCCCGCCGTTGCGCGCCGCCACCTGCCGGCGCTGCTCGCGGACCGCGGCCGGCACCTCGCCGACGCCGACCGTCTCGAGGTCGTCAAAGGCGGCGTCGAGCTTGACGCCCTGGAAAAAAGGGGATGGAGAAGCGGGCGCCGGCGCCGGCCGCGGGCGACTGCACGCGGTGCGTCGTCGACACGCACACGCCGCGCGTCAGCGCCTCGAGGCCCTGGCCGATGGCCACAACGAGCGTGCCCGCGACGGGCGCGCAGTCGATCCACGCGCCGCGCACGTTTTGCACCTGCAGCCCGCGGTGCGCCGTCGCCTGCAGCAGGTAGCTCGTCAGCATGCTGTCCTTGTGCGGGCCCACGCCCTGCCCGCCGCCGCCGTCGGGGTACTTGACAATCTTGAGCTTGTGCTGCTGGTCCGCGTCAAAGTACTTGTCGAACGCGTCGGCAGGCAGCTCAATGGCCTCGGCGATGAGCGACGTGAAGGCGATGGAGATGGCCCCCATCCGCGTCATGTAGTCGGTGTAGATGGCCCGGAAGCCGGGCAGCGCCGCCTCGGACGGCCACTGGTTCGGCGCGAGCAGGTGGTGGTGCCGGGGCTGCTCAGGACCGGGCACCGGGTGCTCCGTCGACAGGTCAATCTGCTCCCGGTGGTCGACCGCGCCGGCGGTGATTTCGGCCGACAGCCGCGAGTAGCCCAGAAATGACGGCGCATTCTTCATTTCAATCTTGAGCCTTTGTTGCTGTTAGTCCATGCGTGATGGGAGGCAATAAGGACGCGCTGGTTCTTTCCAGAGTGCAGAGCTTCGAGTTGCTTGGGGGAGGGGAAGTCACACGACTCACTTTTCCTCCTCGGGCAGGTCAAAAAAGGCCTTGCCCTTGTCAATCACCTCTGCAAAGAGGCTGTCCGGGATGCCAACATTTTTGAGATATAGGAATCCCACCTCCATCAGCGCGTGGCGGAGCTGCTTTAGGAATTCCGGCTTGGTCGCCGGGTCCTTGGCCTCGGCCAGATCCAGGATGGGAATCGAGGTAAACGACATGGTTAACGCAAGCAGTAGCGGTCAGCGGGGAGCTCGGAAAAGCTGAACTGTATGCCCGCGATTCTCACAGGATTGCACTCCGACGGGATGTCGTGGGATGCAAGTAATAATTTTTTTTGGGGCCTCTTATGTACAATGCTCGTCTTTTTAAACATATGCCCCCTGATGAGTCAAGATCCAAGTCTTCCATGCTGGTTGTTTTCCCGACTGAATGCTGGTGAATGGCGCCATCGCTTCGTGCACTCACTGGTCGCAACTCTATTGCGCCAAGTTGCCCCCACCGCCCGCGCCCGCGCCGTGTCTCTGTCGCAGCGCACCGATCTCCCGTGGGGACCCGCTTTCGCCCCCCTCTGGAGCCGATTCCGGACACTAGTAAATCATTTCCATGCTCGTTGGCTTCCTTCATCACTTTTCGTTTTTATACAGATTTAAATCTCCCAGCGACTTGCGTTGATCAAGAAGGCAGAGGCTTGGTTCCCAGAAGCCCCGTCACCTTGTAGAACATGTCCTCAACGGACGGTCCGGCAAATGCTGGCGCAGCATTGAATATATCGGACAGACTTTGCTGTGAAATAACACTGGTCGGTACGTCGTCTATGTCCATGTCCATATCGTCATCTGCGACATGGTCCGCGGCAGCTTCTTCGTCATCGCTCGCCATCAAAACGTCGTCTTCGGCGGCAGCCGCAACATCGCCGTTAGCGCCATCATCCACTTGGCCTTCAAGGTGAATGTCCTGGAGCGGCTGGGCAGTGACTATCGAGGAGGGGTCGGAGCCTTCGGTGACAGTCCATATTTGCGCGGCGTCGTCTAGTGCGAGGAAGCCGCTCGTGCCGGGAGCTGTGGTTAGGCTGACAATCCGATGTGGTGTACTCCGTACCATTAAGGGTTCAGGGTCCTCGGGGCTGAAAATCCCGATGCTCGAGAATTTATCAATCGGCAGCGTAACGGCAAAGTGGCCCGAAAGTTTATCGACGGCCAGCTGTAACAAGCCTTCCACGCCGGGTATCTGAGGCACAACAATGCCATATCGGAGCTCATCGCTTACAATGTCGTAGACGTAGAGAACATCTGAGAGAATCACGACAAATGGTGATAGTGTGCGAATAGCATGCAAGTTGCCCTCCCATAGACCTTCGAGGATGCGAACGACCTTTCCAGAAGCTGCGTCGATCACATATACCGATCCAGAATCGGAGAAACCAAAGGCGGCGAATATCGTAGAGCCATCTTCAGAGTATGTGATTTTTCCCTGGGGTGCACTTGGTGCAGCCACATCCGTCAGAGCACCAGCCCCATAGCCCTCGCCAACAGGGATAACCTGTGCGCAGCCCCAGGATACAGTCTCCTTGCCGCCAGCACCCTTGGACACTATGCCGTTCACGTGTCTCGTTCTTGGGCGCCACAAACGCACAAGGCCATCACCGCCGATCGTCGCGAAGCATGTTGACGTGGGATCAGAAGCGAGATCGAGCACGGGCTCCGAGGACGAACTCGCGTGGGGTCCGTTGATTCGTGAAACCAAGGCGACAGGCTCATTGTCATCTTGCACTTCCCAAAACTTGAGATAAACTTCACGGCGCTCTCGGGTGAATTGTTCTCTGAGCTCGGAGCTAACGTTGTCAATATCTCTGGCGGCGGGTTGCCAGTCATCGACACTGGCGAGCCACTTGCCATCGCCGGAGAACTCCACGTGCGTAACCAGGGGCTCGTCGATGACGTGGCCCTTGTTCGTCATGTTGATATCGGTAGGCTGTGTTCTTGCCAACGCTTGCTTTGAAACGCTGGTAAAGGTGTCGAGATCAAAGGCTTGGAGGAGAGGCGCGGAAAAGCGGCCAGACATGGTCGATTGTCTGCCGGTGCCGACGCAGACGTGTAGGCGGGATGGTGCATTGGAGCGGATTGCAGCAGGGATGCGCTCGCGGACGTGGTCTTGAATCTCCCATACACGCTTCACGAGCTGGTCCTTGGGGGTCTGGATGTTGGCCGCGGCAGACTGGATCCCAGACACATACGCGGAAGGCTTCATTTCGGAGGTTGAGACAATCATTGCCGAGTTGTCGTCAAGATGAACGACGTAAGAGGTGCCGTCTGGGGAGACAACAATGTTCTCTACACTCCCAGAGAGATGCGGGAGAAAGTCCTTTTTCGAAGTATCCATCTGCCACATCACCAGGGTATTTTCGGACCCACCAGAGATCATGTAGTTGCCGTCTTTGGACCACTTGACTGAGTGGACGGCCTTACGATGCCAGTGGAACTTCTGCGCCTGTATATTGATATCACCCGTTTTGCAAGATTCGGTTGCCTGGCATCGGGAAATGGCGTCGTGGTAAAGATAGATGCCACCTCGGGCACCACCAACAATCACATCCACCACCTTTTCAGTTTCGCTGCGGATGTGCTTGGACGATCTCTTGTATGCGCGCAGATCCAAGGTCGTGATGAGATCCGGCGTGTCGAAGGAGTAAAAGTCGTACTGCAGCTTGTCTGACTTGGCGGGCAGCTGCTGGGAGACGCCCAGAAACAGGCGGTCGTTGATAGCGCCGACAAGGTACTGGCCGTCCTTGGTGCACTCGAGGAGTTGTAGTCCGGTACCCGGGCGTTTGAGAAAGACAAGAGATTTGGACTTGGGTGTCGACGCCTGGTCCCATTCGTAGGCCACCAGTTCAATGCGTGTTGACTTGTTCGATTCGGCGACAATGACAGTCTCCTTGGGGCGGTTTTTGGCTCCAAAGGGCACAATGGACATGGCGCGCGCCGTCTTCGAGGCAGTCTGGAATCTTTCGAGGCTTTTGGACTCCTTGGTCCAGTTGATGCGGTATACTTGTCCGTCCGCGCAAGCGACCCAGACGAAGTTGGCATCCAGTTTTGACAGGCGGGTGGCGACGATCGGGGCGGGGGTCGAGGCCTGTGGCGCGGAGGCATCGATGCTGCTGACGGGTATGCGTCTCACTAGGAGGGAGTCGGTGGCAGAGAAGACTTGAATTGAGGTGTTGTAGGTCAAGATCAAATATCTTGAAGAGCTGTCAGTACGGATTGGGTGCAGGATTCTGCAAGGGAAAAACGGCAACTTACTCTCCATTGTCGGTAAGAATGGGGTCAATGTCAAGCATGCGCCCTCCCATAGGCTTGGAGATTTTCCAAGAGGCATCCGCGCGATCAAGCCTCTCGGCCAGATCCTTGGTCGAGGTTGGCTCGGCGAGCTCTCCGTTTGCATCTTGGGGACGAGCCCTCTTGGCCTTGACTTCGTTCTCGTGGCTGTCCCTCTTGCGCTTTTTTGTCTTGTCGACCTTGACCCGCGATATCCTTTGTCCGGCCATCGTGGAGGGTATTGTATATTTTTATGTACCGCGATTGGCGTAGACAAGAAGGCTGGGCTCGATGACTAGAAAAAGTCGGTTTACAAGCACTCGAAATTTTGGTGAACTTTTTGCTCACCGATAAGATAAGCCTGCCGCTATTTTTTTCGTGGATACACCTTACCTACTAATGTACGGATACCCTTAGGTGAGATACTAGGGCACACAGTTTAAAAGGAGTCACTAATAACCTAAAGAGGAGTTAAAAAGTCTAAAGGCGGTAAGTGTCTATTATAGGTCCTCTATATATACTAAATCTAACCTTAAGTATACTTATAGCTAGGTATATACTAAGTAGTACTAGTATAGAGAAGTACCTACTAGAGCTCTTAACTATATTCTAGTATATATTAATACTCTTTAAAGATTAGCCTTTTTAGTTTTTCTCTTAAGAAAAGTAGAGAAAATATAGTTAAAGACTTATTCTAGTATATACCTTTTAGCTTTTATACTAAAGTTTAGCTTACCTTTCTTTTAAAAAGGTTAAAAAAGATATAGTTAAAGACTTATTTTAATATATATTCTTTAGCTTTTATACTAAAGTTTAGCCTACTTTTCTCTTAAGAAAGGTAGATATAGTTAAAGACTTATTCTAGTATATACCTTTTAGCTTTTATATTAAAGTTTAGCCTATTTTTCTTTTAAGAAAGATAAAAAAGATATAGTTAAAGACTTATTTTAGTATATACCTTTTAATTCTTATATTAAAATTTAATCTATTTTTCTTTTAAAAAAAGGTAAAGAAGATATAGTTAAAGACTTATTCTAATATATATCCTTTAGCTTTTATACTAAAGTTTAGCCTACCTTTTTTTTAAGAAAGGTAAATATAATTAAAGACTTATTCTAGTATATACTCTTTAGCTTTTATA